TAATGCAATTATTCCATTCGCGCTTATCCGGTACGAGTTGCCTATAATCATCTCATCTCGGCCCTACGGGCCTCGTTGGCTATCCATCATTTCATATCAAAGGCGCTCCTGGAATAACTGTTTGATGGATTTCCAAGTTTTAGGACCTAGGACTTTGATGCTGAAAAGTCTTCTATTTGTGCGAGACTCTGACAGAGCAAAAGATTTGGGAGCCAGTCTAGTGTTAAGGGTGGTCTAGTGTTACGGAGGCTCATTGTTACTGTTACACGTGAGGCTGTTTCAGAGTCAAAACTCAGATAGTGGTTAAACCTCAAGAAGTGGGGGAAGCACTCGACAACGTCTCGCGTTTGTCCCTACACTTCTTTCGTGCTCTGGCCGCTTCCTGTGTGGTTTACAACAGAACAGAGCACAGCCAAGGCTTCTCCCTTTGTTAAGTAAATAAACCGTTACTTGTTTTTTTTTCCTTAGGAAACGCTGTCCCTAAATCTTCAAGAATCTTGAGTAGTACTCAACGGCTGTAGCTGTATAACTGGATTAACTAGACCCTGTGAGCAGGGTAACTGGGATACCTGGATGGTATTGGATCCTTGGAATCAAGTGTAGTGATACCACGGGTGTCGGACTAGTATACTGAAATAGTGAGCTCAAGTCTGGCCAAGGGCACCTATTTCAAAACATAGGCATGCTATGCATGCAAGAGTTTTTTTTTGTAGGGTGGATTACTTGAAACATTGTAAGTGGTCTACATTATTACAAAAGGAAAGAAGAGTATTAACTCAGAAAAGAACGAAAATGTCTAATCACCTTACACACAGGTATTTTGTGGTAGAATATGTGTGTTGTGCGAATAAATGTTACCAAAAATAAACTGTATTGGTGCCACGGATACCTGTTAGTACAAAATGTAGACAGCAGACTGCAGACCGGGTACAAAATATAGACTGCAGACTGCAGAGTGGGTACAAAATGCAGACTGAGCATCTGAAGAGTTTTTACGTCTGGTATATAATAACATGTCATCTTACAGCTTACCGAGCGTCACGCAATCGCTTTTTCCGCGATCAGCCTTCACGATTATTTGCACTATTGTGGTAAATTCCTGGCCCATATCTTGATGAAAATCGATCGTAATAAAATTTCAAGCTTTAAATATAGTCTTCTTACTTTGCACGCGAGTTGGTTGGTGTGATGTCTGTACAGATTTTACCAACGTAATAAAAGTAGATGACCTGAATAACAGTGATGGTAAAGCAAGCTAAAAACGGCAGAAATCGCCAGAAACTACAACGGATACACAGGGTATGAGTAAGTTTTATTGATTTTACGAGAATAATGTTAATATTTTGAAATATTTATCGTTGTAAATCGACCATTTTTCGTTCCCTATACTATTCCTTATAACGTGTTCAAATTTTCTACGGTTCTTCTCGTTTTAAATACTTAACACCGAGTCACACAACGCGTGACGCGTTCATGAATTTATGGTTGGCTTTTTCTCGAGGCGTGAGCTTGGGCCGCCTGTGACAAGACAATTGCGTAAACAATACTTGACATAATAACATTATACACAAAAAACACAGGATTTTGGATCATGTATTTATTAAAAAAGAATATCCATACAACTACAATGAAAACAAACATAAGATTCACCTTTCTGATCGTGAGATTAGTACCATTCGCACTGTTATCGTAGCTACGTTCCCTGGCATCAAGTGAATCCAAGAAAAGCTTTTCTTATGTACGTTGAAAACCTCGAAATAACAACTCGCTCAAATGGGCTCTTTTCATCAAAGTAAGCGGTCAGATAACAAGCTTTACGCTGTGGAAGCGAGGTGAGGTATTTTTTTATTCCTTAGAGCGGTCGTAAATATTCCCATACAAACTCTTATAATTCCGCCATGACCGTTATTGCGTAAGATGATCATCTCACAGCTGGAGCTTGGGCCACCTGTGGTGAATCCAACATGGCGTCTTTCTTCACAAGCAGTTTGCATCCATTAGAGTTTTGTTCTTCAGTCTCACGGTAGTAGTGTTGTTCAATAGACTGCATAGAGTATATGCAGTTTGGTTTCAGATTTCAGATTTTGCTCTTTACAACAAGTGCACGTTTTTCAACTACGACATTGGCATACAAGGCATACAAGGCATACGAGGCATACAAGGCATACAAGGCATACAAGGCATACAAGGCATACAAGGCATTCAGGGTTTTCATGGCTTTCAAGCGTTCGCGACTCAATCCGTTCCAGAATTACCACTCAATAACGTCTTTTAGTGTGGATTGGCCGCGCCTTAATGCTCCAGGTAATCGTAATCCAAACACGTTGGAATACATAACGACTGACAAAAGAGTTTTATAAGCAAAAATCTCGTTATTCGTCATGTGACCCGGCCCTGTCCGTGCATGATAACGTCAATCATCATCAAGATAACACGCGTGATCAGCATGTGAACACCTCATTGGATCAGTTAGTTGTCATGGTCTTGAGGATATTATTGCGCAACTTTTCTATTTCGTGGCGGAGGAAAAAAAAAATGACGACAAAAAAACAAGGCATTTTATGACTGGGCTACCACAGGTACCCCAGTAAAAACCCGCGGCGTATTTAAGAGGCGGATCTAGAAACCCCCATTTGGGTAGTACAACGAACCGAATATGGGTGAGGAGCCCTGACGTCTAATGTCCGCTAAGAATTGATGTTAGAGTATCGTCAGAATAGAACATCCCAAAACCTGATCCCAGATACCTAAATTATAGACTTGAACCAGAATAGACAAGGTCCAGTCTATGTCTTTAGGGATTGTAACACGCAGCAAGACCCACTATCGTATTTAAAGCACAGGTTTCTTTTATTTATGCAAGTATATACAAAGCTGGTTATTTATAACTTAACTTCAAACTATTTAATATATCTCTAATTGGGCTCGTATTATTTAATCAATTTTAATTACAAGGAGATAATAACACTTAATACCACTGCTATTCAGTTCTAAAGTATGTAATATCTAATAATCAACAAAGTGCATCGCTCTAGGATATGATACACGGGTAAAGAAAAACTGCTAATATACGAAAATAACATTAATTCATCTGGTTCTTAAGGTGAAACGAAAATTACACTATTGAAATACTAATACCTGGATTTTCAATATGAAATTCTGTTATAACCAATTTCTTGTTATAAGATAACAATGCAGCAGAAGTAACACATTACAATGACTTGCAATGTTTTTTTCTTTCGTAATGTTTGTGCGAGTTTCTCGCTTTTTGATTGCCACCCCGTGAAGTATTTGTCAGAAAATAAGTGAATTCTCTATCACAGTACGTTTTGTCATTTAAGACTCAAACTTTGAAATGATTAACAATAACATCAACAGATAAATAACTTAAACAAAAGAAACTGCTTTGAACACATCTTCTTACGGAGTTCTTCCCTTACAACCATACCGCACAAAATATTACAGCCAAGTTATTCATTCTTGTTTAAGACGTGCGTAGCTGGCTGCTTCGAGGAAGTTTTGGAGCAGTGAAACTGCGACGTGAGTAGGTGGCAAAACCTTTGAGGTTCTGCCGTCATTTTTGGCAGCTCTTCTGCTGATCTGGACGCCTAAAAGGCTAATTGTTTTTCTGCATAGACCCTTTTACGTAGTTTCAGACTTTTATCACCTTAAATATTTTTTTCTTACATAAATATTTTTAACAACCAAATTTTACTCTATCATCTGGTTCCGCCAAGCTAAAATAAGTTTAATTTCACCAGAGTTTAATTCATTCGGCGAAACAAATAATAAAAATAAAGATGCTGAGCGATTTACCAGTTACACGCTGTGTCCTGCACAGCATTCAACAAAATTAATCAAGAGTACAAAAATAGGACAGGAACGGGGACCAGCCTAGCTTCCCGTTACAAAAGCTATCAAACTAATTAATCAATTTTTTTTTGGACCAGTTATTCTTGGGGGGGGGGGGGAGGGGGAGGGTCTTGGGGGGGGAGGAGGGGGAGGGAGAAGAGAATATAAGAACTCTGCCATAAGAAGATGTATACAATGTCTAGGAATAACTTTTCTTAAATGTACTTCTCTTACTGACGCAACAATCACCAGTTATACCTAATTAAATATATTTCATCTTAGGCTCTACCAGTAATATTGTAGATCATGTTATCTATGTATTTACACTATTTAAAATAATTAGCTTGACTCTTGATATTTTCAAGTCAAGTAGAATGCTCGGTTTGACAAGCTAGCTGTGCAAGATATTGGGCACTACCGAGCATTTCTCGTGCGGCCAATGGCAAATGAGTAATTTTGTAGCCTTTTTGATATCACGACCACATTTGACATTTTTCTATGCCCTTTGCAAGTAAGAAAACCACCGAGTATCTCAGTTGACTAGGGTTTAACCCGGTGCCTGCAGTTTATAAAAGGTATAAAGAACTAGTTCACATTCCAATCCAAAAAATTTCTCCAGGTATGACAAACATTTCTCCTTCTGTTAAATTTGTAACTTGTAATTTCGTTTTTTTTACTTTGACCGGAATCAGGATGTCAAAGCACTAAGGTGGAGTTCCCGCCACGACCTGAGTTCGCGATAGGGTAGCGACTGTAGCACCCTTCCACTATTTGTAACACATAATACTCTCTCTTTCTCCTTAACTTCACCCTTTTATCATTCCAAACGAGGGGTGGTTGGTACTGATTGTATTTCGTTTTTTGATATCTATCAAATTTCGGTGAGTAGTCGATGAGTCTATAACTTATTGTTCTCTTGTATGCCTAAAGCCATAATCGAGACTTGTGGCAAACACGTCATCAATTTGTTTCGTTTTTTTTTTTTTTCTTGGCATCTAATAAGCCAGTCTAGTTTCGATCCATTTCTTTTCCTGTAAGGTCAAGAAGACTTGAGGTTTATTAATCGCAAGGTTTTCACGACTATTAACTTTAGTTTAACGGTGGTTGAAGACACACATTACGATGTTAGTCATATACATTAATCAACATTAATATAAAAATGATCATCACAGTTAACATGATGACCAAAATGTATTTAAATAAATACTCGTGTTTCTCAACCTACCTCTTCACCACTATATTTTGATGATGAAAGAAATACTTCATAATTGTTTACAAATTTTCAGTTGTTTATCTTAAAATATACAACAATCTATTTGGAAAATATGGCAGTTACGATTAAAAGTAGCATACTAAACATCTATTATCAAAATAAGTTCTTTAAGGGGATGATTAATGGCTTAAATTATTGGAAAGGATATCACACATGGGCCTTCCTTTTTTAGCGTACTGTGTGCGCTGCACAACAAACCCACTTAAATAGATCAGTCTTGCCACAAAGGCAAGGTTCTAAAAGACACAAAGGCTCGCATACACACCAAAAAGAAGTAAACATTAAATGAGAACCTTGAGTTCAAAAAGGATCTCACTCAATCTAACTTAGCACTCAAAAAATACTTAGTAGTGCAACATAACAGTAAATTCTACAAACTTCAGGCAAATTCAACCCTTTCACGCGATCCCCTGTCATCAAACACTTTACATCTCTCATCATCGTCATCAAAATCTTCTTCCAGAGGTTTGGAAGACATGTCTTTGTAGTAGCTGATACTTTTTCCACGGTAGTTATTAGAGCGGCTCCTCGCATACCAGATGGCCAAAACGACAAGGATGATTACCAAGCAAATTACAATGCCAGCTATGCCAGCTATGACACCACCAGAGAGAGCTTCTGCTGTATCGCCTGAAAATTACAGTTATATTCAAAATTAATTGCCTAATCATCAATAGATCTAAAAATTAAAAATAAACGAGCAGTCAGTGTCTTGAATTCACCACTAGGTTGTTCTCCCTAGTGGACTTCTCCGATAAATTTCCCTGGAAATTCGTTAAAAGAAATTTGCGATATAAGTAGATAACTTTCCCTGGAAAGTCATTAAAAGAAGTTAATGATGTAAGTAGTTAACTTTCCCTGGAAAGTCATTAAAAGAAATTATTGATATGAGATAACTTTCCTTGGAACGTCATTAAAAGAAATTGGTAATATAAAATAACTTTCCCTGGAAAGTCATTAAAAGAAATTAGTGATATAAGATAACTTTCTCTGGAAAGTCCTATAAAGAAATTGGTGATATAAGAGGATAATTTTCCCTGGAAAATCATTAAAAGAAATTGGTGATTACAGATATAAGAAGATAACACCCTTTAGCCAATGTGTGTGTAAATTCATCACCTGTATGTTTTGAAATTGCGAGGATAAGTTTTATGCCGATTATTTTAAGTACGCTTGAAAACAGCGACCTCTCATTGCTCTCACTGAGAATGTTTCAAGATGGTTTCTGTTGCTATAGGTGCTTCCTAACAAGGGTATTTCAGTAATACAGAATTAAACTGAATGCAAATCCTGAGCTGGATATGAGTCTGATTAGCAGTTTTGACTTAAGGGTGCAAGGGGGAATATCATATTGATACTTGCATCCAAACAAGGGTTGGAGGGGGAACACAACTATTAAAAAAAAATTAATTTGCCCATGTCACTCACTTAGCCACAATCCACCAAATGAATCACATAAAACTAAGCTCAACATTGGCGTAGATTGTTTCAATACTCTAATCACCTCTTAACCTGGATTTTGGAGATTGCTGGCATATTCATCTTTTCTTCTGTTGGAACATTTTTATACACATATGCCATAATTTGTTAACCAATTGAATCAAACAGAACAGAGTTAGTATTTATGATTAAAACCCTTACCTTTCCTCTGAAAAGCCACAACTGATCCCTTTGTGGTAATTACAGGAATCTTTGTAGTAGACGAAGTTGGGGCATTGGATGTATCTGTAGCATTTATAGAAGGGGACTTGGAGGGTTTTAACACAACATTATTAGATCTTGTTGATGGTTTTACCATTTTCTTTGTGGTTGCAGGCAATTGTGATTTGGTACTAGCTGAAGTTGCTTTCTGTGTGGTTTTAGTACCTTGGGTGGTGGCTGTTGTTGGTTCATGTGTAGAAGAGGCAGTTGTAGGGGCTGGCTGCCACGGGGCTTCCTTTCCAGTGCATGTTGTGCCATTAGCAGAAATATTCATTCCATCAGGACATCGGCATGTACGACTTTTGGCGTGAACAGCTGCCAACAGGCAGAGGTGACTGCATCCTCCATTATCAACCTTACAGGGATTAGTATCTGAAGAAACACCACAAAATGACATTTATCATTCATCTCAAAGTAAGCCCATGATCACCCAATGTGTAATAAGCAGACATGGTAGTGAAATTTCATATGCCATGTTCCTGTAGAAGGAGCACTCACTTTTCCCTTTGATGTTGTGCACTCACTTTGATGTTGTGTACAGAGAAAAAGCAAAGCAGCAAAACCAGGGCTATTATGCCAATTTTGGTTGATAAGATAACTCAACCATTTGTTCCTCATTTCCTTCTGTAATTTTAAGTTTATGTGGGCCAATCCCTTCTCCTTTTGGATTAGAATTTTCTGATCAGTACACCCATTTAGTTTCATTGGGAGTTTCCTGCTTCCCCTTATGAAAAGATTATACAACCAATAGTATTTACATTATTACCATTAGGCTGACGGAGAGGATGAAACACTTTGATATCCATATGAGACCACAGCGTATCCTTGATCTTTTGATTAGACCCACTGAATTTGTTTAGCTTTTTAATTCCCTTGTCATTCTTGTACCAATCTGTATAGTACAACTGGTTCTCAAACACACCCAGCCCAAATGGATGATGCGGCACAATGCTAGCAATGAGACGACGGTCGGAGCCATCATACCTACAAGATTCTATCTTCTTCAGTCTGAAAATAAAAAATTGTTTCCAAATCAAAATTGCTTCCTTGTGGGGAAGTTAGGGATTTTTTGTCCCATGCTTGTGACAAAACAAACAGTTTTGATAAATCTTTGCATTATTTTGAAAGTTGTACCAAAATCACTCTGCCCTGGGCCCTGCTTTACCCAAAAAGAGATCTAAAATGAAACTCTGAACACCTAACGTCTGATCCAAAATATAAGTTTCACCATTAAAATGGACAGCAAGAAATGTTAGATATCCTTCATTTGGTAACCATGATGGTCTAACCAATGACCGAAGTTCCTAAATTGCAGACGATGCCAATTGCATTTAAGAGTGGTGGCCAGTATTCAATGGTTAATATTACTGCTCCCACAACTTAGAGATTTGGACATACACCATTGATATAATGCCTTAACTGTGTAACCTTTAGAAGAAAAATATTACCTTGCATCAGCCCAGTAGATTCTTTTCAGGGAGTAATCAATTGCAAGTCCATTTGGCCAAGCTAACCCTTCAGAGACAATGACTTGTCTTGTATTTGGGTCTCCATCCATAGCAGCCTTTTCAATCTTTGGGTTGTCTCCCCAGTCAGTCCAGTATAGATATCTACAAATTAACAGAAAATTAACCCTTTACCCCCCTTACATCAGTATCCATATTCTTCAGACTATTCACCATATATTTCCCAAGGTGCTAACAAAGAGAATTTGTTTAAGAATCAAGAGCTGCTTTAGTTGATGTCAATTCCTCTATTCTCTAAATCTTAAGGTTTGATTCAAGGGTGCTATTGTACAGAGAAATTAGATGCTAGTCACTCTTGGGGTTAAAGGTTAACAGGGAGCTCATACACTGCAACAAACACTCCTTGATGGTTGGCTAACAGTCTACAGTCCAAGGCTGCTTATGTTTCAGAAATTACACTGGTTTCATTAAAATGCAAAATTGTTTTAACATGTTGATCTCTTTCTGTGTGCATAACCATGCATGCAACTAATTGTACAAGCACAATTTTGGATCTCACCATGCAGTATCTCTCAGTAATATTGAGGATTGCATGACAAGGATTTCCCTAACAGGTTGAAACTTATTAATTTTTCTCAACATTCTTATCAAATGAGATCCAAGCACTATTTATAACCTTTCCTGGATCCTCAATGTTTTTCCACAAAAAGTTTGAAAGAATAACTTTACATCCTTTCAATTTTATCCTCTAAAAAACAGCTTGGCTAAAACCTTCCATTTACAGAAACTATAAGCTCTACAAATCCTCCCACTGTCCCTTCTGAGTGTCACCTCGAGCATTCTCAGGAATGTTAATGTTGAGCTTAGTTGCCCATTCACAAAGTAACCTAATTCAGAGTTTCAATATAATTGATTGAACACTTAATATCATTAGATCTAATGATTATATAATATTTCAAAGCAATAATTAACACACCTTAAGAGAGGGTCCACAACAATGGCTCTTGGCTCATCTAGTTCAGAGTCAAAAAGTGTCAGTCTGTGAGAACCATCAAGTTCTGCCACCTCAATTCTGTTGAAGTGCCCATCTGTCCAGTACATTTTTTTGCCAACCCAGTCAATAGCAATTCCATCTGGAGTGTTAGTACTGTTTTGTATCAAAACCTCACAATCAGCTGAAGTAAAAGAAATAAATCAGTATAAAAAAAATTAACATAGCAAATTAGTTTATAGTAGTTGGATGGGGAAAGGGTAAAGCTTGTGAAACCAAGGAAAATGATAGTTCACTACAGAAAGAGACAAATGGTGATTAAATTCTCTTACACTTCCCTGATTGCAAAGTTTTGACTTAAGAGTTTCTTTTTCTGTTACCCATCAAGTAATTGGAATATCTTTACTAAAACACACAATCTGTAATATTCTTATGACAGATACATGTAGGTACTAGAGAATCTCATCACTATCATACCTGCATCTCCTCCATGGGTGGGAATTTGAGCACGACAAATCCTCTCATCTCTGACATCTGTCCAGTACACATAGTTGTCATAGTAGTCATAGTCAATAGCAACAATGCCTTTCTGATTTTTCACAACTATACTGAATGCATTGGAGGTCCTATCCAGAGCCATCTTGTGAATTCCAAATTGTGTGGAATAGAGCAGGTATGGTGTATTATCTGTGTGCATGAACAGGAACACAATGATTTAACCATTAAAAATGCCAAAAGAGCTTTCTTTTTACTCCTAAGTCTTTTCTTCAATATTCAAAACAGACACATTTGTGGGTGGGCTGAAGAGCCCAGCCAACAACGACAAGAAATATGACAACAAGAAAACTTAATATAAACATTTTTTAGACCCATAAATACTCCATAGTCCCATAAACAATTACTGTTCATCAGAACACAGAGGAAAATCACAAGTAAAAAAATTACCTTTCGCTTTACACGTTTTCTTATCAGGCTCCAATTGATAACCTGCTTTACATAAACACTTGTAGCTTCCCTTGGTGTTTTGACAATCTTGACTACACATTCCGTACACTTTACATTCATCAATATCTGAAACAAACAAAAAAAAAAAAAAAAACCTCACACAGTTGAATCTGCTGATGTCCAACCAGCCATGTCAAAAAGAAGTTAAAACTTATTTCAAAATTGTAATAATTGGTTGACCCAGAAAGCTGAAGATATCATAATTCTATCTCATGTTATTTTCTAACTATGAGGTATGGTTTGCCACAATTAACTTGACTCAGCCTGGTTATCTCTTTCCTGTATGTACTATTTGATCAAATTCCTGCTTTGATGTTTCATTATGCAGCTTTAATGGTTTGGACTTTGATGGCATATCTTAACTGGTAGTAATTTCTATGTTATCAACTCAATAAAATTGTTTCTAGAAATAGAAACAAAGAGCTGAAGAATTTTACATACTATCTGAATAGATCAGGTCAACAATGGGAAATTGATGAGAGTTTCATTAGACTTGACAATATCTGCATGACTTGTAGAAAAGCTGACATCAAATCAAATGAAAAATGAAAAAAAATGTACCATCACAATTTTTCTTGTTTTCAGCAAGTACATAGCCTGAATGACAGGAGCATTCAAAGCCAATCCTCAGATCATTACATATTTGTTGACAGTGGCCATTGTGATCCATACACTCATTGATATCTAAACAGAAGTACATAAAAAAATTAAATTAAAACAAACTTTATCACAATTCTGTAAAAGAACTCACTGACACAATCTACTAAATATCATTTTTCAATGTGGAAAAAATTTTCCACAAAAATACTTGTTTCCAGTGGCCTGCATTTTTATGGGCACACAGACCACTACATGTAACATACCGCAGTTTTGCTGCTCATCCTCCCCATCAGGACAATCTTTATTTCGATCACAGACTTTGGATTTTTCAACACACTTTGATGTGCTTCCACACTTGAATTGATCAGCAGTACAGTTAACCACTAGATAACAAAAAAAGCATTCAATCCATTAATTCTTTAGTTGGTAACCCAGATCATTTACTTTCATTATGTAGGGCAATATAGATTGTATATGAAGGCAAAACATTAATTTAGAAGGGAAAAAACAAAAAGCTATGGAATATGGTAATTATCTTGTAATAAAGATTATATGAAGAATAATCTTCATTCTATGCTATTTTTAGGAGTACTTTTTCTCCCAGGTATAACCAGAACACCTTGGGGGGTGAATTGGGAACATTCACTTTCTTTACAATGTACATAACTGCACTCAAAAAGAAAAAAACTACTTGCCCCAGTACACATGAGGTTAACACCATTTCTCAAACCAGTTTTACCAAGGATCTTAAAAGTCATTCTGGCTACTTAACAGTAATATCTGGTGCAAACAGTTCTAAAACTAACCACAGAAACTAGTACTTTCATCTGACCCATCCTCACAGTTCAATACTCCATCACACTTTTTAGTATTTGGAATGCATTTACTTCCATCATTGCACAAAAACTGATCACCAGTACAGTTAACAGAAGAAGCTGAAACAACAAAATATGCACAACTTGACAAATGTAACTTTATTTCAAGTCTTCACTGAAGTCTTCTTTTCCCTTATCCTAGCTAATCATTGATAGATCTCACTTAATCATGGTAAAACAAACATCTTTCATGCCCTCTCATTCATGAACTATTTCTGTACTCACAACATCCAATCTCATCTGATCCATCATGACAATCATTTTCGCCATCACACTTCCAGTGACCACGGATGCAGGTTCCATCACTGCAGCGAAACCTGTTTTGTGAACAAACTGGTACCCTGCGACATCCATTTTCATCTGAGGCATCACTGCAATCAGAATCACCATCACATTTCCAACGTAGGGGAATACATTGCTGATTTTGACAAGTAAACTGGTTTGCACTGCAGGTTTTAGCATCTAAAAGAAAGAAAATTAGAGTGTACTTAAACAGGTAACTAAACACATAATAAAGGTTTTCTTCGAGTCCCCCACAAGGAATCAAGCCCCAGACCTTTGAATTTCACTCTCTGATGCTCATCACTGAAAGAGAACTCCACCAAGAAAATGGCCATTGGGAGTACTGCCAAAGTCCTGGGGTTTCAGTTGCAGGGGGAGATGTTATCTTTGTTCCACACTTGTGACAAAAGAAATCACATCCTTCTTTCAAATGAATCTTAAGGGTCAACAAACTATTTCTTACCACAGTGGTGAGGTTCTTCATCAGAGCCATCGCCACAATCATCATCACCATCACAAACATATGACCAAGGCAAACATTGGCCGTTGCTGCATGAAAATGCACCACTTGCACAACTTCCTTGTGCTGAAAAGTGTAAGTAATCACAAATTAATTTGAATTAGCCATGCACTTAATGCTTAAGAATAAAACTTGCAAAGACTGAGAGTTGGACTAAAAAAAGAAAACAAAAAACAAAGCAGGGATAGAGATAGGGAAAAAGTTGATCAGGGACTTAATATACTTGCATAGCCTATATGTAAACAACACTTTTTACATTTAATCCTTACCATTATACAGGATAATTTTCTAATATGAACCTGTTTCTGTTCATGACTTGCTCACCAAGAGGTATACTAGACTCATTGATTAGGCATCAGAAAGTTAAATCAAAAGGTACAAGATACAAATCCTTATGTGGAGAATTCATATTTTTTCAAACAATATCATATACTTACAGCAAAATAGTTCTTCCATTAATTAGAAGATAATCTAAAATATTAGTTACACCCTCAATACTTAAACCATAAGCATGCTTATACTTAGTTTAATACTTTCAGTGATTGGATAACTAAATCAATACTTCTCATTAGCCTTAGATCTGAACTAACAAGAGGTAAATTTAGTATACATGGTTTTTATAATGCTTACTTGTATGATTTGCAAATTTCTTTATTTTTCAATGTAAAGAAGTTATCATTAACCATAAAATTATCTGTTTAGTGTTGTTGCTCTTAAAAACCATATCTTCCCCCTGTGTAGACATGTTCACATTTTTTTTCCTCTTTGCAGGATAAATGGACTTCAGAAATGGAAATCATCAGTCTTCCGTGTGAAATTTTAGTAAGACAATATTGTGTTGTGAACCAAAAAGCAATTAAAAGGCCACAGAGAGAGCTAGCAATTAAAATCATATAGTACAAGTGCTTGCAAGGATAAGAGTCAGTGCCTTCCCCAAGGTTTGATATTGTTTTTTGTTTTTCTACAGGTGATGTTGGGTTGTAATTTATTTTAAATATCAAAATAAATCTAGAAGTACCCCGTCCTGAGCCATCACATGCCTCCTCATCAGAATTATCACCACAGTCATCATGTCTATCGCACTTCCAGCTGCTTCTTATGCATATACCATTATTGCATTTGAAATCTTGGCCACTACAGCTTACATTTTGTGCTAAGAAAATAAAATATTTGGCTCAAAGCTTAGATTTATAATAATAATAGTACAAAAATACATGGATTCTCCCAATTTATGGATTTCAGGCAATTGAGAATACCTCCTATGTAGGTACCAAATGTTACTAGGATATTTTACTCTTTAACCCGACAAAATCTGATTACTTCCCATAACAATTCCATGCCTATTTTTCTCTTGAGATCTCTTGACTAACAGACAATGGTTTAAACATAAATGTGGAACAGTTCTCATTAAAAAACATTTTCCCCGAGTCTCTTTAACCAATATATATGACTTTTAATGCCTTAAGGGTAATATTGTAATATTCCATACCTTTCAAGGGGGCTATCATACAATGAAGTTAAGAATAATTATAGGTGTTTCAATGTGAAGTAAGTGAACTAAAAGAAGTAAATGTCAGAGGAAGTTTAGAAATTACCACTTGCTTTAATCTCTCCTTGGAAGGAGTAGGTTTCTCCTTCATTAACAGAACTGGGTAAAGGAGAAACAAATTATTTCTAGGGTAATGGGACCTGAAATGTTGCGTGAGAAAAGTGTTCTGTGTTGTGGTCTCAATTACATTACTTAACTGATATGTTTGTCTCTATCCATTACCAGTTTCTAGAATATCTTTTGATATTGTTAGCAAAATCAACCCCACCTAAGGGTTAAAAGGTTAAATAACCATTGTTCAGCTGTTAACGTACCACAATTTAACTCATCAGAATTATCTTTACAGTCATCTGCTTGATCACAATACCACGATTGTGGGATGCATCGTCCATTGTTGCAGCGGAATTCATTTGCTTGGCATGTCTGGGGAGCTATAAGACACCAATGTAACAATAACTTCAACAACTAGACTAACCTGATGTCTGAGAACTGAAACCTCAGGGGCTACAAACTTAAGATTTGGTGGCCACTGATCACTGTTGTCACTGACATTGGACTTCAAATTTCTTGCATATTTTCCTGATATTAAAATTTGCTACTTTCAGGCAAAAGATTTGTGCCTCTGTAATATAACTCTGTCAATTTATCATGTACTTACGACAACCATCCTCATCTGAATGGTCCCCACAATCATTATCTCTGTCACATCGCCAGTGCGCAGGAATGCATTGTTCATTTGTACAGGTAAACTGTTCTGATCCGCATTGATATGGGGTTGAGCTAGTGGGACTAGATATCCCTGTAAAAGAAAATGGCAAGACGAACAAACATGGATATTATCCTTATTATCAGTATATCAACTGCAGACCTGAGGAGGCCTGGGGACAAATTCTCCCATAGCCTCACTTCCATTTTAATTAGAACAATTGTACTTGACACAATCCAATTATGACCAAGTGTTCTGTTGTGCCATCTCTTCATATCTTTTTCAGCCAATGAAATTAAAATGAGACAAGATGGCAGTAATGTTTATAGATTGAGACTGATAGCAAAGAATTCTTTCCAGCTGTTAATTAGAATTTCAAATCCGTGGTTGACCCTTCCCCATAATGGTTGGCTTTTAAGACTGCCAAATATCTGTTAAATATTTACATGTCTGCTTCCCATGAAATTTCGAGAACGACCAAACATTCCAATCATATCTGATTTGTTAAAAGAGGTTTTCAGTGGTCCAATGAAAAATCCGCTGGTACCAGTACTAGAAAAGAAATCGAAACCAGGATTAAGACTTTGGACCCGGCTTGGGACATATTTTCTAGTCATCCGTAGCTGATGCAATAAATCGCACGCGCCCAACATATGACGGGCAGCTGACTTAATCACCAAGGTACTGATGTCTGAGTCTTGAAAGCGATAAAGTAGGTATAAAAAAAGTAATCACCTAAACAGAACACTTTCCTTTCAGCGCCGCATGAAACAAAACTGGAACAAAGCGAATATCGATCTCTGTGCTATCGAAACCCACGCTAAGAAACTCGTGCTCCTTCGCGCCAATACTGCAAACAATTGATATTTCGGAAAAAATACAACGCGGTTAAATTTGTCACATGATTGATGAACTATTTAAGAAATTTCAAAGAAGTTGCCGCCAAAAGACAAAGCATTTCAAGCAGAAGTAACACAAATTAGAACATAGCGCTAACAATTTCACACGATCTCTTTCATTTCCTCACTTCGATTACGACCTTTGTACAAATATATTGTAGACGAGAAGCATCGACGAATAACGTTGTAAATATTTGAGGCGCCGAGGAAACACGACATAGGCTTTCACAAAACATAATATATTGACCTCCTACGAAAAGAATGATGAAATATCTTATGAATGGAAGAAGCTTACGCAGAAGCTTATCACCCACGTAGTAACCACGTCGTAGTAAAAATTTGCATTCCAAACAATTATGAAGTGACAGACTTTCTAGACTTACCAAAATTAGAAATAACCTTTGTGCGATTAAAAAAAGTTCAAGTAGTTTAAAAATACAAGCAATACTTAAAGTATCCAAAAGAGTCTGATTTTTTTAAATATGGGCTTGAACTGTCGTAAACACAGGTGTGTAGTACGCCTCACTGAAGAAATACCGCCAAAATGAGAGCCATAAATTTATCATAATTGTACTTTAAATAAAAAGAGAAAGACGTTCAGAAGAGGAAAACTTTGACTTGAAAACGAAATTCGGGAGGTAAAAACATAGCCATAACTTGACAGGAAAAAACGGGAAAAAAACGAAGAGACTGTCGCTATCAATTAGAGAAGAAATACGCCACGGTACGACGTCAAGCGAGAAAATACTACAAATATCCAAATTTACAATAGAATACCTTCATATTTGATAAAATCATCTTACACGTTAACGTTTTAGCTGTGTAAATTAATTCCACTGCACGTGGTTCCAATGCTTTCAATTTCAAAACTCACCAGGGTGAACTGTAGTGAAGATATAAACTAAACAGTATGCCACATAGACAACTTCGGTCTGCACACTCATCCTTACGACAACGACTTCAAAGCGTTTTAAACTTCTTCGTAAATGTTCGTTTCACTAGACAATAGAAAATAGCTTCGTACTTTGGTAACTTTTGACTAAAAGAGACTCCAGCCACGCTGGACTGAGATGAACGCCGGTGTACTAATGAATGAATGGGCGCGATCTCAATGTTTTGATGATCAAGACATGCTCACGCGCATCAATTGCGCGGGAAAAAGGATGATGCAATATGCCACTCACACCTTATTCACATGTTGTGAGGGGGTCGAACCGACCGCCTTCGCAAAAATAGTCCCTTTCCTCGATGTTAAGTTTAAAATTGGCGACTTTATTTCCGATCTTAAGGTTATTTCTTTCTTCTTTTATTCTTTCCTTCTTTTTCCTTTTTTTCTGCGACGCCTTGTGCAGCTGAAACATTGGGATAAAAGGAAGCAGTTAATATTCGACTAGTCATTTCAGATTCGATCCAATACGCGTATGTTGTGAAAATTTCGTTTTTTAGCTAGTGTTCCTGTTACTTGTGAGGATCTTTCAGAATCATAACTCGAGGTATTGAATTATAATTTTGTATTTCGCAACTTCAACGGGAACATCGCTAAAAGCGTCACCCAGGGTATTCTTCACTCGATCATTGCTTATACAACTGCTGTCAGATTATACACTCTAATTTAAAATGTACGACGAATTTTTACAGCACTTTAGCAATACTGCCTCCTTTAGACCCAGACAGAGTTTTTTTTTCTGATCATTGATTGTCGCCATGGCAAGAGGAAGAATGAAACCGTTTCAAAAATGCGAAAATGATAAGAGAGGCGCGCTTAGCAAATACGTCAACCAAGTCTTGTGACTCGTTATATTGACCAACTTTACCACGTTGCTCTTGAAAACGATGAATAACATTTGTTCGTTTCCAAGCGGAAGAGAATCCTTATCACCGGAACACTTAAAAGCTTCAACTGCACCTGTAAAGGTGACATGTTTCAGTTCGTTTTTCATTCCTTTAAGCTGGTCTCTGCATTAGTTGAAGTTTTCCCAAGAAAGATACACTGTGTACTTCCTGCGGTAGTAAGACACGCTTTCACTCATTTCCTGGTCGAACAAAAAAATAAACATCTTTGAATTTTTTTATTCCCTCTTAACACGCTTGATTTTGCATCAGCTCGGAGGAATTCAAACTGCGACAAAATTTAATTGAATTTCTAGTGAATAATTTACGAGGGGAAGTCAAGTAGGATATTTCATCCTTTTTTTCAACATGAGACGACTCCAGCGAATGGTTAAAACGTCTATTTGTTTACACACACTAAAAAGTATGTCAGTTATTCTTTCTCTAAATCTGACAGTTTCATTGAGGACCTTTAGCTTCAGCCGTCAGCATGAATATTTTATGTTTATTTTTCGACCTTTTACCAACTCGGTATTTTTAGCTCACTTAAGGTGCTAGTCTCGTCGAATTTGATATATTTTTGTTTTGAAATAAACCAATGGTCGGACTGAAATAGAATTCCACTTTATATGCACGTCATTTTACAAACAAACTTCGTTAAATTTCAACTATTTGCGTGTAACTACCTCCAAGCATTTTCCCTTAGTTTATGGCCGGCTGGCTTCACAGCCGGAATGAAAACACAAGCTAATCCTGATTTTCTGTTCTGCACTGAGCTTATTATTATTTACCCCTTTAGTGAACTATGTAGCATAGACATATTAACATGTCACGATAACTTGATGATTCAAACAGAACAGAACTAATTGAGGACAAAACAGTACCCCGATAAAATTCATAAATTCAGTCAAGATCGAAAGTGCAGTTTATGGAAATGAGTCAAGTTTCGACCCTGCTATCAATGTTATGTTTGGAATGATTACTATGCCAATTATCTCTCTGTGAAACTTTCGCAACCACAACATTACCCAAAAAGGCAAAAGCTTTCTATGTTGAGAAGCTAGGACATAGCATATTTATGTAGCAGTCAACTATTTGAGAATCTTCAAATCAGGAAAATAGCTGGAGAGCGTGAGGTAGCGAATGAAAAGGTCAGGGAAAAATCGATCTGGAAAAATCGATATCAGGTGTGCTCAGAAAAGGTGGAATCAACCCTCTATTGACATGGGAAAAATATAGCAATCTAAATAAAATGTGTAATGTTTAATCATTCTCCGCAAGTTCCTACGTCATATTCCGGCATAATTTCCCTTGATTGCTGTGTAATTATTTCTACCCCGATTTTGTTTTGGGGGAGTCGTTATGTTAGTGTTATGGCTGATTACGTCAACAAAGCCACTCAAGCTTACTCTTGCACAGACTTGACGTCGCTGTGTTTTCCGTCTTCTGAAGAGCTTTCTTTTCATTGTGATTTTGGTGGCTACAGGAGGTTCATCTGATTTAATTGTTCGATAATTTATAGCAAGGGAATGAGCGTGGGTCGTAGGTCGCGGGATCCGGTAGAATTTTTAAACTTATTTTAAGAGAAACACTACTTAGTTATCACATTGGCTTTTTCATATCTTTTTTTTGAGCTCCCTTCCGGAGCCCAAATCATGAAGAATGTTTCGATGGTAACTTTTAGCCGAGCTTAGCCTGATTGGCTTCTTATTTTTCTGCTTTTTTATGTTTTAGAGTTATCTTTCTAGCTTCACCAGCCAATGACACTGTCTCGGCGTTTGTAAATTTAAAGTCATGGTGGTCAGGCACAAGAGTCGACAAGAGAATCAAGAAATAAATGCGTAGAGTTTAGCCTATGTGCAGCTGTACCCTCCCTCCCCCAAGGTGAAACGCTTCCGTTTCACCTGGGGGGGGGGGGAAGTACGGCTACACGTAGGCTACCAAGAGTTCTGTAGTATAGCGTGTAGCCACAGCTGGTAGTGAACAGAATAGCTGCGGAGGAAGTAACTCTGTCTGTTGCGAATGAGAGACATTGATGTTCTAGAGTTGGCTGTGAACTACCGTACTTGTCAGTATCTTGTTTTTTTTTTTCCCTCTCTTTTTGACACTTTTTCGAGTCAAAACAACAGGGAAATGAAGATGAAATCGGCCTGTCCCATTAACCCTTTAACTCCCAAGATCTGATTGTTAATTCTCCTCTCTAGCTTTTACACAATTCCCGGCAAATAAGTTAGGCGAATTTGGTTTTAGATCAAGATAACAACTTTTACCTGATAAGTTTGGGTATTCTCATTAGTCCTTTGCTGGATAATGTATGGATCTCATAGGGAGAAGTTTAATGTTTATCACTTCTGGGAGTTACAGGTTAAAATCGGCCAGTATTTAATGCATGTTAAATCACTTGCCAGATTCCGTTTTTATTTCGTCGGAGGCTGCTTTCTTCGTTCGCTTATCCTAGACCTCTCATCCTCTACTGAAAGAGAGCCTGGAAAAGGCTAAAATCAGGACAAATGGGTTCCTGCAAATAGGTAGAATATTGAGTCCTCTTGATGCGGGGACTGAGCCTAAGAGTCAAAAAGAGTGGTGCCTCATGTTGTGCAAAATTGCACAAATGCATGAGAGGAAATTTCATGCAAGACGAAGCTAGCCTTCCACAAGCTTCTTTTTTATCGTCAGTTTCGAGCGAAGTATACCATCACGTTTGTGCAAGTCGTTTATCTTCATTATGGTCCTATAATGAAAACCTGGTCATGTCTGAGAACATACCTAGGTTAAGGCATCAGGTGATAAAACACCTTGCGCTTGTGACTCAATGCATAGAAAGGCTTGTAAACTACTGGTAGACGCGGTCGACCTGTGCTTCTATCTCTATTGAAAAACGTGACTGGTTTATTAATAGATTCTTTTAGTTTCCTGTTAATTCGAAACTTTTTCCTTCCACCTCACAAATGAAGAAAATATTGTACTCCAACGATTGCACTGATTGTTATCTTTTTGTTTCCAATTCTATCAGTTTAAAATCACGATTCCGCCCTTCCGCACGTGAAAGTCGTGCTAAACAGTGCCAGTATGCGCTCCAAACAAATCAAATATACCGGTGTACACTGGCAGGAATATTATGGTCTCTTGGGAGTTTAGAGAAGCTGACAAACTAAACTAATCAAAATTTTACAGCGCATTGCGAACGATAAGGATGGAGGAAATATTATCAACAAATACAGGAAAATATCATTTTATCACCGCCCTTCATCTCACATAAGGCTGAAAGAAAAAGTATACTCTTAATCAGTGAGAGATAGTCCTCAATAACAGCGGCTTAAGTGGTCAGAATCGACGGCATATGAATTAAATTTTCCAATTTTCAAACCTGCTGCTATAAGTAGAACTCCTCAACAGCTTAACTGCCTCGAGAAGGTTCCTTACGTACATCTGTTTGGGTTTTCAGGCTATGTGCTCTTGGCTGAGGAAGTCAGTGAGGTCTGAATACACCTAAACCAGCTTAAGGGTTGAGTCCCTGCGGCGCCGAGCAGATGAAAAGTGCATTGATACCTGTAGGAACTAAAAAGCACATAACATAATAATGATTTAAGAACCCATTGGCGTACTTCAATTCTTGGAAAGGCTGGTATCCAGACCTTACACGGACATAGTGGAGCCACACAATAGAATTATTTAAGCCCTTTTCATGGGCTAAATAAGTCACTGAGAAAAATTATCACCATAGGCACAGTAACAAAAAGAAATTAAAAAAAAAGCAAGACAAGAGCATTTAGCCGAGTCGATGATGCAACACTTCTTAACTGGAATAATATAGATTCTTGCTTCTGCCAAAAAAAGCTGCAATGGTACACGTTATTAACTACTGTCATATTTCCACCTCATATTCTTTACTCTGCGTCAACAAGACCAACAGTTTTCACATGTCGATCGTGGAATCGTCTCCTACACATGGCGAAACAAGATCCATCCGGTCATAAAACGCGTCAGAAAATAAACCACCCTTCTCTATTCTTTGTCAGAAATAGCCTCAAATTTAAATTTTTGAATGACACAGTCCCCACGTTGAATAATTGATCACAAATCGACCGATCAATGTCGGCGCTTACAACGGATAGTAAGAAGTAGACGTAAAAGTAGGCTGCCACCAGTGAAACGAAACGTGGTTTTCTTAACTTGCTGTTAAATTACTCGAGATTTTTTCGTAAGTAAAATTCAGGATTTAAGAAAATTAGAGTAAGAAATGCATTTGCTAGCATGATGGATTACGGCAATGTGACGACAAGGGCAATTTTTTGGCAGTTTTGCACTTTTATTGATCAGGGGAAAACACAGAGGAGAGGAGAGCAGATCAAGAAGCTGGAAAGCGGGAGTTTATGGAGAGGAAGCGACAATGATGGTGTAACCTTACCAGTTCCAGTTGTGAAAGGTCCTACAAATAAATTTCGAAACGTATGTGGAAACACGCTAAGTTTTAAAATGCCTGGCCTTATTTAAAATTCTATGTTTTGGAAACTACTATCGCCCACACATTTCCTCTGGGGGTTTTTATAATTGAACAAACCGCAAGCACGAAAAATTAGTGTTTGTGCAATGTCACGTGCAACTATCGATAACACAAGACTACAAGGGTTTTCATTCTCAGAGGCATGACGACTCCGTGGAGAGCAGTGCTTTCAGTTAGGGATGCGTTGCGTGGGATTATCAACAAATAAAAAAAATTCAACCGACTAATCAGTAACTAAGGTGATTAGTTGATCCCAGTGGCATGCCTTGATTCAAATCAAGCCATTTATATTCCATTTAAGCCCACGATTTTCCGTCACAACATTTTGAAGTAATTATCATGATAAGTTATCAAGAAAACTGCTCTCCGCCCGTACAAAGGTCAAGCAGTCTTGGCGACAGTCTGCTGTGAGTAGTCCGCGTGGTATAGCTGTCTTGAATTTATAAAAAAGGAAAAACTGTATTGAGTTTTTCCAAGTGATGTCATAGTCAGCAGCAGTGCTGTTGGCTCGCAACACGAAGAATCCTGCTTCTTTGGGCTATTTCCTGTGTGTTTTGTTTGTTTGTCTTCTTTTTACGCTAGTTACTTAATTTCAAAGCTACTCTGACGATGTGTATTGTATTAGAGTAAGCTAGAGTTGAACGGGTGAGGTCTACTGAGCATGGCCAATCTTAAGAATAACTAGCTGAATTACGGAAATATTCTGGCAACATGGGCCGTTAGATGGGTGGTTAAGTCCTTCTCAAGTACGTAAAAGGCAGGAAAAGTCTTTTTTTTTTTTTTACCAATTTCGTGACTATGGAGACCTTTTCAAAGTGGCTCTCGAACCACCCGTCCTCAACGAACTTACTACTCTTGCCCAGACGACCATATTTTTAGATCACCACAAAACTACTCTTCTCGTATATAGTCGTATTTCACGACCTTTCTACCAAAATATCCACCTTGCGTCTAAAATGGTGAGAGAGAGACAGACTAGACTCATGTTTGGTAAACGAACCACAGCGATTGAGGTTGAGTTCTCGAAACTGGGTTGCACACAAAGTTGTTCTTTACTGCGAAATTGATAAGTTTGGGGTTCGTTAGAATCCGCAGATTTCCACTTTGTCCCAAGCTTGAGACTCTCTCTTTTGTTTTGGCTTTAATTAACTTTGAGCTCTGAGTTAGTTAAAAGGTCTTAGAAATTTCGCGTATCCTTTTCGGCCAATCCGATGTCAGACAATTGCTACTTAGCTTTTTCAAGTCATGACACAATTGCTTTCTGTTTTGCGTCATTAAGTGTATCATGGCTACGTTTATTGATTTACTTCCAAAAATTCAACATTAAAAACATCGATAGAATTCACACGTTCGTCGCCTAAGGAAGTTTCCGAACCCGTTTATAAGTAAAAGTTATGTACATGTTTACATTTCCAGCTTACCAGGTACTAAAAATAGCTACTGCCTGACAAAAAAAAAAGTATAAACGCATTACTAAGACACTCATGATCAGCTTCCATCACTAATCTCCTCGAGCTACGCTATTTCATCACAGTATTGCAGCACTAAATATTGTGCGATCAAGGTAACAGAAAGTTGCACAACTTCGTTCATTCTAAATTATTTTAACCATCAGATAAGCTTGCAGCTTCAACCCTTTAACTCCCAAGATCTAATTTTCAATTCTCCCCTCTAGCTGCTACAGGTATCCTTGTAAATTAAATTATGAGAATTTGGTGTTAGATCAAGATAACTTCTACCTGATAAGTTAGAATATTCTCACTAGCATTTTGCTGGACAATGTGAGCATGTAATAGAGAGAGGTTTCATGTTGATCACTTCTGGGAGTTAAAGGGTTAAGGAAGAAGTGTTCTATATAACTGACAAGAATTAATGCCAGTATCTGAGTAACTACGCACCTACCACTCCCCTATCCCAATAACAGTCAACTGGTAAAAAGTTAGGGTTAATGTTGGGTTAGGGGAGGGGTAGGTGCGCAGTTCACTTGCGTGACAAAATCCAGTAACACTAATCACGCAAACTTCTCAATTGAACGAACAGATGGCTGCCGAAATGTTTATAACTATCCTCCCAACCCTCACAAAATGGAAGGTCAATCCTTCCTCACACGGAGATATTATATCAATCTGGAAGGATTATGAACTATTTTACATGCAGTTTCTGTACCAACTACTACATACCCTTATAATATTTTAGTGAAATTTGACAAATTTAACATTTTACATTTAAATATGGCCAGCTTTATCATTAATAGCTTTAGCCAGCAGCCAAGTTTCAAATATTCTCAGCCTCGCTTTGCTAGTTAAGCCTTAGAGCACATCAAGGTGTGATATCTGTACTTTGCTGTGAAACAACTACTGTAACAGTAGGCTGTAATTCAAGACCATGCGTGCGCCAAAATGGTGTGATAACCAGATGACAAGAGAACCAAAATCAAAGATTAAGAAATAGATAAATAAAAACACATTAATCGATACCTACACCACAACACCAGCTATTCTATAATCATATCTTACAAAGAAAGCAAAAAATAACCTTTGCCTTAACAAACAACAACAATAAAAAGGGAAAGGTAAAGAAAGTTGAAACAAGCACGAAGAACAGTACTTCCCACAATCTTCCACAAAATGTTTGAAAATTTTGCCTTCAAGTTTCATTTATGAAATAAAGTACAGTTGACTGAACCACTGAATTCACTTTGTTACTTTCCCTGACCCAATCCTTCTAGCCCTGTTCACTATGAAGATATGAGCACACTAAGTACGGTACCCACAAAGTATCAACTTTGTCACACGGTAGGGGAATGGAGACAGAATATATGGATTGGCTGTTTTTCAAGTCAAATGGAAGGCTGCCTCAATCATTTTGTTGAAGATTGTCGATTGCATTAAAACATCCATGCTGACTGTAGCTGTGTCACTGTCACATAGCAAAGCAAAACTTCTCAATTATGCAACTTCAGGGCCAAAGTCTTCATACAGAGGGTCATGCATGGAGATATCATTGTAGTATGCAGCACGCAGGCGTGAACGGTGGTGATACTTCTTCCAGTAAACAACTGTACCAATCACCACAAGGATGGCTACAAGTCCAGCTGCGCTGATGCCAATGATGGCTGCTGTGGATAAAGATGAATCATCTGGAAAAGTAAACAGTAGACAGTAGAGTTAGCGATTTCTTGACAAATTTGTTGATTTGTTGAGTGATTTTACAATGTACATGCACTTCACCTTGGTGGAGTGTGGGGGGTGCACCACAGTTTAACCAAAGGAATTGTTTCAGGCATTCAATCACTTTCCTTCCTCATAATTTCAAAGCAATTACATATTACAAATTCATGCATTGAATGCAGACTATATTTGACATTATCTTAACCAAAAGCCAGTTCTTGGCAAATGCTAAGAACAGCTCAGAGCAAAAACCTCCCTAACCTGTTGAATTTTTTTTCCTTGCTTCAAAGTGAGAACCTGTGGGATGACCTGCATGACATTAAAAAATTAAAAAATCTTATCAACCCATATCGAACAACTAACAGAGCAAAATTATGTAGGATATATCAAAGTTCACATGGCAACCAGGTGGGCAATCAGACATGGTTTGATGGAACAATGGTTTAACGATTTAATGAATGCAACTAAGAAGTTAAAAACCTACCCACACCAACAAATGCCTCTCTCAACTCTCACCACCCTATTTGCCATAAAATGTCCATGCCAAAACTTTACTCAGGCACCCATGCCTAACTAACCATACAATTGAGTGGGATAAGTCTAAAATTATCACTACTAATCGACATTACCACCAGCATCTTTGTTTGGAAGCCTGGCATATCAACTCTGCCCACACTCCTTTAAATTGTGATGGTGGCTTACTACCTGACACCCATTTCACACCTCTTCAGAAAAAAGAGCAGCAAATTAGTGAGCATATTAAAGGACTTCTTGTTACAGTGATTAGATCACCCCTGATAAATGCACTAAATAGGAGTGTCGAAACATTGGGTCTATGAATTGTAACTTCTGGGTTACATTCATTAAATCTTTAAACCAGAGTAGCATCAAACCATGTCAAAAATTATCTACTCAAGCACATTCAATGTCTACCCTTTGTTATCATGCAATAAAATTGCCATGACCATATTTTTTTCTGCTCTACAAAATCTATGTTACATCCCACTGCACTTATTTAGTACACAGTTTGGCAAAGTATTCCTAAAGCACATTGATTTCTTCCTTCATTATCACAAGTCTTGCATTTCATGGATGGAATAGCACTGGGGCCAATTGCATCACCATGAAAATCAACAACAAGTTCCCTGTTATATAGTATTCACCTTGGCCTCAATTTTGAGATTGGAACATACACCTACTCAGTGGTAAAATAACTTTGGCTGTAAGTATAGCATGTTTGAGAAATAAAATAAACAGTTGTTGAGAGAGTTCTGGAAGACTCAAAAGTAGTGACTTATGTAGTCTTTTCTGATAATATCCGTTTGCAAGTGGTTCATAAACTTCAAGGCCTATTCACACTGCATGAATTTTGCATTTTTTTTTTTGCTGAAAATTATGAATGTGGTTTAAGATCTGATGTTAAATGACATCTTGAAATCCTAAACACATTAGAGCAGGGAGTATGTCAGTCTTAAATTGGTGAACTGTTTTCCTATGATTAATCAAATTACCACATATTAAATGCTTAAATGTCATCTACAGCAATTGATAGCAGAGCGTGGAAAACCTATGGCTACAATGTGGTATATTAAATGGATATAATTGCCTTTCATATATAACTACAATTGATGCATGTGTTACGGAGAGATAGTAGATTTGTACAAAGCACTACTACTACTAATAATAAGACAATTTTAATCACAATTGTAATAGTTTAGTCCACAATTCCACTGGGCATCTCTGAACAAAAAATTATAACTTAAATTCTCAATGAGTTAAATGAATATAACTACCAAGCAGCAATCCTCTCACTGGCAAGAAGGGAAGCAACAAAGCACACTCAAAGTCCACTTAATGTTGCAATTAATATAGTCTGCATTCAATGCACTTTTAATTTTTGGCTCTTATGTCTAGCAAAGGCCCATGTCCTGCTCTTTTTTTGCAACATTAATTTGTAGGCACATACTTAATGTATCCGTAAAAGTAAGGTATCCAATGAGTATGCATTCCACACACTACTTTCCCAATTACTGTGGTGAAAAGTGTCCAAAGTGGACTTTGAGTGTGCTTTGTTGCTTCCTACAAATTAATGTTGCCAAAAAAGAGCAGGACATGGGCCTTTGCTAGACATAAGAGCCAAAAATTAAAAGTGCATTGAATGCAGACTATATTTAATATTATCCTATCCAACATCCAATTCTTGGCAAACACTAAGAGCAGCTTAGAGCAAAACCTCCCTAACCTGTTGAATATCTTTTCCTTGGTTCAGAGTGAGGACCTGTGGGATGACCTGCATGACATTTAAAAATTAAAAATCTTATCAACCAATATTGAATATCCGACAGAGAAAAAATTATCTACTCAAGCACATCCAAGGTCTACTTTTGTTACCATGCAATAAAATTTCCATGGCCATATTTTTTCTGGTCTACAAAATCTGTTACTTCCCACTGCACTTATTTAATATGCATAAACATGCCTTTTTTTCATGAGCCCAGAACAGACACATTTTACAGTTACACATAAAAAAAATAACAATACTGCCACCTGAAAACTAACTTGAAAGTAGTGATTTATGTGATCTTTTTTGAAAATATTGCATTACAAGTGGTTCATAAACTTTAATGTCTATTCACTTTGCATGAATTTTTGTGTTGAAAATTAAAGAGTGTGGTTTCAGATCTGATGTCAATCCTTGAAATCCTGAACACATTAGAGCGGGGAGTTTGTCAGTCTTAAATTGGTGAACTGCTTTCCTATGATTAGTCAAATTACCACATATTAAATGTTTAAATGTCATCTACAGCAATTGATAGCAGAGTGTGGAAAACATATAGCTACAATGTGGTATATTAAATGGATATAATTGCCAGTGCATATATAACTACAATTGATGCATATGTGATGTAGAGATAGCATATTTGTACTAAGTACTATCACTACTAATAATATGACAATTATAATCATAATTTTAATAGTTTAGTCCACAATTCCACTGGGCATCTCTGAACAAAAAATTATAACTTAAATTCTCAATGAGTTAAATGAATATAACTACCTAGCAGCAATCCTCTCACTGGCAAAGGAGGGAAGCAACAAGGCACACTCAAAGTCCACTGTAAGGCACTTTTCACCACAGTAATTGGGAAAGTAGTGTGTGGAATGCATTCTCATCAGATACCTTACTTTTACTGGTACATTAAGTATGTGATTACAAATTAATGTTGCAAAAAAAGAGCAGGACATGGGCCTTTGCTAGACATAAGAGCCAAAAATTAAAAGTGCATTGAATGCAGACTATATTTAATATTATCCTATCCAACATCCAATTCTTGGCAAACACTAAGAGCAGCTTAGAGCAAAACCTCCCTAACCTGTTGAATATCTTTTCCACGGTTCAGAGTGAGGACCTGTGGGATGACCTGCATGACATTTAAAAATTAAAAAATCCTATCAACCCATATTGAATATCAGACAGAGAAAAAATTGTCTACTCAAGCACATCCAAGGTCTACTTTTGTTAGCATGCAATAAAATTTTCATGGCCATATTTTTTCTGGTCTACAAAATCTGTTACTTCCCACTGCACTTATTTAATACCCATAGACATGCCTTTTTTTCATGAGCCCAAAACAGACACATTTTACAGTTACACATTAAAAAATAAAAAATATACTGCCAACTGAAAACTAACTTGAAGAGTGATTTGTGTCATGTTTTCTGAAAATATTGCATTACAAGTGGTTCATAAACTTTAATGTCTATTCAATTTGCATGAATTTTTGTGTTGAAAATTAAAGAGTGTGGTTTCAGATCTGATATTAATCCTTGAAATCCTGAACACATTTGAGAGGGGAGTTTGTCAGTCTTAAATTGGTGAACTACTTTGCTATGATTAGTCAAATTACCACATATTAAATGTTTAAATGTCATCTACAGCAATTGATGGCAGAGTGTGGAAAACCTATAGCTACAATGTGGTCTATTAAATGGATATAATTGCCTTGCATATATAACTACAATTGATGCATGTGTTATGGAGAGATAGTAGATTTGTACTAAGTACTATTACTACTAATAATATGACAATTATAATCATAATTGTATTAGTTCAGTCCACAATTCCTCTAGGCATCTCTGAACAAAAAAATCATAATCCTCTCACTGGCAAGGAGTGAAGCAACAAAGCACACTCAAAGTCCACTGTAAGGCACTTTTAACCACAGTAATTGGGAAAATAGTGTGTAGAACACACACTCATCAGATACCTTACTTTTACCGATACATTAAGTATGTGCCTACAAATTAATGTTGCAAAAAAATAGCAGGACACGGGCCTTTGCTAGACATGAGGGCCAAAAATTAAAAGTGCATTATCCTATCAAACATCCAATTCTTGGCACATGCTAAGAGCAGCTTAGAGCAAAAACTCTCTAACCTGTTGAATATTTTTTCCTCGGTTCAGAGTGAGGACCTGTGGGATGACCTGCATGACATTTAAAAATTAAAAAATCCTATCAACCCATATTAAATATCTGACAGAGAAAAAATTATCTACTCAAGCACATCCAAGTTCTACTTTTGTTACCATGCAATAAAATTTTCATGGCCATATTTTTTTCTGGTCTACAAAATCTGTTACCTCACACTGCACTTATTTAATACGTATAGACATGCCTTTTTTTCATAAGCTCAGAACAGACACATTTTACACATTTAAAAATAATAATACTGCCAACTGGAAACTAAGTTGAAAGTAGTGATTAATGTGATCTTTTCTGAAAATATTGCTTTACAAGTGGTTCATAAACTTTAAGGTCTATTCACTTTGCATGAATTTTTGTGTTGAAAATTAACAGTGTGGTTTCAGATCTAATGTCAATCCATGAAATCTTGAACACGTTAGTGAGGGGAGTATGTCAGTCTTAAATTGGTGAACAGCTTTCCCATGATTAGTCAAATTACCACATATTAAATGTTTAAATGTCATTATAACCACTTAAATTCTCAATGAGTTAAATTAATATAACTACCAAGCAGCAATCCTCTCACTGGCAAGGAGGGAAGCAACAAAGCACACTCAAAGTCCACTTTGGACACTTTTCACCACAGTAATTGGGAAAACAGTGTGTGGAATGCATTCTCATCAGATACGTTACTTTTACCAATATATTAAGTATGTGCCTTCAAATTAATGTTTGCAAAAAAAAAAGAGCAGGACATGAGCCTTTGCTAGACACGAGGGCCAAAAATTAAAAATGCATTGAATGCAGACTGTATTTAATATTATCCTATCCAACATCCAATTCTTGGCACACGCTAAGAGCAGCTGAGAGCAAAACCTCCCTAACCTGTTGAATATCTTTTCCTCGGTTCAGAGTGGGGACCTGTGGGATGATCTGCATGACATTTAAAAATTAAAAAATCTTATCAACCCATATTGAATATCTGACAGAGAAAAAATTATCTACTCAAGCACATCCAAGGTCTACTTTTGTTACCATGTATTAAAATTTCTATGACCATATTTTTTTCTGGCCTACAAAATATGTTACTTCCCACTGCACATATTTAATATGCATAGACATGCCTTTTTTTTCATGAGCCCAGAACAGATACACATTAAAAAATAAAAAATATACTGCCAACTGAAAACTAACTTGAAAGTAGTGGTTTATGTGATCTTTTCTGAAAATACTGCATTAGAAGTGGTACATAAACTTTAATGTCTATTCAATTTGCATGAATTTTTGTGTTGAAAATTAAAGAGTGTGGTTTCAGATCTGATGTTAAATAACATCTTGAAATTCTGAACACATTAGAGCGGGGAGTATGTCAGTCTTGAATTGGTGAACTGTTTTCCTATGATTAGTCAAATTACCACATATTAAATGTTTAAATGTCATCTACAGCAATTGATAGTAGAGTGTGGAAAACCTATGGCTACAATGTGGTATATTAAATGGATATAATTACCTTGCATATATAACTACAATTGATGCATGTGTTATGGAGAGATAGTAGATTTGTACAAAGCACTACTACTAATGATAATATGACAATCATAATTGTAATAGTTTAGTTCACAATTCCACTAGGCATCTCTGAACGAAAAATTATAACTTAAATTCTCAATGAGTTAAATGAATATAACTACCAAGCAGCAATCCTCTCACTGGCAAAGGAGAGAAGCAACAAAGCACACTCAAAGTCCACTTTGGACACTTTTCACCACAGTAATTGGGAAAGTAGTGTGTGGAATGCATACTCATCAGATACCTTACTTTTACCAATACATTAAGTATGTTATTACAAATTAATGTTGCAAAAAAGGAGGAGGACATGGGCCTTTGCTAGACATGAGGGCCAAAAATTAAAAGTGCATTGAATGCAGATTATATTTAATATTATCCTATCCAACATCCAATTCTTGGCAAACACTAAGAGCAGCTTAGAGCAAAACCTCCCTAACCTGTTGAATATCTTTTCCTCGTTTCAGAGTGAGGACCTGAGGGATGACCTGCATGACATTTAAAAATTTAAAAATCTAATCAGCCCATATTGAATATCCCACAGAGAAAAAATTATCTACTCAAGTACATCCAAGGTCTACTTTTGTTACCATGTAATAAAATTTCCATGGCCATATTTTCTTCTGGTCTACAAAATCTGTTACTTCCCAATGCACTTATTTAATATGCATATAATAGACATGTCTTTTTTTTCATGAGCCCAGAACAGACACATTTTACAGTTACACACTAAAAAATAAAAAAACATACTGCCAACTGAAAACTAACTTGAAAGTAGTGATTTATGTAATCTTTTCTGAAAATATTGTGTTATAAGTTGTTCATAAACTTTGAGGTCTATTCACTTTGCACGAATTTTTGTGTTGAAAATTTAGAGTGTGGTTTCAGATCTGATGTCAATCCTTGAAATCCTGAGCACATTAGAGAGGGGAGTTTGTCAGTCTTGAATTGGTTGCCTGCTTTCCTATGATTGGTCAAATAACCACATAAATAAGTGTTTAAATATTGTCTACAGCAATTGATAGCAGAGTGTGAAAAACCTATGGCTACAACATGGAGAGCTAGTAGATACCTAGAGTATAATTATAACTAGGTATAATAGTTAAGTCAACAATTCCAAAAGGTATCTCTGTTAGAAAATGCATAAAAATAGCTAAATAAAAAAAAATTCATTGCAAAAAAAAATATTATTAAGAAATTAAAATGCATCAAAACTCTTACTGAACCAAGCTAATATATCATGTTTCAGCTTATGTAGATTATCTTGTGTGAAAACAGGATTTGAAAACTTTGGAGATTTTGCATGTAGGGTTGTATAAAAGCCTGGATAGATTGTGTTGGAAAGATTCCCTTTGAGTGGAAATGATCAGGATAATCCACATGCTTGAGATTATAATCTACAACAATGAGTTAAGTTTAAAATTAAAAAAAAATTCAATACTCTTACATAAACCAAGAAGTTACATGTTTGAAAGCCATGAAAATAACTTACAACCTGAAATGCACATATTAATATTATTATTAGATCATTAGTAGCACGCTCATTGGGATTAGTTCATGTACACATGGTTATGCTCTCCTCTTATTTAACAAATAGAGAAGTCTTGACTGTGCTCTGTTCTGCTGTAAAGCACGCAGGAAGTGGCTAGAGCATGAAAGAAGTGTAGGGGGAAACACGAGACGTAGTCGTGCTTTGTAAGTGCTTTACAATAGAACAGAGCACAGTCAAGGTTTCTCTAGTTGTTTTATAATAAAGAATCCATTAAGTTCCCCAAGAATTACTTTTAATTTTCAAAACAAACTTCATTTCCAAAGTGAACAACAGTGTCGTCAGCATGCTCTATACTCTCATAACGCATACTACAATAAGCCAATCAGATACCCTGTTAGAATGGTTCAAATAATCTGATTGGCTGTATAAGACTAAAGCTGTCAAAAATGTCAAACCATCAAAGTTAAAAAATCATCAAAGTTCATATTCTGCAATAGTTTACAATGTCGAATTTAACACTTTCACCTGAAGTTTTTTAGTTTCTAATACAGAATCTGAAAGTGGAATGTTCAGTAAAATTCAGCCCAATTGTGGCTCACAAAAATACGCAAGTTATTTCACATGAAAAGTAGAAAACAATCTGTTCAAGGCAAGTGTATTATGAATGAACAACAGCCAAATTCACTAGGACATGAATTGAATGACAGTGCCATAAAACTCAGCTGCAGTGACTGATGTGGCCTTCCACTCAACGCATCGGAAAGGTAATCAGAGCAAGCTGTTATTTTTCCACTTGAAGGGTTGTCGATTTAGTTCCTGAGGCTTGCTCCATGGCGATGACTGAAGATCGCCATGATGAGCTAGCCATGATAGACCTCAGCATGATCGCAGTCGTTCTGACACCGTCATGATTAGTATGAATTTTAACAGTTATGCCAGGTTATATTTTTCATCATTCCTGTTTTTTTTCTGTTTTGTTTTTGAAAATGAAACTTTATATACTATACAAGTGTTAGCTGTGTTTGATTTAATCACCGTATGTAAACTTGCAATCTAACTGAGCGTGAAAACTGTTAAAACTAGGACTGTCTATTTTGTTTTATCTTTGAGGATTTTTGTCTCTGCTAATGTTACAGTAACATAAATTACTGTGCCTGGTATTTTTGCATACCTTTGCTTGCTTGTTCCAAAATTTCACTTTCAATTAACGAAAGAAAGCTAGAAAGAAGTCCCAGAAAAGGTCGGACATAGTACAATTTGGCAGATGGTGTGACAGCTTTAGCTCAGTTCTATGCTCTACATGAGGGGACACAAGCGGCCTCAACTGTAAGTACTTTTTAGAAATGCTAGGATATTATCCTAGCATTCCTAACATTCCGAGCTGCGTGAGAGTGTCAAAATCCGCGCGTATGTCACAGAAATGTCACTAGACCTAGAGTAAGCAGATGAGGGCAAATAAATCATGTGGATATATTTCTCTTTATAATCTACAATGTAACACAAAGGAACTGGCCGAGGAATAAAGGCACTATTGATTACGTGTGAAACAAAAACATTAGCTGATGACATTTTGATATCAGGCATTAATTCATTTATCTTCTCATATTTATTCGCTCTCATCTGGCGTACTTTAGGTCTAGTGAAATTTCTAACATACGCATGGATTTTGACACTCTTGTGCAGCTCGGGATGTTAGGAATGCTAGGACAATATCCTAGCATTTCCAAAAAGTACTTAACAGTCGAGGTCACTTGCGCCCCCTCGTGACTCTCATAGAGCTTGCTCTTTCAACCAATGACACTATGTGTTATATCTGAACTTTATTATAACCATTATTATAGCCTGCTAATTTATGCCTGCATACTTCCAACAGTATTTCATCACATTATCCTCACGTATTGCTGTTTCACTAAGGGGGAGATAGGATGGCCAATTGTTGCTGCTATGCAAGTCTTTGAAACATGTCCTAGGGAGGTGGATGGTTACTACACCCTAAAATACTAAAGGCAACTAATGATTTTGACAGCAAGGTGTAATCAAAACCTTCAGTTGTGACATTGCTGCACTGCTGTGGTTTGTCTTTGCTGATTCTGCTGCTCTGCCAACACTGTCCATTAAGGTAGAACTGAGTTTAATTAGAGTTGCTCAGCTCTTTAGGTAATTCACTCATTTTCTTCAAAAATAGCTTTTCACTATTTTTAATTTTCTACAAGTTTATCAATTATACCATCTTGAAATATGGAGTAAATAACTATCTTACTCAATATTTGCTTTAAAAAAAAGACAGAATTTGAGCAACCTGCCTGTGGCAGTCACACTATAAGTTTAAAAATGAATATTTGTAAGACAATACTCCCAAAACACTGAATACAACAATAAGGCAGAAAAGGTTAATTAAATTAGTGTAAACTAGCCAAAAAGGGTGAATTTTCACCACATGGCCCAATTATGCTTAAGACCTATCTAAATTAGTTCCAAATTCAGGTCATGTACATACATGCTTTGTTCGTACTTTTTATATATGCTTAACATTATGTGATGATGATCGTTATGACAATTTTAACATATGTTTACTTAAGTGTAATTGATAAGAGTTGAGTAACAGCACTGTGTTGATAATGAGCTGTTCAATTTTGTTGGTAATGAATCACTCAACATTTCAGTTAATAGAAAAACCATTTTGCCAGGTCATACTTTTATATTCACACTTAAGATTCAAGTAAATAGAACAAATCAAATTGTTCAAACAGCAGTGGTGGTCTTTCCCACTTGTAAACAGATATGTTTTTAAGCTTGATGTTAATCACAAACAACAGAATGGAAAATGATTTTCTTCACTTATCCTATGAAGCTAAAATCATCCTGGTAAAACATTAGGAAAATTTCTCCTGTTCCAGGAAACTGCATATAATTTCATATAACTTTACAGATGAATGAATGCAAATGATTCAAATCTTGCTGCTACCCACTAGCTGTAAACTTTTATGACAACAACTTTATTAAACTTGATATTTCCTGATCTTGTTCACTTTCTTAAGAGGTAATCAGCAGTTCAAAACCTTTTTCCTTTTTCTTCACAATGTAGGCAAGCTGTTTAAAAAATGAACTGATGCCAGACACTTTGGGACAAAACCACGTAACTTCACCAACATCGAAATTCCTCCTTTTTTATAAATCTAACACACCATTCAAAGTGAAACAAAGGGTAGAACAAAAGACTGCTTCATACGCACTAATGAGCTTCTTTTGTGCAAGTTTTTTTTTAGTGCATTTGAAAAAAATTCAGGTGGACACACGCTTTTTTTAACACGCTTTTTGTGTGCAACAAGGGCCAAAAACCTCTGTGCTGTACTGTAATTACGCACCATTTGGTGGTTTTGAAACTGTCACATTGAAAAGAAATGGAAACTACTATAGTGACAAACCTGTCGGTTCAGGTGCAGTACCACATGGCTTGTAATGAGTTGTACTTGTATTGAATCCTAAGAAATATAAATGAAATTAAGATTTCTTTTTACAGTACTCAGTATTTTTCAGCTCTATTACACCCTACCATCAGCATCCATAATTCCCATACTATTCTTTACACATTTCTTTTAGTGCTGACTAGGAAATTTTTGTAACAATCAAAGCTTCTTAGATTGGTGATCATTTTCTTTATTCTCATAATCTTAGTGAATCATGCACTACCAGTAGCTCTACTTTGAGACAAAATTAGAGGCAGGTCTTAGGGTTTTAAGTTATGGAGCTTTTGTCAGTCTCTGGGTGCATTACTTCCTTTTTGAATCACATCATTCTATCATTTCTACCTTTGTAGTAATCACATTTAAAGGAAAAAGCTGACTGTTTTACTCGAGTTTATCTTTTGTTTCTATATTTTCCTCCAACAACTTTCACCGCTCTATATCAATTATGGTTACTGTCAGTTGCAATACTCTGGAGCTACGAGTTTAAAAAGAAAAAAAAAAGCCATAACACATATCAATAGCAATTTATGGAGGTTAGTTTTAGCTTGATAATTATATATCTTGTGGTTCAACAGTTATGCTTGATTTAAAATTTTCCAAATTACCATTTTCATATATTAATTCGATGATATCTGTTTGCCTTCTATTTATCAGAAAAATCATATGTTAATCTAAAACAAAGGTCACTGAAGATTAAACAGGTTGTGAAAAGCCAAATCACTCTTCTAAAATCAACTCTACTGTCTGAACCTTACTAAAACCACTATACAAGCCACACAAAATAAATACTAGTACCTGGGCAGCTTTGCATTTTCACACAAAATTCCTTGTCCACTACAGTTAATGTACGGCAACTCACTATAGGAGGACAAACTTCCCAAACAACCTGGGGCAGAAAGGAAGTTAATTGTAAGGCCAGCTGTACCAATTTATCCAATAAGTTTTAAATTTTTCTACCAGGCAAATTCACTGCTGCTGAATCAGTAACATCAGTGTTGTGTCATAAATTATTTTTTGTTCTTTGTCATTGGGGTATGGAAAGTATTGCAAAATAGTTTATTTTCTCACAAAAACCCCTGCACCCCCCATCAAATGTCCACCTCATCTAGACACTGACGCAAAATTGCGAATTTAGAAATAAATGCCAATGGTGTTGAACACTTTAACTCCCACAAGTGAATAACATATACCCTCTACTTGTAATGTCCATTATTATCAAACTACAAGGTTATGAGAGTACTCAAATTTATCAGGTGGAAGTTTTTACCATGATCTGACACCAAATTCTCATAACTAATTTGCAAGGAAATGTATTGCACTTAGGGGGGAGAATTAACAATCAGTTGTTGGAAGTTAAAAGGTTAAAATTTAAAATTCAAATTAGGACCACTCTTTGACCCAGAAACAGTTTGTTACCACCACATGAAGGGAAAAAACAAGTTGACATAACCAACCAACCCTTGCTCTATGAGGATGGTGATAAAATATCAACCAAAAAAAGTTAAAGAAAATTGTCCTCTGCAGATAAAATCAGGGCCCTCACTAAATGATTGCCTCATATAAATACAGAGTTCAAAGGGACCAGTCTGAAAAAAATGGTACACATATACTGCTGTACTTGGAAAAATGCAACAAAGAGGAAATAATGATAAAACTTTTCCCTAAAGAAGCAACTCATATTCATAAGTTAACTCTCTGCTTAATTAGAGTATGGAGCTCACTAGAGACATAAACTTACGTTGGTTGTTATAACATTCTCTTTTCGTGACAGTGTTTTCACATGTAGGTAAACTTCTCCTATGTGAGGATCATTATAAACCCTGAACTTTTTACCCTGCTTCAGTTGAACACCTTTGTTTCTTATGCCCTTGCTTGGAACATTTAGGAAAAGATGATAGTAGACAGGATCTTTACAGTGTTGTAAATCAACTTCAAGGGAACCCCCACCTGACCAAGTGCAGTTCACTCCTGTGGTATTGGTAGGAATATAAGCAACAAAATAACATTAGTTAACCATCACCTTGGTGAGCTTTAATCCACCCACATTTATCCCTATACCTCACACCTCAAGATGTCTAAGAAATAGAATAATTTATGGGAAGGGTGAGTTCAGTCTTCTAGGGGGCCTCCAATGATGAAAATAGTTGCTGATAAATTCATGACAGTGTCTTATATTTCACAGATTTTATAGAAACAAATTGGAAACAAGAATGGATGTGTATAAAAACTAGAAACAAGTACAAGCAATAATGATGTTTAAATATCCCCAAAGGTGCCTTGGGTTTACATGACATAACACAGTTACCATTATTATCATCAATAATAACACTATTGTTCAAAATAGTCCCAAGGGAACCAAGCAGATAATAGTGGTAGTCATAACTTGTCATTCCATCCAACCTGATGGTCCCCCACCAATTCCTATTTTAAAATATCTGACAAATCTTTTGATCAATTTTTATCACAGTAAATACTTCATTCCCACTCTTACAAACAAACTTCTATTTCAAAGATCAATTTTGATAACTTAACCCTTTAACTCCCAGACATGCCTTACATGTTACTTCTCACTACAATATACATTATCAAGCAAAACTGTAATGAGAATACTCAGACTTATCAGGTAGAATTTGCTTTCTTGATCTGACACAAAATTTTGCAACTAATTTATAAGGAAATATGTAGCAGCTAGAGAGTATAATTGACAATCAAATCTTGGGAGTTAAAGGGTTAACAAAAATTTCTTCCAACAGTGGAAGTTTTCTTTAAACTTGAGTTTATTGATCTGAAACAATTGTTATAAAATGACACAACTCCTTTGTTGAGTTTATTGCATGAATAAGTTGTTTGCAGTGAACTGCTGGTAGTCAGCAACTGAGACCAAAAACTACTGAAACCAGCTTTCCACAACTGATAGTTGAAAATACTTCAAACCGCACAATAGACATTATGCAGAGTTCCAGTATTTTATGATTAACTTAAAATTTGTCCCAAAACACCTGACAAATGAATTCTAAGTTTTTCAAACTATTTGATGAAAGAGTAACAAATCAAATCTATTATATTTTGCCCTTAACAACCACAAGAGGAACAAAGCCAACAAGAAACAAACGCAGATGTGTCAATGTATTATAACCTAAATTAGCAAAGTATGACTGTATTATTGTATTATTGTAGCTTAGATATTTACATTGTACCTGTACAATGTATGTTTCGTTGGCAAACAGCATCTTTTTGCAGGGCTATCTTTATCTCTTCTTTTAAATGACTGGCAACAGTGCTCATAACTTTACATTCTGGAAAATTAGAAGGGTTCTTTTCTGCTTCAAGAAAACTTAGAAGACCTAAGAAAAGATGGGAAATGAGCAAACATTACTCACTACAAAGAAAAAAAAATGTAAATAAAACAAACAACAAATCTGTTTGCATCATAACTCTAGGCATTATTCTAACATCAACCCCTGCCTTACAAAGCTACTTAATTCTGTTTATCACTTTTTCTAATTACAACAATAATTGTACTATACCCCCATGAAAGTCTTCTGGGGCAATATCAACATCACATGACACAGTAGAGCAAAAAAATTTTTGATGAGTTGTCACTAAACTGGTTTCATCATTCCAGCCACAATAAACTTTTAACAGTTCTTTCTCTGCTGACAAGCAATGCTACCATCATAATAAAAAGCTTCAGGTTTCCTTCAGGTCTAAGACAAGGTGGACTTACTGACCTTACCAAAAATAACTGCACAAAATGAGGAAGGATTAAAACTAACGCACTCTAAAAGTTTTTGTTCTGGGGATCATGGTTGACTGGATATCTTTACATTTTCTGATTTTTCATAGTATTCAAAATATGGAGATTACTGCCTGCTGCAACCTCACAAACAAACGTTGTTTCTATTAGCTGCCAAGAGTTATAAATTATGTAGTAGGTTCTTCCTAGCAGCACTTACGCCAAAGAATTACAAAGGAAAGGTAAAACATAAAACTGGTGAAGAATGTACCACTGATCCACTGTAGATTAACGTCTGAAAGATTATAGATGTGTTACTGTAACATCGACCGCATACTAGAAATAGGCTCAAAGTTTAACCAAAATCATCGTGAAACAAAGACGCGACCTGCGTTAGGGATAGTGTTGTGATCAGGAACAATTATTAACATGTACAGGCATAAAATTTTCCAAACAAAACCGAATTATATTTCGCGAATCTTTATTTTTCACCGACATAAGCATGACGAAGCTAAATATCACACGATAAACATGGCCTAAAAGCAATAGAAAAACAAAGAGATCAGCTAAACGAGAAATCACCCCATATACTCAAGCCAATGGCAAACGATCATACCGGCCTTTCGTGCCGAAAACAAATACGCACCTAGTCATCTGCCGAACACGCTTGATGAAAATCGAACCCGAGAACTTAAGTAAAAACGAAAAAAATAAACAAGAAGGTTAATTTTCTTAGCAAAGTTGCTCTTGAGCGACCAAGAATTTCTAAATCTTTGTTAAACTGAAGTAAAAACGTCCACCGACATAAGTACTCTGCTGAGAAGGAAAGGAAAAATTGTGAGTGGGTTATAAGTATAGATGCGAATTTTTTTTCATGACGATACTAAAATACCAACAAAGACTTACAGGAAAATCCGAGGAGCTGGATCCACATCTTGGAAAAATTTACGAATGACGAGGCGAAAATTTTCTCACGAAGAAACAAGAGCGAAAGCGAGCCAACAATATAGTTTGTTTTCCTGTTTGTCGCTCGAATAGAATCATGGGAGTAGAAGCCAGATTCTATCTTAGTCAGCGGCAATGTGTTCATGGTTTATATATTTGTGTAAGAACCCCCCATGAAACCTGTGTGACATCTCTTTTTTCGGTTATCGCAGCTAAAGCGTGAAAAGGGGAAGTGATGTTGGTTTCTTAAAGACTTGACTGGAATAGGTAATTCGTGAAGTGCACGAAGAGAAAAGTTGATTACATATATAACAGTTTATCATGGAGTCCTTGGAAACACGAGGGCAACCGCCACGTAGGCATGATCCGGTGTTTTGAAAATTTCGATGCTCAAAGGCCATTGAATTTACTTTGGTTCCTGTGAACTACTCTACCCCTTAATTTCAACATGAGAGTGCATACAAGAAGCGTTCTTCTGGTCGGCATTCTCTGTTCCGTACTGTTTATCTTCTCTTTGGAACTGTGGCCGCCTCTTTTCAGTGACGACGAAACTGAAGTGATTTCTAATTCCCCTTTGGTCGACAGTGATGTTTCAGAAATTCGTTTGAAGATTGTATCGCCGGTTCCCGATGAACGAGATTCAAAGTGTTTAATGCACAACTGTTTTGACATTTTTCGATGTAAAGTCAACGAAAACAAACTGATATCCGTCTACGTATATCCAGACACTCGCTTCTTGGACGAGGAAGGAAAAACAATAAACAAACCAATGTCGCAAGAATTCTATGAACTGCTGACAACTATTGTGGAGAGTAAATACTATACTCCTGATATCGGAAAGGCTTGCATTATAGTTCCTTCAATTGATACTTTAAATCAGAAAGGCCTCGATCTTAGATGGACGGCCAGAAGTCTTGCAGAGTTACCCAGGTAAGGTTTGATTGTCGTTTACGGTACATAAAGCATGATTTACTCGAACGTTCTGATGGAGAGTAGTAACAATCACTTACAAAACAAAAAACTGATTTTAGAAACTTATATGAAAGGTCTTCATGTCCAGGACCATATTTGTTATTGTTACTACCACTTGACAAGGAAATTTCAAGGAAATCTGCATGTTAGTAACATTTTCACGTGCAAGTCAACCGACAATCTGTCCCTGTTAATCTTTATTTGCTCTTGTAACAGAAACTACCATTTTTATAGGAAAGGTTTAAGTCATTTCACTTTAAGGGGGCAGTGAGGGCTTTTGAATACTGCATAGGGGAGGAAAATGAAAAAGTAAGTTGCAACTATGGCTAAAAAAATGATCCAATAGTACAGTAAAAACAGATATATTGTGTCAACATTTAATTGAATTCTGCAATTGCTGCTGTGAATTAAGGTTAGATAAAACCAGATCATATTATTTTTACTGACAAAAGCATTAAAGATGCAAGGAAAGAGAAAGGGTCAGACCCAATTTCTTAACAGAGTGAGATATTATCAGTTATTTGTGAAACCCTTTAAATGTAATTAGAATATTGCTGCTTTCTGGGCTGGATACATTACATGCAAGGGATTGCCAATTTTTTTATCTGTCAATCTGGATTTAAAAGGCTGACTACTTCTTTTCTTGATAAAACATTTTAAGTTGGAGTGATGGTGGAAAAAATCATTTGTTATTTAACATGCTGCCTGGTGGTGCACCTGAGTACAATTCAACGCTAGATGTTGCAACTGATAAAGCTATCTTGGCCGGAGGGGGTTTTGCAACTTGGAGTTACAGGACAGGATATGATGTTAGCATTCCTGTGTTTAATCCGCTTACAAATAAAAAGGTTGTCCTGCCACAGAAAAGGTCAGTGATTTAGAGAGTAAAAATGGAAAAGTAATAATCAATGATAATAATTTATTATGATAATACCTGTAACAATAGTAGTTTGGCAGACATTGTTTTATCACACTTTACTGATTATCATATTATGTTTGAAGGTGACCTAGCCACTGTTGTAATCTTAGAAAGAAAATATTTCAAACATCAGCTCCCCCTTGCATGTAGGAATAATACACAACCTTAAGCTCTTTGAGATGCACTGTGGTGCCTGAATTGCCACAATTTATTAACTTATGTCAGTGCTTCACTCACACACTGATTGATATAACACAGAATTTTCTTGGGATGATTGCCATATTAGCTTAGCTCTAAGGAAGCAGACTGAATTAACCCTTTAACTCCCAGACGTGGTCAACATGCAACTTTTCTGAATAATATCCATACATTATTTAGTAAACAGGTAATGAGAATACTCAAACTTTTTAGGCAGAACTTTTCAACTAGATGTAACACCTACTTGTAACTAATTTGCAAGAAAATGTGTAGCAGCTAGAGGGGAGAATTGAAACTCAACTCTTGGGAGTTTAAGGGTTAATCTACAGTGGATCAGTGGTATATGCACTGAAGTAAATTGTTCCAAAATCTCGTAGGTTGCAAACTATTTAGTCTTCAGTTATCGGGAAACTTTATGGTAATTTGAAATTTAGAGGAATTTTCATATACTGGGATGATTTTCTTTTGCAGGTCAAGTGATTGGTTGTTTTTGTCATCCCAAGCAAATATGAACCATCTCTTCAGAAGGCAGCTGGAAGAGATTGAGAGAGATAATTCAGGCTTCTTGATCCTAAAACGTTGCCCTGATGATCCTAACAATGTGTACAAGAGATGCAAAGGCTCAGAGACTTATCAGTATCCAGAAATTTTGCAAGTGAGTTTTCACTTCTACTAATCTAATAGTTCCATAATTGCTCTTACAAAGGGCTAACTCTTGTCGTGTTAGCTTTAGAAGCTCTAAGCTCTCACATTGTCAACTCAGTTAATTAAAACAAAATTGTCTTGGAATTGACTCTCTCCCCCCCTGACCTCTCCACTAATGCAGCATAATAGTTTCTTGAGAAACTTACTCCCTTTATACATTTACTGGTTCCTCTTGTGGTTTTATTGTATTTTCAATCATTGATGTTTTGCAGTCTTATTTATCTTATTTAGTGTCCTTTGGAAGGGAAAAAAATTTTGATATACAGTCATGTATTTGCATAGAGAGAGTGATATTCTTGCCAGTGGAAAATTAGTCAGTTTGATAAACAGTTGTGAGTTTTTACCAAAAAATTTGAATTTTCTGAAGTTCTTGAATCTGGCTTTTATTATTTTTCTCACCTCATGTTGGTGTTATAGTCTAATTCCAGCCAAGTCGCCCACGCTGAATTGCCCACTTCAACTGGTTACATCAACTTGCCTATACTTAAAATTACTTTTCTGTTGCCTTTAATCTTTCACATTCTACTATTCAAGTATTGCCTAAATACTTACTATTTTTGCAAATGAAATTATTCTTGCTAACAAGACGCAAAGCTTCAGCTTTGACTTTTGAGTCAAAATGGCTGCCTTTAGTCTCTCTCCAGTCCTGCCCGATATCATCTCCTATCCTGTTTTTTGCCAACATGTAGAATTTTCTTGTGGCTCAATTATTTCTTATTGTGGCATGAAAGTATTGCCCAGTACTCTCTGATGGTGTCTCAATACAAGAATGATTCTCACTTCACTGAAAAATTCTAAGCTTCGGCTTTTCAGCTTCATGGGCAAGTTTGTGAGCGCAGTTTGGTATGTGGGTGACTTGATTGGTTACCCTATAATAATATATATTATACCTTGTATAATCATCAGTAGCCAGCCAGCCACATGTAGCTTACTCTCCAACTCTTCAATGATGTTCAAACCATGTACTCGACATGTCAACAAATATATATTATTGTGAATAGAAAAGAAACAGGTATGTTAATTAATTTCTTGTAAACTTCTTAATTAATATTTTGCCTAACACTGCTTATTTTAGCATGCTACCTTCTGTCTGGTTATTCGAGGGGTCAGATTGGGTCAAACAACTCTGCTTGATGCTTTGATGATGGTAAGCTTTGTCACTGTACTGATGAATGAATATTGAATTTTCTTCATGAAAAAATTATCAAGTGTTGGAGCAATTAATGTCTAAATAAAGACCAAAGAATTTTTAATTAATTGATTTTTCAAGCTTTTCAGGCAGGTTTTATTATGCTTTAGTCAGTTAAAAAAGCTTGCATACTTAACTTAAAAGGTAATTTTGATAATCAGACATCTTTGGCCAAAATCTCCTTTATTCAGGATTGTATTTTCTTTGACACATTGGGTTAGGAAGAGGTGGAGGGGGGGTGGGGGGGGGGGGTTGGAGAAAATCAGTTTTGTTCTGTGAAGAAGAAGACAGCAACAAGAGTTTCTCTACATTTTTAGTAATTTTATATGCTAACTACCATTGCTTTTTTTATTTGCAAACTTTCTTCTTTGTGTTTTGTGCAAGTTAGGTCTTCATATAGATAAACATGAGAGAACTGCCCTAAAATAATTACACATCCTGCTCATGAAAATATGTCTTGGTTATATGCCCAGTGTTCTCCTTTCTTTTAAGCAGGAAAGGTAAAAGAAATTTTAAAACCAGAAGAGCAACCTTTTTTACATTTTCTTGTTGAATTTTCAAGAATTCCTAATGATTTCAGGTGGTAATAAGGGTTATTTCAGACAGTGAATTTTACCAGTTATTACCTGAAAAGGAGAATAGTTTATGCCACCTCTTATATTGGGTCTTTTCCTTTTCTTCAGGGCTGCATTCCAGTGGTCATAAGTGATGACTACATTTTACCTTTCTTTAGTGTGTTAGATTGGAAAAGGTAATTAAAAGTAACTATTTCTTCTGCTTTTTATTGTAATTTGGTATATTCCACATAGAGGAATAGTGCTTTTTGCACATTTTGATTGGTTAGTTTGGGAGTAATTAGCAAGTACAGTAGAAAATAAATGTTTTGAGTTAGCTGAGAGTAAATGACCAAAAAAATGGGTTCAAATGTGTCAGAGAAAGTGGTGGCCGTCTACTTCCACTTTGATGAATAATTTAATTGTATTCAGGTGATCATGCTCAGAATATCGGTCACTGCAGATGAACAACTTAATATTGATCACAATGTTATTCATAAAGGGCTTATGAAGCAAGCTAGTGCTGCTGAAAGCGCAAACTCTCTTGGTGCTCAACTTGAAATTCCTTTTTATGTCTTATTGTTTCATTACACAATTGTATGAGTTTCTCTTTTGATCTCAAAATCTTCCTAGAATTTTTTACAACAATGGTCTCTGTGTTTCGGTGTGATTTAGATTTTACTAGTCATCACTCTATTTGAGGTTAATTTTGGCAAGAAAATGCTTAGTGTAGCATCATTGTGTAATTCACTGTCAGTTTCAGTATACAGCTAGGATGGAGTGTACATGATCCAGTTTTGTGCTTTTTGTCATAGGGGAGCAGTTCATGTGGTGGAGAAAGAGATCAATCGCATCCCTGCCATTTTAAGAGAGATATCATCAAGTCAAATTAAAGACATGAGAAGACAGGTATTATTGTAACAATTTACAGAGGCTGAATTTTACATTAGTGTGTATATTCTTCATAGTGTTCTCCAAACATTTTATAAGATGCTTGCAAAGAGAATTTGTTGAGAGCTTCTTTAGTGTATCATCACTTTCTTTATATTTCTGAGCCTAATGTGTGATAATGTCAAGAGAAATTAGATACTAGTCACTCTTAGGGGTCAGAGGGTTAAGAAGTCCCCTAATTTCTCACTCCCAGACAAATCCAATAGAGAAAAACGACTTATTTGTCCTACCAAATGGCTCATTGGTGAGACCAAAGTATTTCCCCTGCAGTTATGATTCTGTGTCTTTCAGCAACTTATGTGCAGAGTATGAATAAGTACTGCTAAATGTACATTGTACAAGGGACAGTTTGCTGTATACACTAGGGCACGCAAGACAATTGGAAAAATTGGAAAAATTGGAAAAATCACAATGCAAACATGCTTGAGTAATGGGAGATCATCTCTTAAAAACACCATTAAAAGTGAGACAAATAGAATTTTAACTATTCAAGAGGAAAAATTTTCTTAGTGTCATAGGTATTTTAGTCTTGGTTTGTTCATTAAACTGCCTTTTATCTCAATGTTATCTCCTAACTGTGAATATCATTAATTAGTGCAAGAGTCACTTTAAAACCTGTTTCAATATCTCACAAATTCATAAATTTATGGTCTGAAGTTTCTTCTGCCTTGCCCATCTAGTCTCTATTAGTGTATGGGATGAGGCCATGTTTGTAAAAGTACAATTGATATCTGATATATTTTTATTTCATTATTATTATTATTATTATTTAATTTGATAGGGGAAATGGTTTTGGGAGAGGTATTTTAGCTCCATGGGCAAGATTGCTCTTACAACTATGAAAATTCTGAATGACAGAGTGTTCCGCTACACGGCTTGGCAGTATGAGGTAAACTACATTACTCAAAACACGCGCATAAAACGTGCATAAATTTGAAAGTAAGTGCGTTTGAATAAAACCCATGCATGTCTCAATTACGCATATGCGCGTATAATCATTTATGCACCTTTTTCATTAGTATGTATGAGCTAGCTAGATTTTCTTTTGCTGAAAGGTAATTGTTCTAAAGAATAGGCTAATAGCACTAAAATACTACATCATTATGAACTGCATGTCGACTTGCTCGTTTCAATCACCGCTCGAGCCGACCTTCCCCGCACACGGTTACATACGTATGCGACTTCGAAATTGGAACTAAATACAAAGTAAAATGCTGTCCATTTTTAGTCAAGAGGATATCTTCCTTACCATACGATGGAAGTCAGTGGCACTTATATGATATTCAGTATTTTGAAGTGAACGGTTGTTCATAGAGCTTCACAAATAAGATAATTTTTTATCATTTGAGAGCAATTCGTGTCCAAGTTTTGCCATTACATAAGGCAATTTGAATAAACGTAGATATTTATTGTTCCTTTTCTTGCCTTTTAGGACTGGAATGTCCCTTTTGAGACTTCCTCAGGGAAGGAAACGGTAAGTATTTAATCAACTTTTTTCAAGTGGCTACTATGTTGCGTTATGAAAACTTGAAATCCGGAACTTTTCGATGAAACTAGGAATTGTGCTGTCATAAAATACGATTCAGTAAGAAACTCCGTGAGATAAAGACCTATTTTGCGATTCAGACAGAGAGAATGGCTACCTAGAAAGAGTATGCTTACAGTTGTAATCATTAATTGTAAACATTCCTTGATTTCAAAAGGCAACCTTTCTTCTTCCACTGTTTTTCCCGCTACGCCCGTACACAAATCAAGGATTTACCGCAGTGGTGCTGTGTTATGACAGAGTAGATACCATGTTTAAAGTTATCACAAGAATCGCTGACACCCCCAGTTTGACAAAGGTAGGTTATTCAAAACGTTTATTCAGAGTTCTCTCAAACAACTTTGTCTCCTGAAACTGCTTTTATCATATTTTGTGAGCGGCAACTAAATTTAACTTGGATGAGACTGCAAAATGTTAGCTTAACAAGATGAAAAACACAGAGGAGGATAAAGGAACAAGGATTGCTAAGGATGGAGAAGATTAAAACAAACATAAAATAACGAAGTGTAAAACCTTGGGCAAAACTCATCAAGGTGCATATAACGCAATGTAGCTCCTTTAGAAGGCTGCGAACGACCAAGAGAGAAAAAAAATATCAGTCGATTGATTTCTGGAGTTCTAAGTCTTTCTCCTTCCGCTTTCAGATTGTAGTTGTTTGGAACAATATCAAAAAGGCTCCTCCCTCTGGTGAGTTGAGTAATATTCCACCTCTTCCTTTGGGCTCTGTACAGGGGAGCAGAGATAGCGCGCTAGCGAGTGCATTCGCTTCCCACGGTTTTTGTTCGTGTAGCGGACGGCAACGGGGATACTAAAATCAGCAAAAGGATTGGGGAGAGAAAGCCATTATTGTTTCTTTTCTTTTGGCGGTGTTTATATTCAAGATTCAGATATCAATAGTATTGAAATTCAATAAAAAAAGGTTGCAGGAACTGAAACAGAATATATTGGTTTTGGAGCTAAAACCCGCACCGCTATTACTTAGGTGATTTTGAAATATGGCTTCGGGTACGTATTGTGACCGAAACTTTCAAGAGACGGGCCCTTAATATCACATGTGGGTTAATTTTTTGGTTGGTTTTCCTCCCGTGCTATAAGTGGGTCATTCGGTTTTTCTCCTTCCACAGAAACCAAACTTCTTAATTCCAATGCGACGAGCAAACAGTGAACTAAAAGCCGTTTGATGGATTTCCCCTGCTTTTAAGATTCGATTTACTTCTGTGATTTGGCAGGTTTACTATGAGATTTTACATGTCTAATAGTTGTTTACCTCCTTATAGCTGCCAAGTGGCCTCAATTATCAAAACCAGTAAAAGTCGTCAAGACGAAAGAAAACAAACTTAGCAACAGGTACATACAATGTAAAGAAATCTTAATAATCTAAATCGTTTAGACCTCAATTTCCAAATATTACCTCCATATTGTCGTTGATTGATCTGTCTGTCGTATGTGTTTATAAACGATATATACTTTAGATGTATGAAAATTCATATATTTGCACTGCGGTGGAAAGATGAAATTAGAAGATCCTCGCAGCTAAGAACACTACTGAAACTAGTAGTTGTAAGTAGGACCTGAAAAAAATTTCAGGCCCGTACGGGATTTGAACCCATGACCTCTGCGATACCGGTGCAGCGCTCTACCAATTGAGCTAACAAGCCAACTGGGAGCTGGTCAATGAATTGGGTACAAATAAACGTCCGAGTGAATGAAGATTTAGATGAAGATATGTAAAAATTCACATATTTGCACTGCGGTGGAAAGATGAAATTAGAAGATCCTCGCAGCTAAGAACACTACTGAAACTAGTAGTTGTAAGTAGGACCTGAAAAAAATTTCAGGCCCGTACCAGCTCCCAGTTGGCTTGTTAGCTCAATTGGTAGAGCGCTGCACCGGTATCGCAGAGGTCATGGGTTCAAATCCCGTACGGGCCTGAAATTTTTTTCAGGTCCTACTTACAACTACTAGTTTCAGTAGTGTTCTTAGCTGCGAGGATCTTCTAATTTCATCTTTCCACCGCAGTGCAAATATATGAATTTTCATACATCTAAATCTTCATTCACTCGGACGTTTATTTGTACCCAATTCATTGACCAGCTCCCAGTTGGCTTGTTAGCTCAATTGGTAGAGCGCTGCACCGGTATCGCAGAGGTCATGGGTTCAAATCCCGTACGGGCCTGAAATTTTTTTCAGGTCCTACTTACAACTACTAGTTTCAGTAGTGTTCTTAGCTGCGAGGATCTTCTAATTTCATCTTTCCACCGCAGTGCAAATATATGAATTTTCATACATCTAAATCTTCATTCACTCGGACGTTTATTTGTACCCAATTCATTGACCAGCTCCCAGTTGGCTTGTTAGCTCAATTGGTAGAGCGCTGCACCGGTATCGCAGAGGTCATGGGTTCAAATCCCGTACGGGCCTGAAAATTTTTTTCAGGTCCTACTTACAACTACTAGTTTCAGTAGTGTTCTTAGCTGCGAGGATCTTCTAATTTCATCGATATATACTTCTTTGTACGTTTATTTGTGATTTGTCAGGTTTTTCCCATACAAAGAGGTTGAAACAGAAGCGATTCTTGCCATCGATGACGACATTCTAATGCTGACGCCGGATGAACTGGAATTTGGTTTTCAGGTAAGTATCTCCAACAAAGTTTATTTCTTGAATATCTAAGTTGTATCCGTAGCATTCCCCAACCGTCATGGTGATCGTGATCGGAAGGTGCTGTTTTATTTCGTCTTTTACAATAATTACTAGTCAACCTTGTTCCCAAGCTTCTTTCTTTTCCTTCCTCAAGGGTATTACTTATGACTCGTTAGTGACAGATCGTCCTTGCTAATATGAAGAGCGAATAAATTTGTATGCCAAGTTGTTCTTAGGGCAGTCTTGATAGCGTAAATACAGCTAAAAGTTAAGCATCCATCTGTAAATTATTGACATTATCAGTTACTACTTTGACACCGTTTAACTCATCACAACTTAGAGTGCCCATGACAAGAATTTTTTTTGCGCATTAATTTAGCCTATCATATGTACAAACCAATTCGATAGGAGAAAAATCTCAAAAAACTTTAAACTCGGTTTTTTCGGGCCCAAAAGAACTCTTATTTTGTCTTAAAGTGGCTGTAGACTGGTAAAGAGTTAGCGGGTGATGACGTAAAAAACTTTGAAAACTCGTAATAGTTAGCGTTTAAGTCTTGAAATAATGCCCGATAGCGATGTATACATACCTTCAGCAAGCTCCACCGGAAGTTGTGATACATCATAACCAAGTAGTGAAGAAGAAATGGAAGTTGCGAGTACGGTTCAACCTGAAAGAGGACCGCATGCATCAAGCGAAGATTTCGACGAGTACTAGCTAAGACGGTTTCTCGAGATTAGGACAAAAATGTCCCGTTACTAAATGCTTAGTTCCGCTCACCATTGTTCGCTTGCAAAATGGCAGCGGAAAAGAATGTGAAACAATCGTGTCCGGTGTGGGAACGGGCCCCGTAATCAGCTTCCTTTTTAGCTGAATTCATTGGCCATCTTCCCCTGATTTGATCAGTGACATGTATTCGTAACAGCCGTCTTCGAAGCGGAGGGAGCATAAGGCTGACGACATTGAAGAGTAAAATCTCCTCGATGTCGACGATCGGAACGTGTCCATTTTGGCCATATACCTTCATCTTTGGAAAGAAGTGTTCAGAAATATCCTGTGTATGTGTATTATTCTTTTAGCTGACATCATTTGGCGCTCCGCTCGCGCAACACGTTCGTTCTCTCTTCTTGATTTCTCCTTTCTCCACCATAGTTGCGAACGTGTCTTCTGTCACGAAGCCAGGAGACGATTCTTGTTTTCCTTTTTAAACACTTTATTATTTGTCTTAAACTTCTGAAAACCTTACGATCTCGAACCTTATTTATAGTAGCCGATTACATCATACTTATTTCAGAAACACTATTTTCAGAAGCAAGAACATTCTAGACGCTAATGATGCCATATCCTTTAAATAACTCAATAGAATGTTCCGGAATATGAAGAAGTTTCTAGCTCAGCTTATGCAATAGCGTTATGGTAAATCAATGTTCTATTCATTTCTGGAGACTTCGTTACACTTCACAGTTTGCTACATCACAGTTATGTAACATGATCGTTTTGGCCACGCGCTAAAATTCGGACACTTTTTGGCTGCCAAATCGTACCCTCAATGCGCAAAAAATGGTCATGGAGAACTCGCTAGGCGTTAAGGTCGTTAGAAACAACTATCAACCAGAAAACGCAAAAAAAAAAAAGAAAAGAATTCGTGTCATAGGGATATTCTCCGCAGTGTTTCCATACATCCCCAATGGAGCTGACAAAGAGAATCTGTTCAACCATTAAGGGCTTCTTTAGTTGGTGATTATTTCCTTTACTCTCGTGACCTTGAATATGTGATTCAGGAGTGAAAGCGTAGGGAGAAATTAGGTGCTGGTCACTCTTCGGGGTCAAAGGGTCGAGCACTCTTCTTTTCCTCGTGAATAAACAATCATTATGCAGTCCTTATGACCCCGTGAATGAACAAATCATTATGCTTCATTATTCAGACTTGGAGAGAGTTTCCTGACCGTCTTGTGGGATTCCCTGGTCGTGTTCACACCACTCAAAACGGCACAAATCGGTTCAAGTATGAATCAGAATGGACAAACACTGTATCCATGGTACTCACTGGCTGTGCTTTTCATCATAAGGTAACAAAGTGAAATGTGTGTCTCTGTAGATCATCGGGGCTTTTTGAAATTTAGTTTAACAAAGGGGAGCTCACGGGAGAAAAAGGGGATTATTAGGTTACTTACTAAAAGAGCTATAGTATGTTATGAGACGCTTTCCGACTTTTGAAAAAAAAAAGTTACCTTTACTGTAAAAAATGAAATTACTTTTTTCCCATAGTAGAAAAGCGTTATTGAGGGAAAAATAAGACAAAAGTCCCTGAGACTGTAGGCTGCATGGGAGACGCGTTCACATGGCGAATAGGCGGCCTTCGAACCGAAAAAGATTCAGTTGAGCCCCGGCCGGGTTAGACTAAGAGCAGTCTCTTCTTTTCGACGAGCTCCGTCGCGTGAGTCAAACAAAAGAGAAGCAGTGAAAAAAAATTGATGTCAGAGTTCCACGCGGCGCTGTGCGGCGCCTTCTATTTGCTCTTTTTCATCAGGAGTTGTTGGACTTATCCCTTAGGTGTCTCAACTTTTCATCTTTCCTCGAATAAAACGGTCTTCAATTATGACTTTTGACGCTTTCTATTTAACGGATCTAAATGAAAAGATGGAAATATTAGCTGCTGCCTCTGATCTATTATAATTTCTGTTGCAAAGCTAGGCTTAGAGGACACAGACAAAGGAAAATTAACAATTATGTTTACTCATTTCCTTGGTTTGCATCCTCTAAGCCATGCTAATAGGCCAAATTTTAATATATCCATGACCTAATTCAAAAGGCGTTATGCGTTTTGTGTAAACCTCGTGTCACTTGCTAGTCAGTCATGAAGGTATTTCCATCTTGGTGGAAGTAGTGTGGAAGTGTGGTCAGGGCGCTGGACTTGTAATCTGGTGGTCCCGAGTTCAAGCCCTTCTCCCTGCTACTGAATGGATTGTTCTCGGTTGCCCCGCGTTTAACTCCTTGGTGGCACTTTCTAAATAGACAACTAGTCTGCCTTCAGCCAATTGGGATTTTTATTATTATCTTATTCCATTCTTTTTACCACACAGTACTTTAGCCATCTATTCACCTACATGATGCCTGTCTATATACGAGACTGGGTTGACCAACACATGAATTGTGAAGACATTGCCATGAACTTCATGGTCTCCAACTACACTGGCAAGGCACCGATTAAGGTAAGTTTTAATTTCAATATCCTGAATCTTGAGTTCACATTGTCGTGGCTCAGGACAATGAAGCATTTTATTTTCTGAAGGATTCAAAACAATGACAACAATAAAGATGCTCTACCGCGTAGCTGGTAAGAGAGTTTTTGGTTACAAGAAAAGTCATTGAAACACATCATGCGTCGTGGCGAGGACGACCAGAGATACTACCGCCTCCTAACCATTGAAAAGGGGGGTTATTTTGTCTGAAGTGTGAGATTCTTATGTCACACTTTTCTTGTAAACTGCTTGGATCAACCATGTCAAAAATGTTTTTTGTCATCTTATCTGCTGGTTTAGCTCCAGTGTGTCTCTTGTCTCGGCCTCTATCTGCTCGTTTTCCTAATTCTTCTCTTTTATCTCCATCCTTAAATGAGTTCGCTAATTTTTGATATTTTTTTAAAGGACTCTCAAATGAAGAGTGTTTATTTTATACACTAAGAGTTATTTGTCATAACACTCTAACTCTTTTCAACCTAACCATTTCGCTAGAAATTTCGGATTAATTTGAGATTCTCACATGCACAGGTAACCCGTAGAAAGCGTTTCCGCTGTCCGGAATGTGTGACTGAATCATTGTGGGCCGATCCGAGCCATTTCGTGGAGCGATCAGAATGTTTGAACGAGTTTGTCCGAGCTTATGGTCAAATGCCGCTTCAGACGGTCGAGTTCAGAGCTGACCCGCTGCTGTTTGGCGAGGAACTTCCCACTAAATTAAAACTATTTAACGATGTTGGAAGCATTTAGGAGGATTGAAGTTAAAAAATATGAATGTATTTTGGTAATCAAGAGTAAGCAGGTAATGCCGGTAATGCCATATTCTTTTGTCGATCCAGGGACTATGGTAAATTATTGTAAGATAAAGTCTAAACTTTAATAGAACATGGAAAGAGAGAGAAGATAGGAGAGAAGTTAGTATAAAAATGGAAGGAAAAGGCGGGCTAGTCCGTGTGCACTTCCTTGTAATCGTCTTCTTCTTCTTTAAGCCCTTGGCTCCTTGGTGGAACTTTGATGATTTCTGTCAATCGTGTGTGACCATCGATATCATCAGATCAACAGAATTCAGGCTGTATCTTAGATTTTTCACTTTCATTTGAATTTTATTTCAGTTTCTCATTAGTATTGATAGAGAGCACCAATATGATTATGATAAATCTAGGACCTACATGATGCATTTGCCTTTTTTTTTCCTTTTTGGTTCGCTGAGAAATTTTGTTTATTGAAAGGAAATCTTTCAATAATAGTTTGCTTTGGATGACAAACACCAAAGAGGTTTGATACCGGATGAAATCGAGAATGAACGAGGTTGGTTAAGAAGGCAGAAGATTGATATCATATGGATTGCAAATGACAAACGTTAAAACTGCTGGCAAAATTTATAAAGAATTTGAAGCTGTGACGTAGTTCCTTTAATGTGTTTTTCCTAAAACAAGTGAAGTGCGAGAAACAGATCCTCACGGGTGAACTGTATTTTGATAAATGACATTTTGGAAAGGTGGAGAAAAAAAGCTTGAAATACTTCAGGCTTCTGAGGGATTTGAACCCTCGCCTCGTAAGTGCCCATTGGTTGAGGAACCCAACTGGGCTACATAGCCACATGTTGAGAGCGCGAAAAAATATTTCGGGTTCTCTAAAACAAGTGACTTTATCATCCTTTTTCTTGTACAGGTGTTTTTACAGTTTCTTTTTTTTTAAATAGTCTCAGGAAAAACACCTCTATGTGTCACTTCGCATCACGTTAGGTTGTGTTAACTCATATCGTAAAAATTCTACCTTGAAACAATGGATTTAAAGAGGCTTACATGGAGTTTGTTTCTGTAATTGAAAAAAAAAAGTTGTTTTTTTTGGTTTTTTAGGTTTCAAATTTTCTCTCCATCATATATATTTGGCTAAGAGTTATACCACATATTTTAAACCTCGTCGATGATATTTATTGCATGTTACATAATGTATCTCCACTTTTTATTCCGGATTATAAGATTATTCTCGAATTTTTGTGGTGCTTTTAATGTTAAATTTGTGCCCCTACCAAATAAAAGCGATGGAATTATGGAGTAAATAATCGATTTGTATCTGTCTATATGCTCGTTGAGTTCACATTATTTTCTTCCCAACCCGTTAAGAAAACAACGACAATAAGCAAGCCTAGCTGTTTACCCCCAAAATAATTTGTTTTTTGTTAGTTTGTTTTTCATTGTGCGTTACTAGGCATCATTCCCGTCCGTAGAGATCACTCTTCGTCGCCAGAATTGGTATCTTACTGCGTGATTCCCATGCAACTGAAAAGCCCTTGGATTATAAGGAAAAGTGAAGATGACTCCTGTTCGTCCGTTGCGAAGAATTGACTGTAATTCTGTTACGTGACGGTGAATTATGTTGAATGGCGATGATTGATGTTTGACAAATGGTGGTTAATGGTAAATACATGTAAATAATAACGATAATAACACAACTATTTAAATAGCACTTAATACAAAAGTTCTAAAGCGCTTTACAGCAATAATAATAAAAAGTAAATAAAAATAATATAAGTAAAAATTAAAAATAGCTTAAAATATAAAATATTATTTAAAAAGACAAGTTTTCATAGATGACTCAAAGTTAGTAACACTGAAGGTTTGCTTTATATAACTGAGAAGACAGGTTCCATAATTTGGGGGCACATAGAGAGAATGCTCGGTCTCCATATACATAAGTTTCAGATTTGATGGAGGAACTTGAAGTTGAAAACTAGGTGAAGACCTTAATCGCCTATTTGGAGTGAGGTTACTAATGTAACAAGGAGCCAAGTTATTCAGTCTTTAAGGTTATCAAATGTAGTTTAAAAGCAATACAATGTTTAATCGGCAGCCAATGAAGCTCTCTGAGTAATGGTGTGATATGATCATATTTGCAGCCACCTAAAATTAAGCGAGCTCTGCATTTCTGCACAAGCTGTAATTTTATATAAAAGGCAACGAGGGAGACCATACAATAAAGAATTACATTTGTCAAGTCTTGAGGTAACAAAGGCATTATTGACTAAAATCTTCGTATGCTCGGTAGATAAAAATTTTCTAATACGATAAATATTAAGTATATTAAAATAACAAGACTTGCAAATATCAGTAACATGATGCTCAAAGTTCAGTATAATGTCGAATGTGACACCAAAGTTCCTGGCGTACTCAGATGGCAGAATCACGGATCCATCATCTAGAGCGACAGGTGGGAATCGCAAAGTCGGTCTAAATTGGGACCCGATAATCAGTAGTTCAGTTTTATTACCGTTTAACTTCAATTTATTCTACGAAATCCAGGAAGAAATATCAAGTAAACAGGCTTTAATGTGAGAGACTACCGACAAACAGCAAGAAAGGAGAATCGAAAGAAAAATAACAAATCTGCGAGTTATCTGCGTAAAAATGAAACTCCATTCCATGTTGATGTAATATGTCATCCAGCGGAGAAGTAGAAAACACACAAAGTATATCTTGTAATTTAGCGTTATCAACTGAGTTGAAAAAGTAAATTGGCCACCGTAAAGAATAAAATAGCTGACGTTTCGAGCGTTAGCCCTTCATCAGAGCGATTAAATTCCCATCGAAGGACTAACGCTCGAAACGTCAGCTTTTTTACTCTTTACGGTGGCCAATTTACGTTTTCAACTCAGCTGTTAACACTAAATTGCCTTCTATACTCTCCCACCGACGCAGCACCACAGTTTCTTTAGAAACTTACCCCTTTATTCAAAGTATATCTTAGTGCGACCGATCGTCCAAACGTGAGAGAAAGCTAGTTTCTAGGTTGATTGTGTTATTTCTTTGCTCAAAACATTAACTATGAATTTCTGTTGTCTTCTCAAAAATTGTTCAGCATCCTCTCTAACACCTTCATAAATGTTGATCACACAATGTTGTAGCTTATATGAAGCTTTTAACTCTAGAACTGGCAACAACTGACCATTGTTCCGTCTTGAAAACGAGGTTAAGCCGCGAATTATTTGCCACGTTGCCGAATGTGGAGTAGAATTCTTCCTAACACGTATGGTATTCCACAACAGCGGAATTCTCCCCTTTAATTACAACGTTGTTTCAGTTTGACATCCTCAAATACCTCTACTCCATTCCTGGTTTTTTGCGATTAAATACTGGTACAATAAGCTCGAGGAAAGAGGTAAGGTGTCTTAAATAGTTGTGCCCTAACTTCTCCAATTTTTTCTCGGATAGGTTTCAGTCTGTCGGGATTTCTCCAGGGGAATGATTTTTAGGAGTTTTCTTTTTAGATCTGTCAGTGAGCTTTTAGGTTTGTGTTTTATGAAGATGTGTACGTGCAGATAAATGTAATCTCCGTTGGCATAAATTTTTACATCAATCGCCGAAACATCTGTAATTAGCTCTGGTTAACTTTTGTTTGTCTGAAGCATAAAAAAGGTAAATAATCTCACATCCAGAGTTAAGCAAAAATTTTTAAGTGATCGATGGATCCAAAAATTACGAATAAACCCAATCTTAATGTTGCGAAAACTTTTGGCTATTTTTAAATCGTAAATTCAGAAAAAAATACATTTTCTCATATGGACCGGTCGGGTCCTGATGTGGGATATTGTTAATAATCATATTGTTAATAATCAACGAATTCGGTGCAAATATCTAGTAAGACTGAATATTTGGTTGTGTTTAGGAAGGTGTGTAGATATTTTTTGTTCAGAGAAAGCTCTGTATGTTATATGTGAAGATGAAAAGTCTACTAGTTTTATATCATACTTCTGTTATTTTCCTAATAACAGTTGTTTGCAATGACAGGTGATAAACTTTCGTTTGTTCACAAGAATTACTATATACTTGGAACCAATCAAGGCCCAGTCTTGAGGAAGTTCAGTCCCAGTTTCTTTTATTACAATAAGTTATGATGAGGAAGTAGAACTGGAGAGATTTGGCTATCTTGTTCATAATAATGTTAGCTGTGAGAATTGTGAAGTATTCTATTTGCTAGCATTGTTGAGAGTTAAATTAATTGTGGAGCTTAATTGGTCCAATATTAACATTTTATATGTGGTTACTTGCCATTGCAAATTATCACAAAAAATATCAATTCTGGTAAGTATACTGGGTAGATCTTATGATATTAATTTTGTTATCTGTTTCAACGACAAAATTATGAAATTAATGAAAATGTTTGTTGTTTCTAATAAGAGCAGTACAGAATTGGGTATCATTTCCTTGGTTGTTCTAAAATGTTGGACCCCAAATTTGTTCATCAACAACATTACACCTCTACCATTCTAGGTAAAATGAAAGTCAAAGACGTTAACAGAACAGCAAATATTGCATGGAGTCCTGCACCTCAGTACCCAATCTACTTAGCAGCAGGAACGGCTGCCCAGCAGCTTGATGCTACATTCAGGTATATACCATAATTTATATCCCAACTAAAATTGGTTTGTGGATCACTTTATACTTGGTAGCATGTTCTTTTGTAAGGATTTGGAAAATCAAAGAGTAGTGATATTAAACAAAAAAAAAACGAATAAAGGGTTTGATTTTTAAACAAGATATGTTCCTATCATATTACTGTTATTGTGGGTTGCAAGTTGTTAAAGACATTTTTGTATACCAAAAATCTATTAGTTGTGTTTGAAACGTGAAAGACCAAAAAAAGGGACCAAGAGAAAATTTGAAAATGAAAGATGAAATGACTTGTGGAGAATTTGAATTTTTTTTATATGAAAATGGGTCTTTGTTGGATAATAGGGTATCTTTGACCTTAAATCCAAATATTTTCACTCCTGTGAGGAATAACTTTAAGAATATTAAGTGGAGCAGGATTTGTCAAACGTAGTTAGTAAAACTTGGAAAACTGACACCATGTAAAGTGACTATTGTTCAGTCAAGACAGCGAAGGGATTATGTATATAGGGATAAAAATTCATGAGGTTATTGTCAAAAACCTGAGAACTAGCATCGGTGAAGTTTCACTGCATCAGCAAAATTAATATACATGCTGTAAGGATTTTTATCTTTTCAATACAGCATAGGATATTAAGCTTCAAGGGGTGTTAAAAATTAATTGCGCAAAAATCCCTTTGTTTCCTTGTTTCAAGATGCTTGAAACTCATTTTGAGCACCTCAAAACTTGTCTCAAAAGTCTCAAAACTTGACTTGAGCCTTGATCCTAGAAGGTTAACCCTTTAACTCCCATGAGTGACCAAAACAGAATTTCTCCTTACAATATCAATACAATATCAACCCAGCAAGTGGTGAGAATAAAGAAAGCTATCAATATGGGGATAATTAGTTGATCCAATGCAAAATTCTCTGAACTAACATTATAAGAATTGTATGGTTGGCAGTAAGGAGAATTACAAATTTGGTCTGGGAGCTAAAGGGTTAAGAGAATCGAGGATTGTGTTTTGAGGGATTGTCTAACATGCAAGATGTTAGAAAATGTGAGAAACCCTGCCTTTAGTGAAATTCTCACATGTGTTTGTAATTTACCCTGTTTTAGCACCAATGCTGCTCTTGAGATATTTGCCCTTGACCTGTCAAGTAGTGATACAGCAATGCCACTCAGAGGAACTGTGGCATCAGAACAAAGGTGAGCTCTTACACAGTTCAAGGTCCAAGAGCTGTGAACATCATCACGTTTTGTACTTTCACTGATGCCATGATTTTTCTGACTAATCCTTTAAACCTTTATGTTCATAAGACATCAGAGACTAGAGAATTCACAAGCTAATACTCAAAATGTTGGATCAATATCAGTATCTGGGCAACTGCCCACCTACCCCTCCCCTAACTCAACAACAGTCAATTGACAACAAGTTAAGGTTAATGTTGGTCTAGGGGAGGGGTTGGTGGGCAGTTGCCCAGATACTGATATTGATCCAAAATGTTTTAGCTAAATTTTGATGTCCTGGGCTATTTTATACTTTGATGCAGAGAATGGTCTCATGTTACTTTACACTATTCCCTGCTACCACATTCTTATGAAAATTACCATGCTTTAAAATGAATCAATTTGGTAGTTGCCATAGCTCTTGTGGTCTTGAACTGGAAGCTAAGTGTTCTTAACTCTTTAACTTACATGAGTGTCCAAGACACAACTTCTCCTTACAATATCAACACAACATCGAGCAGAAAAGTGATAAGAAGAAAGAAAATATCAATTAGGGGATTAGGAGTTGATTTCATATCAAATTCTTCAAACTAACATCACAAGAATAGTATGGCAGACAGGAAGGAGAATTATTAGTGAGATCATGGGAGTGAAAGGGTTAACATCTTATTGGCTAATGAGAAAAAAAACACCCAGTGAATTGCACAATTGGACAAGAAATTCCAGTTCTGTAGTCCCCACTATCTGTGGTGCTTTGAAAAAGGATCACAACTCTGGAAAAGGATAATTTACAGCATATATTCAAACATTCTTTGGCAATCTTGCAGTATTTGCTTACTGGCCATCACAAGTTAGGATGTAGAATAGTATTGTGTTATCACAATACTATGATCTTTCATGTTCTGTAGAAAATCACTCAGTTGCTAAACTTTTTCCTTTGAGGTTCCACAAACTGGTGTGGGGACCCCATGGTATGGAATCATCCAGTTCATCGTCAGGCCTTTTGATTGGTGGAAGTGACAATGGGGTGATCAGTATCTATGATCCAACTAAGATTTTATCTGGAGATATTGATGACTGTTTGGTTTTTCAATCAACTAAACATACAGGTACTATACCCAAACTTTTGCAAGTCAAAGTAAACTTTTTTTAATATTTTTATATGAAAGCATACTCAGTTGCCAAAAAAATGATTTTTATGCTTTATATTTTTTCCATCAGGACCTGTGCAAGCTTTGGACTTCAACCCATTTAAGACAAGTCTGTTGGCATCTGGAGCAAGTGATTCTGAAATTTACATCTGGGACTTGACAAACCCCACCAACCCTCTTACACCAGGAAGTAAAACTTTACCACCAGATAACATCAGTTGTGTAGCATGGAACAGACAGGTGCAGCATATCTTAGCCTCAGCTTCTCCCTGTGGCCGCTGTGTTGTGTGGGATCTGAGGAAGAATGAACCAATTATTAAAGTCAGTGATCAGAGTGCAACAGTAAGTAGCAAGAATCATATGGAGTTAAATTTACCGTATACACCTGAATCCAATGACATTGTCGTTTAAACTACTCTATCTATCAGATTTTGATTTTTTTAAAGAGTTAACTACATGTTTATGTTGTAGATTCGATGCAAAGCAGTTGAATGGCATCCAGATGTGGCAACTCAGATGATTTTAGCTTCAGAAGATGATAGATATCCAGTTATTCAGGTTTGTAACATAGTTATTTGACTGTAGAAAGTTATTTGAAACAACTGAAATATTTCAGGAATGTTTGTAGTGTCATTTCCAAGTACATTAGAGCTTAAGACAGGTAAGCAAACCAAAAAATCTTAAATTACAGTAATTATAGTTACCTGTCACGCTAACAACTTTCCTTTATCTCCTATTTTGTCTGTTTCTTTGCACAATAAACTTCTGGGATCATTTCCAGTGTTCACATTTCTGATTCTGACAGTAACATTCTAACATTCTAACACACCTTTTTATAATGTTTTTATATACATGTTAACCCTTTGACTTGTTAGAGTTACAAGCATCTAATTCCTCCTTATAATGCAACTCCTGAATCACACATTAGAGTCTCAAGAAATAACAGAAATGATCACCAACTAAACAAGCAAATCAAGTTTTCCTTGTCAGCACCCTAGGAAATGTGTGTATGGAGAGTATACATACTGATGTAGGGGTGTAAAGGGTGCAAGCAGGGTACATCTTCTTAATGACTGTTTTTCTTTTGCAGATGTGGGATCTTCGATTTGCTACGTCTCCCATGAAGGTGCTTGAGGGACATCAGAGGTAGGCACCTACGTGTACTTTGTTGGGGTTATCCCTTTAACTCCCAATGTCCCATTGTTAACTCTCCCCTCTTACTGCTCCATTTCCCTTGTGAATTGATTACAATAATCTGGGGTCAAATTGAGAAAACAGCTTCTACTTGATAAGTTTGAGAATTCTCATTACCTGTTTGCTCAATAATGTATGGATATCATGTATTTATGGGCTTATTTTCATGCAATAAGATGAACTGTCTTATTGATCATCTAATACTAGTTAAGATCTATGCTTTGTGGATTTTTCAAATGTCAGTGTTGATGCCAACCTGAATTAAAGGATTTTTTATGCCTCTGACTTAAAAGATTAAACAAGATATGTTCCTAAACCCTAACCCTAGCTACTATCTAAGCCCCAGGTACTGCAAATTATCTTGGAATAATATAATCATGTTTTATCATTGTTGATGGTATTGTTGGTTATGTTATCAGGGGAATCCTGTCAATAGCTTGGTGCCCACAAGATCCTGACTTACTCATGAGTTGTGCAAAGGTGAATTACCCTCATGCTCTCTTCTGAACTTAGCAAGCTTGAAATTAGATGATCTCTTTTGTTAGTTATAATATTAATCATGGTTACAGCATCTTCAATTACATCTTACTTTATCATTATAACTATGTGCAACTAATCTCAAATTATTTTTTATAAATGAACCCTCTGAAGTTACATCAAGGTCTTAGATATATTTCTTTGAATACTGTGGTAAAATGCTAACTTTTTTCATAGAAGTAGATAAAAGCCTGAGGTGCTTTTGATTCTGCATTTTGTGGTAGGAAATATTTTTGCACTAATTATGTGTACTTCCCCTGTAATCTATCTTAGGTTCATGTATATACTTACTGATAATATTTGGCTGCCCTCTGTTAGGACAACCGTATCCTTTGTTGGAATCCTAATACCCAAGTTGCAGGAGGAGAGGTACAATAATTATTTTTATTGAAATTTTATTAAGGATTGTAATGATATTTTGCATAGTCCCATTTACTTTTTTATTATTTGATTTCTTTGCATTGACACTTCCTGTGACGGAACCTTGAATGCTGTTGTGTACTTCTAGATTGTTTATGAGTTGCCGACTACAGCTCAGTGGAGTTTTGATGTTTCTTGGTGTCCAAGGAACCCTGCTATGGTGTGTACTACATCTTTTGATGGGCACGTCAGCGTGTTTTCTCTCATGGGTGGAAGTGCCTCTGGACAAGATATTCAACAACAAAAAGTGAGTGCCATCAAATTGAAGTCAGTTACAAGTCGAGTTACCATCTCACTCATTCATTCACACACACCACTCTCTAACCCTTCAACCTCTAAAAAGACTAGCATCTAATTTCTTCTTACAATATCACCCTGAATCACATGTTAAGGTCATGAGAATAAAGGAAATGATCATGAACTAAAGAATCCCTTGATTGTCAAAAAAATTCTCCTTGTTGCACCCAAAGAAATTTCTCAAGAACAATATGGAGAATATGCATACTAATGTTAGTGTGTAAAAGGGTTAAGCTTGTTATGAACTAAGGTCAAAATCATTATTTGTGCAATGTTCATTTATATACAGTTGCTTATCATTCAATCTTTGAAATGGGGTCTCTGTATTAAAAAAAAAACCTTTTGCGTTGTAGGTGATGAGTTCTTTTGATGTGGATGACCCATTTATGTCTCAAATCCATCAAGCTCAGCAACAACAACAACTGCAGCAGCAGAAAACGGCAGCAACCAGTGCCCCCTTAAAAAAGCCTCCAAAGTGGCTGCGTAGGCCTTGTGGAGCCACATTTGCTGTGAGTTGCCATGATTTGGCACATACTTGAGTGCAAAATTTGTTTAATGATGTCCACCACAATTCAATAGAATGGAGAACAGTCTTTTTTTTACTGCACACATGCAATGACCAATTTTGTTGGATTTTTGATGTACAGCATACCTGCACTTTCACAAGCTTACATATAAAAGGCTTGCAGAAAGTCTCTTCACTTCAACAATGTTTTTCTCTTTTAGTTTGGTGGAAAGCTGATAACTTTTGGGTATTCAAAAGAATCACCGTCTAGTCAGGTTTGTCAAAAGTCATGCAAGACCACAATAGCAAACATGTTTTTAGGAACCCCTGTATTCCAAATTTTTATGAAGCCCTAATATAATTAGTTATCAAACAATGCAAATTCATAGGTGTGATAAAGGCAGGGAAAAAAGTATTTTGACACTATCATGTTACAAACATAATCCAGATGAACAAGTATAAAAGCTATCAATAAAATCAACACACTGCAAGTGTCATATTTAACAATTGGTTCATACGTCAGCATGCGTTTTTGAAGTTTGGAGAGCATTAAAGATGCGTAAGAGTTGCTCGAGGCATAGCCAAGAGCAACTCTAGCTTCTTGAGTGCTCTTCAAACTTCCCAAGTGCTTCATATCTTGATGAACGCACAGATGACTTATGAATCAATTGTTTTATAACATTTTCAACCTGATGGAAAATTTTTTTTCTCAATGGATTTGTTTGCTGACATCATGAGCATGCACAATAGGAATATGAAGCATGCTCACACAATTGAATTTGATTAGACAAATTCACCAGCTATGTTATAAAATACAATTAACATATAGATTCCATGTTGCTGTCTCTGTTCAGTAATAGATCAGATCAAAACGGGGTAGAAACAAAAAAAATGGTATATGAGGTGCAGTTGAGTGCGTCACTGTTGTTCTTACCACATTTTTATGTCTTCTGCAATACATTACAAAACAGACCCACAACAACATGGAATCTACATGTATTTGCTTCAGATACATGTATGGGATAGAGAGGCAAAGTTTGTTACTTAATTGTGGCATCATACATATATCCCTGTCAATTAGTCCATAAGTAAGAGCTAATCAAAAGACTTGCGTAATTCAGCTTACATTAATTTTATGAAATGCTTTAGTTGTAATCATTATTACAACTCTCCTCATGCAGTGGGAAGAACTGGCATGGAATATCATTTTATGGCATAAACCCTTGGAGAAACAAAGGTTTTGTTTGCTCTCCCATAAACAACTTTATGTTCTCCTCAGCCATGCAATGTTTTTGATTTCCTGAGTTGATTGTGAACAAAAGTATTGTTTGGTTTGTTAGGTCAACATAAGTCAGGTTACAACAGAACAGGAACTAGTAGGCAGGTCTCATGAATTGGAGGGAGCACTTGCTTCAGGAAGTTTCATGCAGTATTGTAATGCGAAGGTGGAGAGCAGTACACAGGAGTTGGAGCGAACACTGTGGAGTTTCTTGAAGGTGAACAGTTGTTGAGACAGAACAGTATCTACATCATTAACTTGTGTAGAAAACTATCATGGAATATTTTCATGATAAGATGCTTAATGATTTACAGATTAAATTATAAAGAGGGAGCTGAAAGAACAAGGACAATCTAAGGACTGTTCAAAATTATTTGCACCTCATCTAGATCACTTAAATCTTGATAAAGAAAGTTAATACCTTCAAGTCACAAGATCTGATTTTTAATTTCTCTCTTCTAGCTGCCATGTATTTCCTTGTAAATTGGTAACAAGAATTTTGTGTCAGATCTAGACAACAACTTGTACCTGATAAGTTTGAGTATGTTCTTTACCTGTTCTCTGGATGATGTACAGACATCATGGGAGTTAATTTGATTATTAAGCCCACAAGCACATTCCACTGAACTTCACGACATTCATCTGTTGATGAGTAGACAAATTGTTAGTAAAATTGGTTTCTACTAAATTGCTTTTCTTCCAGATACATTAACAAAATGCTTAAACAAAGATAAACAAATATTTGAAACTACAACACAATCTTTAATATCTCATCAGTATTCATTGGTCTTTCTGATCTATGCAGATAAACTTTGAGAGAGAACCTCGCAGACATTTCCTAACACTTCTGGGTTATGATCCATTGGAGCTATCAAAAAAGGTACAAAGGTTAAGGCATGTACAGGTGTACATGTTTGTAAATGGTTTGAGTTTCCCTGTGTTCATTAGTTCAGAGTATTTTATACTCTTGAGTAGATAAAGACACTGCTAAATAAAAGTGTCCCGGACCCAGTTCTTGGTGAGGTAGTGGTACTACATTGCTTTGATGGCTGTGTGTGAGAATTCTATTTTGCCCTCTTATTCATTGTTGTGATGTCTTCTTGTGTGGACAGGTGGCCTCATCTCATACATCGTCAGCCTCAAGTAGCACACAAGGAGGTGTTAATGCTGAAGAATTAGTCCAAAAGATGAAGCTGTTGAGCACAGGGGTATGAGTCTTTATTTCATTTCACATAAGATGTCGGAGCTGTCTGTATAGTCAGTTGTTGAGACAATGTATGGAAGAAGGATTGATTAGAGAAGTCACTAATGTTTAAAAAGACAATAGTACTTAAGCCAAAGGGATTCACTGGATCATAAAGTTATAGTAGTCAAACTGATCAATTAAAAGAATTTCCCAGAGATTGTTGGTTTTTTTTTTTTTGGCATCACCAAGGTAACTGCTAGCAGAAATGCTATATAGCTTTACTCATATATCATGTCTTGCCTTACATTACAGGAAGCAAGTGGGAAAACAGGGGAAGGTGTGTTTTCTAGTGGAGCGAGTACCCCCTCAGTAGCAGAATCCAAGGTATGATCCTTTCAGCTGTTGCACATTGGCTACAAAGCAAACAGTGTTCTAAGCATTGCAGTGTAACTCTTTATAGTGTGCCTGATTTATTCGTGCAAATTTGGAGAAAAGTTGTTATAAGTGATTGTGGATCGCCTTTATGTCAATACATCGGCCTTTAGGAAAAGTAAGACTACTACTATGATTCATGTAGTAACAAACAATGGAATTAACTTAGATATTATTTGCATTTCTTCACTAATGGGAACAAAATGAATTACTGAGAAAATTTTGTGTATTTCCTAGTGTGTATGAGCTGATAAATGTTAGTACCTTACATCATTTAAGAAAGTATTACCTTGTTTCTGTTTGGACTCCACCTGAAACATTTACATTGCAAAGTCATATTCAATCAGCAGTTTTGTATGTTTCAGACTCCATTGTCTGAGGCTGGAAGTTTAAATGAAGGTGCTGCAGCCTTCGATGCTATTGCTGCTGGAGGTCCATTATCAGTGGACACAGGGTCTGAGATCGGTTAGTGTGCTCAGTTCTATTAAGTCTTGAAAGTTCTAGTAAGTTCAGGTCTCCAATGTAGATAATTTTGAAATGCAAACAATCAAATTTCAGGAATGAATTAGCGTGGATTGTTTTACCTGCTGAGATCTAAACTACTATTCCCTAGATAAAGGTTTTAAAGGGTGATTTTTGGGCTTGAAAGTTACCTGGACAAGTCAACTTCTGTGCATTCACTATTTTGATGTAATTTTTGGATTGTGATATGCAGTGTTATTTCTGTTTCTTCAGTTCTTCAGGTAATAAATTTTGTTGCTTCTAGGAGTTAGTGAAGCTGTGAGGCCACGACTACCTTTCCAGATACCTACAGATGATGGTGAGAATATTGCAGTCTGCTTAGTAGGACTACATGTATCTTTGTTGAGTCTTCTTGCTTTAACCCTGTAATTTGAAATTAGTTCCAGTGACTAATGCAGGATATGGCTTCTCATCCAGATACTGATGGTCTCATCACTCAAGCACTCCTAACTGGAAATTTTGAAGCAGCTGTTGATGTGTGTCTTCATGCTGATAGAATGGCTGATGCCTTCCTTCTTGCTATTGCTGGTGGTCCAGATCTTTTGGCCAGAATACAAACAAGATACTTTGAGAAGAGCAAGAGTAATGTTGCAAGGGTAAATTTTGTTTATCAGTTTTATGAACCATGCTATGTAAGGAATGCTTAATAAGGATAATGCTAATCCATTACAATGATCTGTATATTCCCTTTCAGCTGATGTCAGTTGTTGTAAATCGTGACTGGCGCGACATAGTTGAGAGCTGTGTGTTGGAAAACTGGCGAGAAGCACTTGCAGCTCTTGTGACCTATGCCAAAGCTGAAGAGTTCACTGCCCTGTGTGATCTGCTTGGACAAAGATTGGAACAGGAAGGTGATGAGCACTGTGCTAATGCCATGGTCTGCTACATTTGTGCTGGAAATGTAGAGAAGTTTGTGTCCTGTTGGTAAGTGTAAGAAAAAACAAATTTCCCCCTCAATCTGTTTGAAAATGGTGTGGCTTCCTTGGTTTCCTTTAGTTTCACGCTTTTAACTCCTAAGATCTGATTGTTACATTTTATATAATTTTGTAAACCAGTTACAAGAATTTGGTGTTAGATCAAGATAACAAGTTCTACCTGATAAGTTTTAGTATTCTCATTACCTGTTTGCTGGATAATGTATGGATTTTATAGGGAAAAGTTACATGTTGGTCACTTCTGGGAATGAATGGGTTTAAAAAGTCATAAGGGTGGATCAACATTTCATTGAGGGTGACCTTTCCCATAAATTTTCCTTCTATAATCTTTTGAGTGATTGAAGTGTGCCCCTGGTTTGATGAGATAAATTTACTATTCTTAGTTTTTTTGGTCTGCTAATTTGAACTAGGTTACATTTGTTTGAGGAATTTACTATTTAATTTAATCGTTCTTTTTTATCTTGTAATAGACATCACATGTGTTGTTTCATACTTTTCATTGGTAATTATGTTTCAGTTAAACCAGCTAGATTAACTGCTGTGCTAAGTTCATCTGTGTTTATTTTATGTTTCAGGTCTAGAAACATGCCAGCTGAACCTTCTCCCCTTGCTCTTCAAGTAGGTTCTTTATTTTTTTTATTCTCCAAACTGGTCATTGGTTGCTGTCAGTCTGTCACCATAAAATGCTGCTGGATTTAAATATGCGGATTTTTTTTCTGTTATTTCTCTATGTAGGATTTGATTGAAAAAGTCATGATATTAAAGAAAGCTGTGGAGAGGGAACGTCGACTTTTGATTGACAGTGGATCATCTGTTCTTGCGGAAAAACTCAGGTAAAGGAATCTCAGATTGTTAGAATGTCATGTGTCACCTATGAAGCTTCTTGATATGGGGTGAAACTATCACATAAATGTGTGAAATATTCATTACCATGAGTATGTCAATGTGATCAGCTGGCTTGAGAATAAGTAATTGATGTAGCCAGATCTCTTTTTAGCAATATCTACCATGTGATTACAGTTATAGGTATGATTAAGAGCAGGCAGAGTATGGGCAAATTTTTTAATTCTTTCCACAAGTTAACTATTTTTATATTTTTATATTTTTTATATTTATAAATATTCTTTCTGCCAGTTAACTATTTACTGCACATGTCTCATGTATATTCAACAATATTATACTGGTGATAGATTATTTACAGATACCTTTTTGATTGTGCCTGTTTATAATTTTTCATGTACAGTAAATATGCAGAGATTTTAGCATCTCAGGGATGCTTGGAAACAGCCATGGGTTACTTGATGACTGTAAATGATCAGGTAAATTGTAAGGCTATTCAAGGATAGGTTTTTTTAGATTAGGTCATTAGTATACCTGCAGACAGTGATAAAAATTAGTTTCCAAAAAGTTAGGTCAGAGAACCAAAGAACATTCTATCAAATAGCAAAGTGAGAAGCAACTAAACAATCCATTAGTTGGGATTTATAATCTTTGTAAATAACAACAAGGGTATCAGGGTCAGTAAAGCATTCAATTTCCAAAGGTGAAATGGATGTATACATGTATTTTCTTTACTATTACGTCTGATCATAATCACTTCTTAGACTAATTACAGGTCGCTAACCATTGAACCACTAAGATCTGATTTTGAATTCTCTCCAAGCTGCTACACTTTTTCAAGAAAATTAGTTAGCAGAATTTGGTGTTAGATCAAGATAACTTAAACCTAAGTTTGAGTATTCACATTACCTGTTTTCTGGATAATTTATGGATATTATTGGTAGGAGTTACATATTACACTTATGGGAGTAAAAAGGTTAATCCTGATGGTTGGTTTTCAGGCAAGCCTGGGCGTGCTTAAGGATCGCCTGTACACTGCACAGTATCCAAGTCATCTTGCTACTGCTACAGCTCCACCACCATTCCCATTCCAAAGGATTGATGTCCAAGCAGAACCTCTCCCTCAGGTTCAGAATCAAGCTCAGGTTAGCTAAAACAGCCATTATGAATTCTTTCTATACCCTAATGAATTCATGTGGTACCTTTTTGTGTATCTTAGACATGAAGTAGTCTGTATTTTCTCTTGCCAGCAGCAAATACAACTGAATTTTACACTTGTTATGGTTCTTGAAAAGAAATCTTACAAAGATTTGCTGTCTTAAGTAGCTAAACACTTAATTTGAGTGATATTTCTCAAGTGGAAAATAAGCATTTGGTGTTATTTTTTAAAAATCATATAGAAAAAAGAAGCAATTTTTAAAAACGTTTTCTTTTTGTGAATGAGAATAAATATTTTCCTACAGTTTTTTCAATCCCTCTTTCTTCCATTTCAGTTTCAACAACAGCAAAGTTATGGTGTCCCTGCACAACAGCGACAACAACAGCCGCAGCAGCTCTACCAGCCACAGCAGCAGCAACCCTCACCAGTAACTACACCTACTTATCAACCATCAATGCCACCACAAAACACTCAGTTCTACAATCCAGTTGCTTACCAACCACAGGTATCCCAACCACCTTCAGTCTCTCAGCCATCTTTTAACCAGCCTCCTCCTCCTCCTGCCTCTCAGACAACTTACTACAGTGGCCCACCACAGCCATCACCCACTTCCAATCAGCAGCAGGCTTCATGGTCTCAAAATCCACCAGTATCAATGTATCAACCACAATCTACCAACACTACACCAACACAAGTTCCTACACAGGCCCAGTATAGTACTCAGATGCAAATGAAAGGTCCACAACAGCAGCAGCCTCCAGTGCAGATTTTCAATCCTGGTAGTTCAGTCACTCCTGGTGCACCGTATTCAGGCCCTTCCCTAACTGGAGCCCCTCCAGTTGGCCCTCCTTCACAAGGACCTTCTGTGCCCCCTCCTTCTACTGGTCCACCTCCAACTGGTATGCTTACTAGCCTCAATTTGTTTTTGGTTTTGTATGTGTGTGTTTTATCAGTAAAATATTTTTCATGACATGGTTAATCCTTCCACCCCTGGGATCCGGAGGTCAATAATCCCAACTAAGACCATGCATTTATTTTTACTTGCAACTCCCACCAGTTTGACACTACAGGGTATGTCTAAATTACATCTCCTTGTCGATATTCCTTTTTAAATTCTCATTACGTATCTGGTTAGCAACATTTCAAAAGTGTAGGGAGAATTTAACCGTTAATCCCTCCAGGGAGTCAGATATCAAAAGGGTATTACTAGAATAAAATTACCAATACGTTCTTTGTCTGTACTGCCATGCAAATCGAACGGCATATTTCAATTGTATCAAGCATTTCCTTAGTGATACGCTTACAACAGAAAGGCAACCTAAGTTTTTGTTGGTTTTTTTTGTTTTTTTTTTTCACTCATTTTTTGCACCAAGAGTTAATTCTGAAAGAAATAAGCTGCACCCTAGATTCGTAGACGGTTGTGAAAAAAAATCCAATTGGGTTATCAATAACATTTATTACGGGCTGATTTAGGAAGGAAAGGTAACACTTTTCTGTATAGGTTAAGGATGCCACAATTGTTCTCTGTTTGTTTTTCAGAACCACCTCCACTCACAGGGGCCTGGAAAGACTCTCACGTGATGAGGGCTAAGAAGCACCAGGTCAGTGATTGGTAGACAATTGATTTTCAACCCTGTCTGAATTTAACTACGTTGCCACCTTGAACTCTGGTCATACCGGCTCTCTTATCTAGTGGAGTGAATTGAGAAGTGAATTATCATACTTCCCTTCATATGCTGTTGGTCGAATTTTATTCCATCCTTAATGACGACATTGCTAGTTTATATGGTTAACATATAACTACTTAATGACAATGTTCGAAACCCAATACTCTTGCAAGCAGACGATGGCGGAACTAATATGATGAAGTAGTATGAAAAATTTGTTGTATGGTTAAGCATTCAAACCAACATTGTTTCTAAACGTTATTCCTCAATCAAAAAAACACGGCACAAACTTTACCAGAGCCTCTGTAGTAGCCTGTGTATATAGTAGATCAATGTATCACCTTTCAGTCAGCTCTTTTAAGAATGAAATTTTGTTAGCTTTGAACCTGGTAACCTTCGAAAAATGTGCTTTTTTTACTTGCTATTCACGGTCAAATTGGTTTGCGTGTTTCGAAAATAACCAAAATTGATTTTTTTTTCTCACAGGCTCAAACTTTCACTCCTCCTGCACCGATTACTGCTCCGCTGTTCGGCGCGGGAGAACCACAGCAGCCACAGCAGACCCAACAGCAGCAGCCTTCCATTGGTAAGATAATTTACTAAGAGTATCGTGAATGGTGGGATCCCTGCGGGCACAGAGAAAGAAAACAACTGTCCCTGCACGTTTTATAACTCTGTGCTTTTCCAAGGAAATTGTCTCGGCTTTAAGACAAGTCTCGCGCTTTACTGCCATAATAGGTTGAGCCCCTTTTACTTCTTGTTTTAGTTGTGAATTTATTGAACGTATTTTGCACACTTTCACCCCTTCCCATCCCCCCGCCCGTGCCCTTCCCAAAAAAATAAATAAATTAAAGAGTCAAAAAGGGGAGAGTTTTCAGGTTTGAAGTGTGCTAAGCCAAGTCAATCTGGATTGTTACCGGATGGTATCTCTTTTGATGTGCATTTCTCCCCTCAGGATATATTTCATTCTCTCTTCCAGGAATGCCACAAGGTGTCCCCCCGGCAACTGGTGCACCTCCTATGATGCCTCCGGGGGGTGGTCCTCCAGGGGCGCCTCCAAGTTATGGAGATGTGTCCCCTCAACAACGTCCTCAGGTATATGATGATGGCAGTCCACCGCCATCTCCTCATCACCCCCCCATGCCACACCCATTACATATCATACCTGCTCAGGTAAAGCACGTAAAAGCACGCTTTTAATGCCATAAATGCTCAAAACAGGAAACGCACACCCTTAACGTCTTCAGTGCACGCAATAAGTGCAAGCGTAATTTTCTTAGAGTATGGCAAGCTCGACCGCACCTAAGGGAGAAATTGCACAAACGTGTCAGAAAATTTTTCTTGTTGTTGATGACAAGAAAACGATTAAAGTGTTTCGCAGGTTGATCTAAATAACAAAGAGAACCTTTTCATGACACGTAACAATCAAAGGTGACACATTTTTGCTTCTTAAGCTTAGTTCTAAAATTGTCGTTCTCTAAATATTAAATTTTCCAGTTAAGATTAGAGATGAAAATAATCCACTCTATATAACAAGTCGGAAATGTTTTTTTGTTCAAGTAGTGATAATCAAACGAAAGAAAGGTGGATCGTTAAGTTCAAGTGTGTGAATTTAATTGCACACGTTTCAACATATATGCTCGCCCGCGTGACTTTTGTCTTAAATTGACTTTAAATTAACACACCATTGTTCTTCTATAAGCATTTTATTTCTCTTGCTTTTAAATAATTGTAAATTATAACTTTTGTACAATAATTTAAAACCAACATTTAAATTTTGCACCTCTTTTCATTCGCACTTCATTTACATCACGCAACGCCATTTACGTTCTAGTTGCAACAAAATGTTTTATGAGAGGAAAATTATTTTGCCTTGGTAAAAATCTTTGCATTAGGGTGTAATTGCTTTTCAACAAATGTGGGGTAACAAATGTGGGTGTGGATTCTAATATGCTCGTGGTTCATGACAAGAGTTTAATCTTGAAACACAAAGCTCCAGCCCTTCCTTTTCCGTGTGTTTGTTGTGTCGAAAAGGCTGCAGGGCGTAAAAAAGATTATTTTACATGTCTCAAGTGTCTGTTTGCAGACCTGACATCATCATAATTTATGATAGAAAGGGTTCCCTGCGGTACCCAGCAACATATCACGTCCAGTCATGTGAGCGAATGAACAGATCCTGTGACAATAATGCGAGCGGATATCACGTGATGTTTAAGGTGGAACCTAATTTTGATAAATGCAGTGCTATGTAGAGTGTGATTTACATGAAGGCTGGTTTTATTTAGGAACCTCCTGCTCCTGTTATGAAGGGTCCCATCCCGTCTGAACACCTTATACTACAGGAAACTTTCAGTGGACTGGCTGAGAGATGCAAAGGCACAGCTAATAATCAGGTAAGTTACCTTAGCTACCTAGTCAGTTAGTAAGAGGCTCATCACTGCGGGAGTTATCGACCCAGTGATGAGCTGTGTGCAAACCGGATGGTTTCTGAAGGGCTAGGTGTTATCCTTTTGTGAGACCTTCGCAGATCTCTCGCGCGCGGACCACTGAGCTGATATAGTTTGCAGATAACGTCTATATATGAAAGTATTGAGTACCCAAAACTTGATAAGTGGGTAAAAAAAAATAGAGTGTGGACGACCATAGAGAACCGTTTTTGCAAAGCTAAGAGAAAGACTAAATAAACAACACTAAGATATTCACCGATCAATTCATGACATCCCCAGCGCGCCTAAACCCAGCCTGAAACCAAACATTTTGCGTAAGAAACATACTTTATTATTCTATAATAAAGCGCATTAGATCATATACTTGTAATGAATTTTGCGCTATATAAGTATTAAATTTATAAATTTATTTATCATTCTATTTTGGAATTTGTTATGCCTTCTTTGTCTGCAGCATACAAAGCGCAAACTAGATGATGTATCCAAGCGATTGGAAGCTCTTTACGATAAACTAAGAGAGCAAAAGGTAAGGAAATATACCCGCTTGATGTATTTACCTTCTTTTGAAGAGGCGGGGAAAGGGGGGGTGGGGGTGGGGGTGGGGGGTAGAGAGATTTGTAGCCGTAATTAGAACTGACGAACTTTTTAGGATCCTTTTTTCCCCTTACTCGGGAAGTTGATAGTCCATAGATGTTGCATTGCTACTGGATGGGCAAGAGAGGTTTTTTCCTGCTGGTCAGCATCAGGGTCAAGAAACATAATAAGATCAGACGGGCTGCGTCCAATCATATTTAAGCTATCTAACTTTATAAAATAAGTGAGAACTACGAGTGCCCTGATTGATTGAAAGTCTATCGTTTATTACACTGGTTAACCCACACAAAATTGAAGTTTATTTTACAAAAGCAGTAGACCGCACTTTTTTCTATCGGCCTACCAGCGTGTTAACCCACTTGAGATGCTGAGGGAACACGCGAAAACTTGGTAAATCACGAGCCGGAAGTGAGTGATATACAAACTCTAATCGTGTTCTCCCAACGCCGATAAACCGATTTAAAGTGCGGTCTATTGCTTGCTTGCTATCTTAGTTCGTAAATGCTCAGTGAGTTTTTTTTGTTTCGTTGTAGATGTCAAATCCAATCCTTGAGGGTCTACATGAAATAGCCCAGGGTGAGTACCACAAGAGTATGCTGTTAGATTATGTCTTAAGATCAGAGGAAACTGCTGAGTTAAAGCAATGGAGCAACCCTAAGATCCTTTGCTTGCTTTGATGATGAGTTTCTGGTTCCTTGTTTGTTTGTCAATCTTTGGGAAAGTCCTTGTCTACTAATAAAGTCAGAAAGGAAAGAGAGAGAAAGAGTGAAAGCCATTTTGTTTGAAACTAATTTACTCGTGAATAAGGCAGTCAAAAACCTTCAGCTATTATTAAGAAAAAGGAGAAGAAGATAGTCAGAAAGGATTCTTCAACAAGGGTTCCATTTGCTAGCGTCAAAGTGGATTGCACGGGAAAATCAGGTTGTTTTATGATTGTAAAATAAATGCATTAAATTTCTCAACGGGGGGGGGGGTTGGTGAGGGTAAGGGGCTGTGACATGCTCAATAGGATACACCCCCATCCATGTGGGTAATTATTGTAGCATTGTGGCATAAGTGTTTCGTTCAGTAGCATGATTGGTGGTTGGTTATCAGTGAACTTCTCACATTCAACGTAAGCCTTTGTTTTTGTATTTTCAGCGTGTCAAGGAGGGGACTACCCCCGTGGTCTGATGGCACATACAAGGCTCATATCCAGCGGTAGTTTTTCGGAGATCAGCACGTTTATGCCTGGGCTCAAGTCTCTAATGCAAATAGCCACACAATTACGTGTTTAATGATGTCTGCTGTTTAGAGAGATTAGAGCCTTTTCAACTTGAAATTATTTTAAAGAAGAGTCAGCACGTGACCCTTACCCTAATTACGGTGTGGTGTGGACGTTGTGTCCTCATACCGGAATAACCTCGAAATTACTCCTCATTTTGTACGCCCTGGTTGCGGGGCTTTTGATTGATAAGATTTGAACTTCAGCAAGAAGGACGGGAGGTTGTTCTGAGTGAGGATCCGTTGTGATCCGTCGCCTATTCGAATTCACTAATGGTGGGTATCAGAAAAAGAGAGATTCCAAAAAAATGTCGCCAAGTTTATTTTTCCCGCTGATCAAAGGAACAGGGAACTAGACAAAGATACGAATAGAAGATTACAAATTTCAAAATAAGTTATGAATGTAATTTTTTCACTTTTTCCAGAAAGGAAACAGAGATAATAAGGCCGTGCAACCCTTTAGATTTTAGGTCTGTTTCTTTGTTTTTCTCGTGGAGAAAACTTTCAAATCGAAGGAAACTTGCGAAGGTGATCATGGTCACACTTTAATTTTGGAAATTTGGAAAGTACCCTTTTTCCAAACAGTCTTCGATTCAAAGCCAGTTAAAAGGGAAAGATTGCAATGTTCTGTGACGATTTTGCTACTAAAAATATGCGTTAACCAGTATAATTTTACAGTTCTTCTCAATTACAGATCGTGTTTAACTGGAATGTTGTGCCTTTTCATGTTGTTTGTTTACAGCTGCTCTTGCTTAGGGGTTTTTTTACGTGTTTTTAAAGAGGAAGGGAGGGGAGGGGAGGGGAGGGGACTGCAATGCTAAAGCGTCATTGTAACTAAAAGCTTGCCAGGAAGATTTCAGTGTACAGATAATTAATTTTCACACTAGAGAGGGGGATTCATATACGCCACATAAGGAGTCCCCCACTGCGTATTTACTTCCTTAAAGTCTCATTTTATGTACTTCGTTTCTCTCCTTCGTGCACCTTCAGCCCGGGAACTTTGTTTTTATAGTTCTCCAAACGCCAAGGACAAAACACGATGACCTATAGGCTGACCTGAAAGTGTTGCTTATTGCATTTTCGCCTCACTGTATGATGATTTCGAGTAGTTTGCATTGATATAGATTCTCCTCAATTATTTCTTGTTTCATGTCATCAAACCCAGTTTATCAGCATTTAAACCTCTTCTAACTGGATACTAGAGCATCCGTTATGCCACATGGAACTGAATATCCAACTCGGTCGTTTATGGAAGCATAATGAATTAGCTTATTTATTACTCTCTACTAGCTGCGTGAAAAGATGTTGGTTTATCCTTAAGGTTTCACATCGGGATTGAATCTCCTACCAATTCTTTACAATCAACATACCGAAGTATAAGATCAGCCATTTCTGCTACTGGATAGTCATAGTCACGAGTAGAATTTTGAATGCTCAGGCAGAAGTCGAGCCAGTTCCCTTGCTGGTTGTCTGGCACGGGAAACTCGACAATCATAACTTCGGGTGCTTTACCACGAAAGAGGGAAGAGAGTGGCAAACAACAAATCCGCTCATCTGGTTAATTACTTACTCCCTCCTCCCCTCCCCCCCCCCCTCCCAAATATGCGTTACACGAGACTTATTGAAGCGAAAAGGGTTTGATACGCCAAAAATTTTCACGTGAACGAGACACTTCCTACACGGTGATATGGAAATTAACACAGAAGGTCACGCGTGAGACATATGACTCCGAAATGTCGATTGTGTGACAGAACGGACAGACGATGCTTTGGTGAATATGTACTCAAGCAAAACAAACGACGACTTCTTCAAACTGCGTTCGTTTTGATGTTCGCTATTGTACCTCATTTTGACCATGACTTTGGCTGTGAAATGAAACGATTCAGCGCCGGATCATGACGAGGTTGGTTACACCGCAGTTGGTACGGTTAGGTTTTATGTGTTCTCATTTATAATCGGTTCACTTTCATGGAACCTTTTGAAGGTAACATAAATTCAAGACTTTGTGTTCGGGATGCTTTCATTTGCTGAGCAACATGTTACTAAATCTAAAATCAGTTAAAGGGTTTGAATACCATTCGATTCCGTATAGGGGTTCGAGGCAATTTTGCTGTGGTTGGGGCGAAGTTAAAGGGCATGTAAACCCAAAAAACGTTCATTTTCTTTTCACACAGACGTTTAGTAAATATATCAAGTACACGAAAGGTACCATTCGTTTATTCTCAAAAGTCAATTTTCACTTTGTAAAAGCTCTTCCAAATTCGAAACATTCGCCATCTTGAATGGCGCCATCTTTCCTGTGACGTCAAGGGTGGACCCTCCAAAGTCTCGTTTTATAATCGCGTGAGGCACGAAGGGGTCTTCTCTACAGCCGTTGTTTGCTGGTCTCGTCATGATTTTTTCACTTACAGTTTGCTTCAATATATTCGATTTTTTCGTAATGGTGAAGCGTTGTGTCGTCCAGTTTTGTACTGATTCAAACAAAACTGGGCATACAATGCAAATATTTCCAAATGACGCAAATTTGAAGCGACAGTTTGTGAAATTTGTTCATGTGAAAATAGCCGATTTCGTCGAGCTGTTCGAACGTTCTGTTGTTTGTAGCAGTCATTTTTCTTCCTTGTGCTGACGATTCAGGCCTCACCAGAAGCAAATTATTCGGAAGTATAAAAACGACCCATACAGTCGGCAGACGACGAGGATTCGGAAGCGGCCCCCGGCGACCGAACTAAGAAAGTCAACAGAGAAAGTACAAAATCGATTTACATGAAAACGTTTCGTTAATTAAACAACAATAGCTTTATTGGTTCTCTAAAAACATCTTTTTTCTCATCTAATGAAATATCATGGGGAAGCCAGTTGTTCGGGAGCCAGCGCTGAGCCCGTAAAAGACACTGACATGTCTGAACCTTTGCCTGAATTCGAAACACGTATCAAAGAAAGAGAATTCGTTGATATCAGTGTGTAATAACGTGATCTGGAATTTTGTCGGTTCGATACAAAGAATTCTATATAGGATCCCATAATCAACCCTTATGTTCTATAAGAAAATCCAAGCCAGCCCCGCTTGGTTCTTCCTTTGAGAAACCCTGCAGAGAAACAGCAGAAGAATTTGTGTCACGGTTACAGTGAAAATACATTCAAAGGTCAGTAGGACAATATTCATCATTTTGAGTACAACTTAAAAGATCCTGATTTCAGCTTGCAAAACTATCTTTTCAATATTTCAAATCGAAGCAAACACAAACAGGGTTGGATAATTATGAAGGCCACACAAGGAAATGTACATGATACAACTTGTTTATCGATGGAAATGTTTCTGAGATGAAGGATATTGTTTACCGCACAAGATAGCACAGCGACCCTAAAGTGTTTGCCGAGATATCCCCAACACCAACGAACAAGCTATCTGTAGGCAATTTAGCGAAATTTCCTGCCAGGAAAGAAGCGAAAAACAACTAGCTCTAGTACTGTATTATTAAATCAATGGCAGAAACAACTCAAGTAAATCGATCTCAAAATGTAACAAAACAGATGAAACAGAAAATATTTAGCTTAGTCGTTTCCTGTGTGATTATCTGTGCTTTGCTGCTGCCTGTACGCGTACTTGGCCGTCTCCAGCACCCAGAAATCGAGGCAAATTGACTGAAAACCTGGATGCTCAGTGATACAACTTATCTGGGTTTCAGGCCATTTTGCCACAATTGCCCGATTTTCGTACAACAAACACTTTCATGAGTTGTCGGCATTGGTTGACAAGTTCCACACTCGCACCTTTGATAATTTTATATAAAACACTTTCAGAAGCTCTAGTTAAAAAAAATTATGTTGCATTCCTTTAGATTGTACTCTCGCTTTATTGCATTTTCATGTTAAATACAAATAAATCACAAAGTAAATTAAATACCAGTCTGAGTTTCCGAGACGGTCGCATCGCTGTCGACATGTTCTGTACTGTCTTCGTGCGGATCGCTTCGGTGAACTCTACGCGGCTCATATTGTTAAGGACGTGGCCCAGACTCTCCTGAAGATTCTGGATTATCCCCAGCGCTTTCATTTACTAAGCTTAAGGCATTCGAGTAGCTATCTTCTGAAAAAACATCTTCCGAACTACCGCCACTTACACGAACTCCCACACCAGTTCTACTAAAGAATATGTGTTGCGCAATATTTTGGTTCCACCGCTTACGTCACGACTTCTCACTATTGTTTTTACCGGAAATGGAATTTCAGTTGAAAATGCCGATTTTCTCCTAAAATAAGTCGAATTGGAAACACTAATTTCAAATTCGTTTTCTACGCCACTTTTTACATAGTATAAGAAAAACATGTATTTTGGGTTTACATGCCCTTTAAGGAAAAACAATTGATTCCGCGTGAAATCCACGAGCAACATGATCTAATGGTGGAGTGGCTTTATGCTCTATATGTTTATGTGAACGTAGATTAGTTGGGACAGCTGACTACAGAAAAATACTAAGCTACTAAGAGATACCAGGTGAAACCGATTTGTGCCTTGTCACTGGCGGCCGAGGCTCGTTATGCACAACCGAGGTAAACTATTAAAGGTCGCGGAGAAGAAATATTCAAATTTACTGTAGTTACATAACATGATTTGGGCCAGGAAAAGGGTCCCCAATAGAGACCCGAAAAGGTCCCAGTTTTAACCACGCTGAACTAGCTTGCCACGCTTCATTCGCCTGCTTTTTTGCCCTCGGTGTGGTGTTCGATTCGATCAATTGAGATTACGACGGTCTCTAGTTCCTCTGCCTTTCCAATTTTAAAGCAGCTGGGAAACACATAAATGAATGTTGGTTAACAGCTGTATTTTCAGCGGGACCCATGAATGTGTATCATCACCAGCTGCAACCGTTTTCTTCTGGAAAATCTATACATTACTGCTGTTGCAGGACGACTTAATCGCATCAATATACTCTGAATGTATTCAAGCGTTGCTATCTGCGTCTGAAAAAGTGGTGTTGATTTTGCGGGCCGGGAACAAAACCAGTTGTTTCGCCTGGTTAAATATGTAGATTTGCAAAGGGAAATAAGTATTTGTGGTGCTCTTATAGTTGTTACTTTTCATTTTGTAACATGATAGCTATTTTAAATATGTAAATTTTCCGCTGTAGACTCATCACCATTTCAAACCCAAAGTTCTTTGACTTACACAACAGTGCAACACAAAGGAAATTTACAGCACTGAATAACAAATGCATATAAGTCGTGCATTTTTTCGTCCATCCGCGCACAAAAACCCAATATGCGTCTGCGCAGTTAATATATATCTAGGAAGAGGTAGTGTATGAATTTTCGTTTCGGGGGTAAACCATGCGTGAGTACAAAACATATTACAGCGTCGGTTTTTCGTTAGTTTTCTTGGGATGCTATCATGTTTTAACATATCTTTTTGTGTTTTCGCGATATACATCTTAGCTCCTCAATATCCGTGGCTGTTGTCTTCATCTTGTTGGTTCGCGGGCTCATCCGGGTATTAAACACTTATAATATGATCTCTTCTTTCAGTTACACGTACTGCAATTTAGATAGATTTTTCATCATGAAACAAGGTTCCATAGTGCTTTTCCCGATTACTCGATACAAGCTGGAATAGTCCTACTCGCTATTGCAATTGAAATATAATTTTTTGCTATATAATTCAGTTTCAGAGTGATAATTTCAAGAACTCGCTCAATGAAACGTTTGTACAGTTTCTAATGTGTTATCGCTTACGTATTCCTTAACTGGTTGCTCTTTTATGTTGCAGGTTCAGCAAACAAAATGAGCAGGTTGCACAAGCGGATTATATCAACTCTTCGGTAGGTTCATTGTGCTTGTTAGAGCCGTAAGCTCCATAACTGATATTCTTCTGATTTTAAAGGAATTATTTACCTAGACATTATGTACTGTCAAACGGCTTGTGATTACGACCGAAAACATCGTTTCTTAAGATCTTACGAGGTGATGACTGGAACAGCGAGCCGGAAGACGCAAATCAATGAAGGAATTTATTTTCATTTCCATCTGTTCGGTTGTTTAGATCCAATAAGCTTTTGCATTGATCTCCAAACCATCTTAAGATCAAAGAAAAAAAGTCAATTCTGAATACAGCGGTCACCGTCTGCGTCAACGTACCTTGTAATAGGTGCCAAGTTTGCTCAGATCTCGTTGTTGTAGTCCAGAGAATTAAAAAAAAACAACGGCCAAATCAGGGGGGGGGGGGGGGGAGGGTCGACACCCCGGGTGGGTTCGACACCTCGCGTGGGATCTTATCGGAAGGTACAAATCGTGTTCATACAAAATTAACCGACCTACCTCCAGAGGAAGTAAAATTGGTTCTTCTACCGCAGGTCTAAATTATTTTCACCATTCCTTTCAGAATCCATTCCAACCTGCAATGAGGCAATTTTTCCGCTTAACTAACTGCGTCAATCATCTTCTTGGCCAGATGCCGTCTTTCCTCTTTCTATGCAACAGATTTCTCAACATGATCATCATTTTAACTTTACTCACACCAGCTGCTGTTAATTACTATCGAGCAACCTGGTACATGTTAGACTTGTTCGTTTTTCCAGATGATAAACTTCTCAGCGCATCATTTACGTTTACAGTAAGCTTTGGAACGTTATTCCTAATCATGCTGGTGGGAGATTATATCAAGGAGTCTTTAAATGCGAGAAAAGCAAAAGAAGTGTGGTATCGTGTCCTTTTTTTCCCTCTGGCATTTTTAACCGTTGCAGCTTGGAAAGGTCCATGGATGCTTTTAGATCAAATCACAACGCCTTCTCTTCCAAGTGCCTGTGTTTCTCACGTAATAGGGTTTTTAGTTCTTGTATGCACAAGAACTACCTCATCCATAGTTGCCATGCCGGGTTATTGCTCAAACGAAAGACACATCAACCTATCCGAGAGTATTCTTCAAGGAAAGCATTGTGTAAAGAACACGTCGAACACTATATGCGGTGAAATCGCCGCAAGGATCTTCAATAGTTTCGTTACTGTGTTTATTATCGGAGTTGCAGTGGTGAACTACTGGCGAGGAACTTGGCTTATCATTTTGACCACACTACAATATCTTGACAACGATCTCATCCTATCATCAGTTTTACTGATTATCGTAGGATACAGCATATGGATTGTGTGTTATGTGCTCACTGAGTTCCTGTCAACGATCCCAATGAATCCACCTCATTCCATATTAAACCGTGCCTTGGAGCAGGTCTTTGTTTACATATTGGCATTTGGAGTGGTGTGTTCTTGGGCGGGCATTTGGCTCCTGATGGATGCTTGTCTTCCGTCGGGTAAGTCCATTATATTGTAAGGAAATAGGCGACAAGTTAAACGGGAGGGTTGAAACTTACGAATATATATGCGTGGACGTCTTCTCAGATTAATTTTGCGGGTTTCATTTGGTGGATTTTTCAAATTGTCATTGAACGATCTTCAGCGATGAGAGGCAGCGCCTTGTATCTATATCTATATTGGGGCATATATAACTTTACCATAAGGGGTGAAAAATTCCTTCAGTTTTCTGGACTTCACTCTGTAGCTCACGTTACCAACAAAAACCTTGCACTTGTTAGCAACTACACGGGTTTTCCGGCAAAATCATTACATCTAGTCCGCTGGCTGTCTTAAGTTATCTTAATGCACTTTTCTTTAATATATTTTCAGATCTCCCAGTAACTTATGCACTGATCGGCCATTTTGTATCAATCACTGTCCTTTATGTTTTGCAAGCTTGTATTAATTTGATTGCTTCGCCCACTGGATGTACAGTTCACAACAGTGAGAAGCTTGACGGTTTCGATATGGGAGGCTACTTCGAAAAACCTCACAGGATGGAACCTAAAAAACAGATAGAAAACGGGGCAATCAAGCAACAGTTGATCCGTAATTATGAATCCACTCAACTCAATTAGTCAGTAGCTTTCATCCATGCAACCTTCCTCAAATCTCCACCAGAATTCTGATAGCATTACCTCGCCGGTACTGAGTGGTTTTGTTTGTGCGTACAGCATCACTATGATTTCAAGTTGGTCGTAATTTGTGGGTTTTTAAAGCCTTCTCACAAAACAATACTCGCCATATCAATTTAATTATAGCGTTGAATTGACAACTACACCGGTAGAACTCAAAGGAAAAAAGAAGCTGGAAGACAACTCCCCATGAATTCACTGACCATATACTGTACCTCATAAATTTAAATCGGGGGAAAAGGAGTTAAATTACAAATAGAAAGGGCAGATCGAATGAAGGGAGAGGCCTGAAGTGGGTAAATATTTCACTTAAAAAGAAAAGGTTCAATTTCTTTCTTGCATTGCTTCTGTCATAAAGTCGTGAAAGAACCACACTCGTATCGTCGATTAAACCTTTTTATTATCTTCTAGTCTCGAAGCTTCAGAAACTATACACAAGTAATTTGATTCAAAGGCGGTAAATCAAAATCAAGTTTTGTCCTTTACACGCGTGACTAATAGTTACATAAGTAAAAATCGATTGAAATACACGTAACTGTTCGTAACAGCTTCAATTTTAATTAAAAGGCTTAAAACTGTCTCTACAGCACGTATTCAAATTCAATGAGATTTGAAATCTCGCGAGACACCTGAGAACAGCGACTGAGGCTGACCGAGGTCTACCAAAAACTTACTATTTGAGCTACAATCCGAACCTCCTATCAGACAGAATCTGCAATTACAGCCTAAATATTTTAGCCGAGCAATGAAGTAATTAATTGGTTAATTAACGAAGTAACTAATTAATTATTCTATTTATATTATTGGCCAAAATCCGCAGTAAAATCGTTTTCCTAGCTATCGTAGAATTTCCCGCTTGCGTTACTGAGTATTCCCTTACACGCTAGTTCAGTTATCTTGGACTGTATACTTTCACTTGATACAGGCTTTACTGTCGACAATTCAACCTTACACGTTCCGTTCTACGATCTATCTAGTTTATTCCATTATCGCTTAAGGTTACAAAAATCGCTATATTTTTTAGCTAACGAGAGAATATCGATTGTTCATATTCCCTTGTTAGCTAAGTAAATCCATTCCCAGATTCGTAATTCCGTGTGTGATTCAAGGCTTGCACACGTTCTACAACGCTTCGTGGGTACTAATATCCTTTCAATCGTGGGTTTACTTCTCAATCATGCTGCTATGTTCCTACGGGCTTAACTACCTATAAATACTTGATTAGATACATCAACGTTCGCAGAACTAATGCCGCAACGCTTTCTGTTACATTCTACTTTGGCAGTAACGAAATAACATCTTAGTTAATAAACATTTAACATTTATATAATAAAACGAAGAAATCAATTTGAGCGAAGAAACGCTTCACGACATTGGTTAAATACGCCACCGATCCTCGTAACCCCATTAAAAACGTCAAGAAAACGCTGTGACTGTTAGAAATGCAACTACAATAGAATACATAATAGACTTACCCAGCGCGAAAATTTAGTACAGGTATTCAGCTTTTGCCTCCAATCGGTAAGCACTTGCTTAAACAACAAACAGGCTAAAAAAAAGTTTTGTCAAGATACGAGTAAGAAAACTTTTCAGCTGTCAAAAACTAGATCTACTGACTTTTTTTCGTTTCACTTTCTGCGAGGACATTACTTACGAGATCAAAAGTATACAGCGGCTTAAAAATATCTTCCCACAGCAGCAGTGCGGTTTCTGGGTCGAGTGTTTGCCATTTTACGTTAGATTCGAATTTCTTGAACCCCGGTGGACATTTCATCTTCAATTCTCGCAGCCTCTTTTCCGCTGTCAGCAAGGACGCCTCATCCGTTTTTCCTTGATAATTGTTGTTTTGAATGAGGAGATATCCATCTGCTTCATCTCTTGCTTCCTTCTGTTTGAGGCTATGACGTTTGTCTATGCCCCAACGACTCAATGTGTTTTCGATTTGGCCACTCCGCAGGATTCCAGAAATATCTACTTCTCCTTTTAATTTCGTTTGCTTTGTTAAAGGTGTTACAACTCTTGATTCCTTTTGTTTGAAGCTGTGGCATTTTCCTGTGCTCCACGTACTTAATCTTTTTTCAGTGTGGCAACTCAGCGAGAGTCCAGAAACATCCGTTTCTCCCCTCATTTTCGCCTGCTTAATTAAAGATAATCCCATTTTGACCGAAGCTCGTCGAATTCGCGAGGTGAATGCTTTCCAGGTAGAACGCAGAACGCATATCTGTGATGAAGAGATTCAGTAACCATGACACTAGAAAAATTGACAATCCTTTCGGTAAACATCAATGGATCTCGTTTCCATGTTAAGACATGAAAATATCTCAAAACACAGTCTCCTGATCCGTTCCATTTCCTGAACTCGTGATGGAAAACGTGAGAATTAGTGGCTCTCCAGATGAAATTCTTTCACTTTTTCCAAAAGGTTCTCTCAATCATGACCTATTAATAATCCAACTCACAACCTGTAAAAAGGCCAGTTATGCTGTATTCCGTTGGAATGTGCGAGGAAATGTTGTAAAATCATGACCCAATTATGTAAGAACATCGCAAGATTTCCAAGACCGAAGTCTCATAATTGCATAAGAATTTAGTATGTTTTACATAATATCAGAGTTCTTAATTCAGTTATGCAATGAATTTAATAATCAGCAAAAATCAGAGTAAGAGTCTGACTCTTTACCTCAATTCGTGTAATCGCAACAATTGAAACAGAATGGTCCCAACATCAAAACAAATTTTTACAACAGAATTCGAAAGTACCGAAGCAATTACACTAAACTGAATTATTCGCCTCAGGCTCAATGAATATTGTTGAATAATCCTCGAGACGAAGTCAAAGGGGAATAATCGTTTTAGTGTAATTGCTCTTGTGATTGCGGTGTGCGCACTCTGATTGCGTTGCATCGTGGTAGCTTCATTTTCAAAATGGCGCTGAAAGCAGCAGAAATCGGCAGATTTTAACTGAACATTCCGTAAAAGTTAGGCCGTTCCTTTTTCCTTTCACCATAGGTAAATGTAATTTGATTTATTCTGAACGTGTTAAAGTAATTTTTGTACGTATTTGTCGCGTATTCTATTGTTCACAGGGACAAACGCAATCACTGCTTTTCAGTAAGTAATTTGAGACCGGTTTTCGAGAAGGTCAAATTTGATGTACGTCGTAGTTTGGAGCCTTTCAAAGATTTGGATGGCCGCTTTGATCCTTCTTCAACAGCTCTGACCAAACGCTCTCAAAAGCTCTGCAACAGTACATGTGTTTCTCGCATTTTAAGTGCCAGTGTTTGAGACCGATTATGGCCGAGGAGAGGCCTATAGTTGCGTCACACAGCATTACCATCGCATACTCAATTGTGTTGTAAATCTACTTTCTAAGTAAAAGGAAATTTTCTAATGGCGAGTGTTGTATGGTAAATCTACTATCTTGATCACTGAATGAAGGACAGATGAATTAGAGCTATGAAAGGAGTCACTGAGACCAATGAATAACTCTACAGTGCACACAGCGACACGCCGGATAAGCCGGAAAGCAGAAGGCAATCGGTCGTTAAAAGGTGTTGATAGGCTTGTACGATTCTGCCATTCGCTTGCCTTTTTAAATCTTCTGACCTCAAAGCTTAGCTGTTATTAGGATATCTTTAAATGACTTTTGTTTGCGATGTGATACTAAAGGTTAGTTTAAAGGTGTCATTTCTCCACCTGTGTGTTCTTGGTCTTCTTGAGGTTTGGCGAAGCCGTATGAGATTGTGTTACAGGAACAGCAACAGACAGTGAATCCCTATTACATTCCACGTTTATTCACGCTATCTCTCTGCCACTAGAGATGCTCACTCGACCGCGACAGGATGCAAATAACTCGCGTTTCGTTTTACGACCATGATGCAACGCAATCAGAGTGAGCACACCGCCCGAGTGATCATAGAGTTGCGCGCGCTCTGATTGGTCGACGATTGCGTCCTATCTCGTGCGAGGTGATCAAAATAATAATAATAATACCGGTAATAATGGCTGCCTCGCGAAATGATAAATTTGAAAGAAGAAAATGTACCTCTGAACAGCACAAAAGATGTTTACGAGTTTGGCGTGACACTTTTCAAAGAGAAAGATATGAGGGTTTTGCTGATGGAATTAAGTGAACCTATTCAATTCTGGTTCAAAAACTGGCTGCTTATCCCGATACTCGTTATCCGGAAACAATTGCAGCAGAGTTTACAATTTTCAATTTACAATACGAATGTAGCATAATTGTTAAATAACGCGATTCATATCAAACTTACGCTTGACATCTGCCTCTACATATTTTCGTGACATGTCACGCAGTCCGTGGTTAGTCAACGCGCTAATTTTCGAACATATTCTCTAATACACTGAACAAGAGAAAAGGATAAGATTTCAAAGAAGGCTCCTTGATTGGTTGTTGCCTATTTGGACTTCGCCCCCTGTGTGTGGAAAACGCGGTAAGATGCAGGTTGTTCACAAGGAACGAACATGCTATGGGTTAAGTCCAAAGCAGCTAAAAGTTAATTTCATTTGTAGAGTCAAAACGCAGGAGAATTGCGTGAAAAATTCACTATCAGTAGCATTTAGTTCCATGATAATTTTTCTCAGAAGGGTTGGACAATGTGGTCAGAATACGTGATAATATATAGATTTAGCCAAGCCTAAAAGCGCTTAACGCATTTTTTTTCCCTGCACGTCTCCAGGGCACAACGCCTTTCCCCGGCCAGGACTAGAACCCAGGTCGTCCGACTCGGAGCCTAGTGCACTGACCACTGGACTACTGAACAAAGCCGTGGCGTTAGCGTGCCCGCGGTACAGTTGACCACGCATGTTAAAAGCAGCACCTTGTACGGTCGTACGGTCGTACATCCAAATTTTTTCGGCTTGATGGGTTACTACTATTTTGTATAATTATGGGGCTACGCTCTGCGAGCTCCGTTAAAATGCAGGTTGTTTACCAGGAAATGGCACGTGATGGAGCGAAGTCTAATGTGGCTAAGTGGAATTTAACTGGTGGAAGACAATTCAAGTACGTGAAAAAATGGCGAAATGTTCATGTAGTGCAATAATTGAGTATGTTCTGATTGGTCTCGTCACGCAACGCACTCACTCTCTAACGGAGATTGTAAGGCGTTATGTGACAAAGCCAAACGACGGCACAGTGAGCGTAGCACCGATGCATTTTATTTTTGCTCAGAATTATTCAGACAATAGAGACAATAGACCACAAAATACCTGTGAGAGTCTGGATAAATAAGGTTTTTTTTCTTTCTCTTAAAGTGAAGTAATGCGATATTTTCGTTCTTTTGAAAGTAATGAAAATACTAGGAACAGAAAGTGTCCCATCTCGACCTACCTGACTAAAAAAGTAACTCTTGCATGCTACGCATGCCTATGTTTTAAACCCGTTTCACTTTTTTCATCATTTTTTTTTTCCATCGAACTGTCTTCATCGTCTTCAGGAAGAGGATTTCTGTCCATTCAGCGTTAAAGAAAGCGTAACAAGGCGGGAGGAAGAGTACGAGGAAGCTTAATGATTCGGGGAAGGAAAAAACTACTCTTTTAAAATTTCCTATCATGAGTTTCAAAACAATTCATTGATTGAAGAAAACCAACAGCTCCGTGGACAGAAAAGGAAAGCTGAACTGGACTCAGCCACAGAGTAGGTAAAACCTTGTTAATAGGTTTTTTCAATGACATCACCTGTTTATTGAATAAAGTTCGTACCCGAGCTAGCGCCTTGTCAGAGTTCTTGTCTGAAGCGCTAAATTTAAACTGTTTAACAAGGGATACCCAACTCGAGATGGTTGAAGCTAGAGCAAGCAAAAGGAAGAAACTTATTACGCTGGTTACTGCAATTGACGTTTTCTGTGATCTAGCACTGAACGTTGAACGTACTTGTTTTATGTGAAAAAGAAGCAGATATTTTGAGATACTATCTAGGCATACTCCAATAGATCATAAGTAACAACAGGTAAATATGCGTGTGGGATCCAGCTCACCAAATAAATGCTTGTAGATGGGTATCATTGACGCATTACATCTTTTGAATGCTCCTTGTCTTGCTTTATTTAAACTGCAGTATAATCAGTTAACATAGTTTCGACACTAGTTACTTAAACCTACAAACCAAGTTTAGTAAAATGTTCCTTACAATAAAGCTGCCTATAAAAAACATTAACACACTCCAAAAACATTCATTAGCTTGAGATCTTGAAATGCTTTGGAAAAAGTTATAAATCTCATAAAGAGTTTAAATGTATCTAAGTAAGAACTGAGACTAGTCAAAAGTTATTTTAGATTAAACATACTGGCATAGCAACAACTAGTACAAATTCAGTCCGTAGAGACGTTCGTCACAAGAAAAAAAGGTAAACAAAAAAGAAGCAAATACAAAAAACGAATGAGCACGAATCTTAAGAGCAGAGGGAAGAAACAAAAAAATTGATTTAAACATACTTTGGAAAAAATTACTTTTTTGCGCTCCTCTTTAAGGGAAAAAAAATCCATTTGTTAATTTATTACTTTTATTTGCACTGGAATGTTCCGGTGTGAAAGAAAACAAACGATGACAAAGAAATAAACCAACATAAACAAAAATCGAAGCCTTAACTTCGAAAAGTTGACTTGAAATAATTCTAAACAAGAAAAACACGTTGTTGCTTCGCTTAAAACCACTCTCCTGTTAAAGGTGATATAATTCAAAACTAATTTGATTTCAATCTGTACTCTAAGCAAGACTTTCACTAAAGTAATGGATGCAAATAATTCGTTCCTTCTCCTTGTTTGATTGTTTTTGTTTTGTTTCTCACCTATTTTGCTCTTTTTGCATTTGTGTATAAGTTGATAGTCGCGCCGAGAATGTAGGGGAGACGCAATTTTGTTTTGGTTAGGAGTAGTACAGTTTACTCCAATGAAACCTTTATGCACCACTTCCAGCAAGAAAAAAAATTCCGTCTCTTTTGCATTATTGGCGCAACTATTTTGATATAGACAGGTACAAAAAGAACCAAAAAAGGGGAGAAAACAAAACAAACACAAGAAAACTAAGTTATTTGCATCTCACCACCTTAAATCTACTCAAACTATTTGTAGGAAATGGTCGTCAACATTTTAGTCTGAGGGATATCATGACATAATGACTCTCCCCACTCCCTTTCTACTTGCATCCACATTCAGTGATGATGTGCATCTCCTTCTCTTTGTGATCACCCGTGTGAACATGTTCTGTGGTGTAGTTGGTGGCGATACAAGCCCTCTCGCGAAAAACCAAGCAGTGCTGGCTACAATACTTGTTCCTGTATTGGAACAGATAAATAAATATATAAGTTGAAACGTTATTGGTGACGTCATCCACGTGCTTGTCCTATAATAGATCATAATTAGGAACCAACCAAAATGCCTGTATCACTCAGCTTATCATAATAATTGCTGATTCTGCTTTCAAATGGTTTACAACCGCTGCCACAGACTCTGTCAACGAAATGCATAAAATTGCCTCAAAAGATAAATTATATGGAATGGAGCGACTCACCCAAAGAAACAGCGAACACAACTCCTGGGGCAACCAGTACCGACACACGTTCCAACATCTTTTTCCTGAAAATAATCTCAACATTGCATGAAGGAACAAACTTGTCGATCTTTACATGCCAATGTATTTACAAGTATGCTTAAAATTCTAATCGTCTTTCATTCTTTTTTATGTCCTTCAGTAATATTTTTTTACTTTTCGTTTACTACTGGTTTTTCATTTAAGAAGGATGCACTTTTTTGGAACAGCTTCTTAACCATTAAGCTCTTAAGACCGAGATGCCTATTGTCATCATTTTTTTTCTTTAAGATATATCAGTACGTTATAGGAAGTTACGTGTTCGTTCCACCTTGTCTTTATTTCGTCTTATTCATTAATTATTTCACTTTTTTTTAGCTCAGTGTACTTCTTAATTGTCGTCACTGCTTGGTTTATCACCTTCTCGTCGCATGAAAGACTTTGGAAGACTTTGACTCTTGCCGGAGTGAAATTTTTCAACTTTTTAAGGCACTAGTTTACTGAGTCAATGGAGTGAAATTTGGTCTGAAATCATACGCCTGATTTCAAAATCCAACGAGCGCTTAGCTCATGTTTGATTTGAAATCACAAGTATGATTTCAGACCAAAATTGCACAACATGAAGTTCGATTACCACTTTTTCACATCTATTTCGAAATCGCAACATTCAGTCGCTCGAATACAGGTTTTTTATTATTGATATGTACAAATGTTTTATTAATCCAGTATTTAGCTGGTTTGTAAAAAGTTGCAAAAGTTGTCTTTTATTTTCCTGCAATTTGATTGGTTTCTTCGAGCAAGCCTTTAAATCTTACTGATTGTCTTAGTAAAGTTCTCTCATTGGCTAGGAAAAAGAGGCGATTTAGAGCATAAAATGATGCGACTCGTGAATAAATGGCACCAATGAGAGCCAATCAGATTGCAAGGATTACCAGTGATTTCAAAATGGATGTAATGAAAACAAAAATATTTCCGGCAACCTATTTAAATAATTAGGTAAGTGAACTAACTTACGGTCTTAAACTTTGTTTTAGCAATCGTTTCTCTAAGTACACACCAGTGACCACGAATGACCACGGGTGACCACAAATGGCCACGAGTGACCACGAGTGACCACCGGTGACCACCAGTGACCACGAGTGACCACGAATGGCCACGAGTGACCACGAATGACCACGTGATTTTGATACCAGACAAATATTTTAATTACTTTTTAATTGTAGTCTCTTATAGTCATTCGTGGTCACTCGTGTGTACTCTTAGACACGACCATCGTTTTAAAAGTATATTTGACACGGTACCAAACATAATGTAAGTTCAACGTCGCACAAGCAACGAAATATGTTTCTCTCACGATGATTGTGATTATCATCAGCGATCTTTAAATTATGATTTATTTTACCGATCACTTTCTTGTTACAGTCTCCATTACACACCTCTTGGATCCACGTGTTGCCCGACTTCCTCTTGAAAACTTCACGAAAAGCAACGCGGTGGCAAATTGGGTTTACGCAACCACACTTCTTAATAACGCGATGAGTTAGCTCACCTTTTCCTATTTAGAAACGAGTGGTCAATTCAAGTATATCTGGATGACCTAGAGCTATATATTTTCCAGTCTAGCCCACCCACTTAGTTAACCATCACTTGTTTCTAACAAAGGGAAGGCATCACCTGCTGCACCTTCGCAACAATACCTCTTAAGAATGTTCAACATTTACATCCAGATCAATATCCTACCATTTGGCCCTTTTATGGCCATCATTAGGCTGTCAATGGCCTTGCACGCATGTCCACTGCTTCCACAAGAACCATGGCAGACACCTATGTCATGACGAATACTGTACGATGTTCCGTCAAAGAAGGTTTTGAACAAAGCTTGGCGACTGCAGCCGCTAGAGGTATTTTGATAGCCACACTTAGCAATAGCGGTCTTGTACTTTGAGCCACCAATGAGGGGATAACTTCTGCTGGTCACCTCAGTCGGGTTGCATGAAGAGGACCCACTGGACATCTTCTATGATCAAATCAGATTTTTCGAATGGTTTATTGGATCAGTTTAACTTCACTTTTAGAACGAGGAAGGCCTTTTGCGCCGCTCTGTAACTTGGGGACTGTGCTGAATTCTTTCCTAAAGCGTGTAAAGATACGCTGTAAGAGCTCGGATACCTCTCGTGTCTAAAAACCCTTTGAAATTCATGACAAGTACTATTTAGAAAGAGACAAGTGCGATGCAAGCATGAGAGAGGTATGCGAGGGTTCCTCGAGGTTTCTGGGCGCGTGCTTAGTTCGCTGGCTCGAGTCTCGCGGGCTCTTCGCCGCTCGTGTCGCAACGCTAATGTAATAAGCGCATGCTCGTACGATCCATTCTCACCTCGGGAGTAGCTGTAATGGTGTCTGAGTCAGTGGCGTTGCAAGTTTCTACACATCGCCCCATATCTGCTTCATAAAGCCTGCGACGAACGTCTAAAAGCAAGAAAATGTAAAAAAATATCGTAAATTCAGTCACTGCAAATAAAATACCTTTTAATATAGTACACTTTTTGGTTTGTATTTGAAATGAAATATTTTCCATCCAGTCTGCAATTTCCAACTCAGAGGTTGATCAGAAGTTGACTTCATCGTCATTAACATTAGGTTTCGAGTGATTGTACCATAGAGTTTTCTCTGTATGTGTTACTTAGGCTGTGCAATGATTACTTGGAAAATGATGAAGGGCTCACATTCAGATCCACACTTCAAAATGGCGCTCCGAGATGCAACAACATCAACAACAACAACTTTAATTGTAACCTACATTAATTTACATGATACAAAATAAAATGGACTTAAATTTTTTCTTAAAACGTTTGAGAGAGAGAAGGTTTATGTCATCACTTATATCATTTTATAATAAAGTTCATATATAACGCGCGCTGTCATTGGTTGAAAGAGCGTCCTCTGTGAGAGTATAGAGCATAGAGCTGAGCTAAAGCTGTCACGCCATCTACCAAATTGGACTATTTCCGACCTTTTCCGGGACTTCTCTCTAGCTTTTTTTCGTTAATTGAAAGTGAAATTTCGAAAAAAGCAAGCCGGCAAGTAGCAACAGAACAACCAAACAAAGGTTTATAAACATGCCAAGCGCCGAAATTGACGTTATTATAACGTGAGCAGAGACGAAAATCCTCAAAGAGAAAACGAAATGGACAGTCCGAGTTTTGAAGGTTTTCACGCTCAGTTAGATTGCAAGCTTACGAATGGTAATAAAAATCAAACACAGCTAACACTCGTATAGTATATAAAGTTAGAGTTCAAAAACAAAACAGAACAAAACAGGAATGATAAAAAATATGGCATAACTGCTATAATTCACACTAATCATGACGGTGTCAGAGCGACTGCGATCATGCTGAGGTCCAACGTGGCAAGCTCGGAGATCGCCAATGAAGCAAGCCTCAGAAATTAGATCGACCCCCTTCGAGTGAACTTAAAATTGGATGGAGTCTTCTCCAGAGTTTTCCACAGAAAAAGGTACCACGAAATCTAGCGTCGGCGATCCCATTCTCATGTTGAAATTGAGTGAATAAACATGAGGTTGTGACCAAAAATTGCATAAATTAACGTCAGAGGTCACGTATTTCAGAGCGACGTGATCACGAATCTAAAGCAGGGCCCAAAAATTTTTTTGCCCACAAACGTAGTATAAAGATAGGTCTTTCCTGTGATGGTATGTTTGTCGGCATACAGTTTTGCCCATTGGAGATATTTGCAATTAAAAAACCCTAATTTGTTTCGTTTTTTGAATAGTTGCGTGACACAGTTAATGATTAACTGCTTTAAATTGGCAGAAGTTATATCAAGTTACCCCAACTTTACGGAATGTTTTCCTGAAGGTTCAAACAACCATTGGACATAATAAGGTTAAAATCCATCGCATTCTGTTAGTGTGAGAGAGATTCGTTAAAGTGCATTTTTCGAGCTAATTTTAGCCTTTTACCCAAGGGATTTGATGAGGGGGCTCTGATACCCCAGGGATTAGCCGGGAGCCCGAACTACTTTGGATTCTCGAATAACTTAGTGACCTTCATAAACTGTGAAAGTTTGAAAGAAATCGGTGAGATGGCATGTGTCACGCTTGCCCAGTGTCACAGCGGATTTGGACCCACCCCGGTCAAAATCCGCTAGCGGATATGGACCCTTTTCAGATTTAGACCCCCCAACCAAACTTTTCTTTTAAGCATCGTTTGTATCACATTTGGTAACTAATTCTATTCGTAAGCTTTTTGTCGATGTTCTTTCAATCACAACACAACATTTCCTCAATCTTAGGGCCTGTTTACATGGATACGCATGTTTTGAATTTAAAACATACTTTAGTACGCACTGGAACGTAAAGTATCATCCATTTTTACTAGAACGTTAAAGGGTAACTGACGCCAAATTTTTTCTTTTTTTTTTTTGTCCCAATACATTCCTCTTATGTTAAAGAATCCTAAATGAGCAATTTAACGAAACATTGCGCAAAACCAAATTTTCTACAATTTTTTTTGACGCTCAATCGACGGCAATTTTGAAAACGTTCCGATTTTAGGTCACATGATGTGATACGTCACACGTGTGTAAGGCAGTGAAAAGAGTCATGTAAGACCTGAAAGTAACAACTTCGCCCTCGCTGTCCGGCTGCTGCCGAAATTTACGATTGGAAAAAATAAAGAGATTTGTGCCATTCTGTTATAGGTCACCATTTAGAGACTATGAAATACGAAGTGAGAAATAAAATAATGAAGGCTGAATAATCGAAACGCGAGGGATGGCATGTCTGTAGTCAGAGCGACAGATAAATTGCACGCCTTTCCAAATAGCTGTAAAAAAATATATAATCCTATAATTTTTTCCTCTGAACCATTATCGAGTCCTATACTCAGAATTATCTTTTAGTACAAGCCGAAAAGTATTTGGCTTTAGATTTCGTCCAGTGTATATCACTGTGACCTCAGGCCCATCGGTTCTGGAGTGAGCGCGACTAAGCGCAAAGTGTTGTCGCGTATTATGGGAGGTCGTCATCTGGTCTCGTGAACGAAACTCTTCTTCCACGTTCCGTAAATGTACAAATTTATCCTTTTAAAATTTTTTTTAACGGAGACTAGTGAGCAGCACAAAGGAAGACTCCTTGCTGTTGTAACTTTTCGTTTATTTCTTTCGACGCTAGCTGAGAGCTCTCCAAGGATGATGACAACTAACATTCAGCAGCATATATAGCACATTTGTGTGCTTAAGTTAAGTTGGGCAGCATATATAGCACATTTATGTGCCTAAGCTAAGTTGAGCTCATATATAGCACATTTGTGTGCCTAAGTTAAATTAACTTCCAGTGGAAGTGAATAATAACAGAAACGTGCTGCAAGAAACGCCTTGTTATGAGCGACACACTCAAGTGTTGTTTCTCATTTGCGACCGAAAGGATACTCGTTTCAAAAGTGTGTTACTGTCAGCTGTGTGAACAGTGAGTTACTTTCGCTCGTTTATCGTAAATAAAACAAGCCGCGTTGACTTTTACAATATGGACGGAAACCAACAGGATGTAAAACGAAAAAAACGGAAACCAGGGAAGCGCTGTGTCGTGATGTTTTGTAACAAAACAAATGCAGACGGAGTCAGCCTTCACCAGTTTCCAGCTGATGAAAGTGTGCGGCGACAATGGATTGCATTTGTGCGAACAAAAAGAGAACCTAATAGTTGGACACCAGGTTCGGGTCACATTTGTAGCGACCATTTCTCAGCTGATGACTACGAAGGATTCGGTGCAAAAGTAGCTGGATTTAGCTCTAAGCTAGTATTAAAGAAGTCCGCAGTTCCTTCTATTCAAGCGTCTCCTATTCCTGAGCAAATAAACGAAGCTCGAAGAATAAAAAGAAAACTCTCACTGTCTAACGAAAAATTGAGGGTAGAAGACTCGAGCTCCGTGGTCACACAGGAGACTAACACTACACCAAAACGACAAAGCCGGGCCTTATCAAAACTAACGGCAAACAGGGTATGAGAAAGATATTTCTCGCTTTTGCTTCTCTTAGCTTTTGTAGACCTGGTGTCAGTTTATGTATGTAAATTAGTTGCGTTTGTCACTAAAGTAGTAATGTATTTTTTAAAAAAAACAGTTGGTGGTCGAGTTTTTACAAGAAAAATGGAAAATACTACCATTACACATTCAAAACATTCATGTCAATGCGGAGAGTGACCTATATCCTGAATGTGGGCATGGCAACCTGCAAGGAGACGCAGCTGATCGGCTTTGGCTGCAACCAGGTATAGTAATGGCTATATATTACACCTGACAGAAAAATAAAACAATTTTTATTTTCATAATTTCTTGTGTAAGGACAGAAATTAAAGTTGTGTACAACAGAAACTTTCAACAATGTAAAGATTTTTCGAAGGCCTGAGGGTACTTATATGCTGTTCACAAGTCTATGTAATAAATTGTAATTTGAAGCACTAGGTTTGCAATAATATGATTTCATAACTCATAGGCTCATGCCCAGTTGTTAAACTGGAGGAGTTGTTACTGAAGCCTCAACTGCTGAAGGATGTAGCACAACTATCCCCAAAATACCAGACATCTACTCTGGAAGCCAAGCACAGCCTGGACATCCAGTTTGTGCCAAAGCATACTGCCTTCTCTTACTGGGGGATTTATACTAGGTTTGACTATTTCCCTTTGCTATTCTCACTCTGTTTGGTTCTTTACAAGTTTTGCAGATCACAAAGTTGCAAACATTGCCCTGAGATCTTCACTTATATTTATATCATTTAACAGATTGTGCCTTTCTTCCCTGCATTACAACACCAATGCAAACAGGATGCAGGCAGTGACAGATGAAGGCAGGCTACGCTACTCAGTTGTATTTCCAAAAGCTAAAAAAGGAGATCATGCTATCAAAAAAATCAAAACACAAGCTTCTCATGGTGGGTATGATGTAGATGGGGCACAGGAAGTTAGATATTGCACTTTTTAGCTTATGGATTAACACAAGCAAAGAATTAGCCTTTGAAAATTACCTCAATTTGGGAGCCATGAAAAATAACAAATCCAAGCTCCACCTCATAAAGAACAAAGAAGGAAATTAATAATGCATTTCAATTTACAGATTACTGCTACAGCATTATAAAGGACTTATTTGCAAAATATGAGGCAAATCCAATGAATCTCAAGGAGTATGTGACAAACTTGGCCATCAACACCCCACCACCCCTTACTGCAAATGCACAGAGACCTGAAAAGGAGAGGCTATTCAGAATTATGTCAGCTGATACAACCGCACTATTCTGGTGAACTAGTTGACCTAGTATATAAAAACCAATACTTAAATTCTTGTGATTTTAAAACCTAAAATATTATTGTAAATTGGATAAGGGTTATTTTGTGTGAAATAAAAGCATGTATCAGAAAAAAATTGTAACTTTCATGTGCCAGTTTCAGCTAATTTGAGCTCCTAAGGGAGACTTTGGAAACAAAAGTTATCTCCTAGTGACATAAGTAAAGGTTTCTTCAAGAAGAGGATTCAACCACAAGAATACAAGTAGATGTATGATAAAAACTTATTTTTTGGAGAAAAATGTTAATAAAATAACAAAAGGAAAGAAAAGATAAATTTAACCCTTGCACTAAAGTTTACTCATCTGCATAAGTAAAACCAGTAAAAACCATGTCCTCCTCCAGCTGGTTGGGCTCTGGGAAGTAGGCACGTATGCAGTTCACAGCACAAGAAGGCAAAGGGATGAGGATATTTTTGCCCAGAGTACCCCAACACCAACTGACCAGTTGCCTGTAAGCAATGTGGCAGTTTTTCTTATGTTCAGGCCCCTCATAAGCAGAAGAGCCATACTGCTGCTTGTATTGTAGCCAAGCTGTCTGCAGAACCCAGATATTGAGGCACACTGCCATAAGCCCTGGATGCTGCACAATACATCTGGGTTCTGCCTGCAACCGTTCCTCCATGACATCCGCCAAAATTTTATTCCTAACTGTATCTACTTCTTGGCAACAGATGCTCTCTTCCTCCCTTTCCATCGCTTGGCAGTTTCCACACTGACACCTTGTAATAAATAATCAGTAAAGTAACGAATTTTTTCACAATGTTGAATTGGAGAAATAGAGAGCACAACTTGTTTGATTGTTTTCACCAAAGGGGACAGTTGTAAGCCCTGTTACTATCACAAACGTGAAAGACAACTCAAACTTTAGGCTATAAACAAGGTGCAAAGACCACAAGTCAACAATAAGTTATTATGAAGACTTTGTTCAATTCTACATGTCCAATGCTATTTTTCGTTCGCCAAATTCAACACAGGAAAACTTAAAACCGATTCAATCGCGTGGAAACGTGTATAATCCATCCAATTCACCTCCACAAGCGTGTTACTTTCAGTCTGTGAAACCTAAGCTTCGGAAGGTGCCGGCGTGTAGCATAAATCACTTCGCTTCCAAGCTACTCAAGAGTCTGCACATTTGTTTTTTATTTACCTGATCGCTTCTATATTTAATAAGCGACTGATTTTCAGACACTAGATTTAAAAACGTATTGTACTCACCATTCGTCGCTTTCCTGATTGAGGCGGCCGCGGCGCACAGGCTCTTGATTCTCTTCCAACTTTCGCCCTGTATTCTCGGTTCGTCCTGGCGGTTCAAATCGCCAGGGCCTAATTTCACCAATAGGTTCATAAATTCTCCCATTATCTTCAACCTCTATAAAGGCCTCAAAATCGGAATAATCGGACTCAGAAGTAGAACTGCTTTCAGTTGAGCTACTGTCCGCCATATTTACTTTGCTTAGTGTACACACGCGCGACGTATCAGGTCACATGATCAAAATCGAAGCGTTTATAGCAGATGACTCACGAAGCTGCATTTAGGACAGTTTTCCCGGCGAAACAAGGCACAAAGAGGCATTCGAAGCACCTTATTTCTGTTTCAATGTGTTACCTGAGGCATTTAGACGGTATTCCGAAAAAGTGACCTTCTAGCCGTCAGTTACCTTTTAAGGATGATGTTTTCACTCAGTTTTGTTGGGGGTCCAATATCCAATATCCATATCTATATCTATATTTGGACCGGGGGGTCCATATCCGCTACCGGATTTGGACCGGGGGGTCCATATCCGCTAGCGGATTTGGACTGGGGGGCCCAAATCTAGGAGGGTCCAAATCCGTTAGAACACCGGGTCCGGTCCAAATCCGTTAGGACACCGGGTCCGGTCCAAATCCGCTAGGACACTTGGTCCTCTCGTGGACAGACTCTTTAAAAACTCTTCACGGTGGCTAATTTACGTTTTCAACTCAGTTGTTAACAATAAATTACCTGAGAAGAAATACAGTTCAATATTAAAAATATTTACGCAATTACTCACGTTTTCGAAAACGATACACGTGTAGTTCATTGACACGTTTTGCGAATTCACGTGGCCGGTGGTGAGCGTAGACATTGCTGTCTTTCAAGTCATTATTTTTTTATCAGTCGCATTTTGTATAGCCCGAGATTGTACTGTTGCTATTGGATCAGTCGTATTTTGTATATCCCGAGATTGTACAGGTACTATTGGATCGAAATAACATAATGATCCCAATTAAGATTCGCAAATTTGGGTTGTGTCCTCGTGTACCGGTACACAAAGGAACGAAACATTAACGAACTGTGTCACAACTCCATGTATGGATATGAAAACAATAGGAATTCCCCCATGTACCGGTACACCAGGACAGCCCCCAAATTTGGTCCAGTCACAAGCTTGGAACCCGATTCCTCACGAGGAATAAACGTAAACACGTTTTCTGTGAAATTTACGTGGCATGTCACGCTTATGTTTGTAGAAGGCCTTTACGTTGAATCGCGCAGTTTAAGTCACGTTGAATGTTTACATCTGGTTTGGAGCAAAACTCCCGTGTAAGGTTTACTTCCAGTTTGCATCACACATCGCTGGGCTCTTTATCTGCACAGCTCCTAGATACGATTTTATCTGAGAACATGAATATCGGTTGGTTAAATGGTTACTTTTCGATCACCTCATCCGAAGAAGATCGACGCACGTTCTTGGGCACATGCTTAAAAAACCACGTGAATAAAAAATGTGACTTTGAGAGTTCCCATGCTAATATAAAAGACACATATAATTAAAACTCGTCGAGACCGCTTTTCAGTCTGTGCAAAGTAGACCAACGAATTTTCAGTGCAGAGAAACAAGTCAGAAAGAAGTTGTCCCTGCTGATTATTTTTTTTTGAAATATTCCTTCAGGTATCAATGATGTCTTGAATCTTTGGGTATGTCTTTTATTTTATTGCTACTTTTTTCCTCAGTCTTAACAGGCACTAACGCACTATTGTATTTTAAAAAATTTCTGAATCATAGCAGTTACTAAGGTCTTTCGTATGCTGATACTCTAAGGAGTAAACATTTTTCTTGGCACAAATCCTATCCAGAGTGTATGAGAATGCAATCCCAAAAAAGCATTTTTAGTTTTTGTAGTTCGACGTTTCCGGGACCGAATTGACCTCTGAATTTGGCAAGCTTATTTAGATATTCATAACTTCGCACTAATGGTTCGAGCGGAATGTCTGGTGTGGGTCACGCTTTCAAATCAACACTCTGTTCTCTGTTTAGAGTACTTTTGTTATCTATGATGTATGTGATTGTCTTTTTTCGTGTTTTGCTTTTGAGGCCAATTTGGGCAGAGTGTATTTGATAATCCAGTGGTCAACTTACTAGACATGTCACTTATTCAGTAATTTTGAAATTTATTTTGTATTTGAGAGCCATCAAATCACCGGCAAGGCTGACGATCCATTTACAAGAACTAAGTATTGCTGATAAAGAGATTTCATATGTACTACCCAGTCCATATTTTTTGCACCGGTGATCTTTTTATCTTTTCCATAAATGACAGAAAAATCACGACCAGAATGTTATGAGTCAGTTTAGAAAACGTCGTGGAAATTGGTAATGTTTAAAGCTCGGATTTCTGCTCAACGACCTTCCGTTAGTTTCTAAGGTTCTTTTACCATGAAGCATGAAAACTTTGCGGCTCTCAACTTTTTACGGATATTACTCGATCCGTAGAAATGAGTTCTGACAGATGCCGTCCGGTGATGAGAAAATCTGTACTAGTAGATAATTAAGATGTCAACCTCATGCATGGGTAGAGAAGTAAATATCATGTTTCGATCTTCTACAGGCTTCGCCTTCGCCGCGTTCGCATAGCCTTTTTGTCCTATCTGTTCTCGCTTCATTTATGAGTTTTCTTTGTCTCTCGCGTGATTTTAAAGTCGATTCACAGCAATTTAGTCGATTTTTAAGTTCCTTCGCCTTTTGGATGTAATTAAACTTTTGTAAAAGTAAGATCCTTGAAGACAAATCGCATCATCTGTTGTTATAGAACCCTCATTAAATCGATTGTTTCGCTAAGTTGACGGCTTACTCCTAATTCTTTTTAAAAGTTCCTGATGCACGCTTAAATTCTTTTAAATTATACGTGTCAAATTCGTTGATCGGTCGTTTGAGTGAAAGACAGAAGTGAAGAGCCTGCAACTAGCTCGCAAATTGCTTTTTGTCAGCATAATTAGGTTCAATCTGGGTGCAGAAATCGGGACAGTTGCGGAGAGAAAATCTTTAGGCAGAGACTAGCGCACAGACGTATTTCATGTCTTAATAGTCAGGATATGGTGAACTTCATGGCGGAAATAACCGATGCCCCTAAAGTGATCGGCGAGCTGAAAAATCTCAAAAACAAAATGAAATGTGCGCCGTACATCATGAAACATCGCGTGCACCAGGATAATAAAATTACTCAAACTGTTTAATATTGATGTTTGTTTCTTGGGCTTTGAAAGATTTGGGGCGCTGTAGGTCGTTGACTCCTGAGCATCTTCAATGAGCTTGCGTTCAGTAAGGGTTATTTATGTTTGAGATACTGCTCAAGTGAATATATCGAGTAAACCTACGTAATCAATTTGTAACTGCTCTTGACTTAAATTCGATGGAAATTAAGGAATATGTACCAGCATTCATGATTCGCCGTAATAAATGTAAAAGAATCTTAAGTTAGCTGCCCTCATATTTGATGAAATAAGTTCATCCATGTTGAAGTCAGGACATCTTGTTTTAAACAAGTATTAGCATGTGCGTCATGGCGGGGTATCGAGCTCGCTAAAATTACTTTTCTACTTTAAATAAATCAAACAAACTTTTCATATAGCTAAAACGCATTTGCATGAATTCTGTATGATAGTGATAATAAAGGACATTTACCGATCCCGATCGTAGTTGTGTTGGGTAAGCGGTAGCAGCTGCAACCTTTCTTTCTCCCTATTCAATAGAAAACGGGAAGCAAAAAATAATTATTTGGTAGTTGGAGCGTTTATGCCATTTCTTAGCTGCAAAAGTCCATTGATTCTAACAAGGGGGAAGCATATAGAAAGCAAGGTCTTATATCACGTAAAAGTGTCTGGAAATCGTACTTTTCCCGTTATGTTCGGCCTCAATTTGATAATCAGAGCCACGGATCCTGCTTTCAGAATCCTTGTTATTCATTACTCAATAATTATAATCAATTCAAGTTTCAATTTCTATCATTTACCAAAAACTGTTGTTTGAATGGTACCAGATACCAGGACAAGAAGAATCAGGGTTTTTAGGATGTCCATGTCTTCGTAGTAGATTCGTGTTCGCACTGATAAAAGCGATCAGAAAAGCAAGGCATCTATGGGCGAGCAGGAATTTTAAAGCCACCTTTCTCCGCCCAAGTGTCACGTGATTTTTAATGTAAACAAGCCGCGAAAGTTCTGACATTGAGTCAACCACCTACTACCCGTGTACGAACTTCGACTTTGGCATTTTGTTGTAAATAATTTCCAATGTCGTGAAGCGCGCGTTTTTACGCTCAAAATTGATTGTATAGCTTTCCAGGCCACATGAATGACGGCCAATGCTACCAGGCCATTCCGCGTATTGGACATGGCAGGCTATGCAATTTGCCTGAGCTCATCTACTGGCTGACAAGCGCTACCTGGCGAGAGTTCCACTTATAGCCTCTAGGTGGATTGCGCGAAATCCCAGACAGAGGCAGGCAAATAAGGCTTTGCGCTCTCTATTGAATGCAAATAACACACTCCATCGGATTCCACAAAGTGTATGCATCTGCCCACTCTATGGCGTAAGCGATGTTTTCTACCATTTGCTGTATGTACGAGTGGCTTTTTATCAAAAAGGAAAAAGTTGGTCATTCGTAGTTTAAGAAATTTGGATTGCGGATTTTCACGGAGAATGCAGAGAAATGAATCCTCTTGTCTATCTTATATTAAAGGCAACATGCGTGTTCTCCAGCAAGGCTTATTTATTGTTGACTTCCGTGATTCAAAGAAACTGTTTAGGCCCATTTCATTATTACACTACTTGTGTGCAAGTCGAATTGGATCATTAAATGTTTTGTTTGTTGAGTCTATTCATGTAACTAATCTCAAATCCCTTGAAATCTTTACCAAACAAAATCCAAACTGACCGAGTTAAATGGCAAAACAACCACAAAAAAACCCACAATACTTCTTAATTGAATATGTAAAAAGAGCGAAGAAGATATGAGTGAACTTCGCTAAGTCGGAAAACCCTTTTTCTATCGACTGCTGCACATCTTTCATTTTACTCAGAAAAAAAATGGGAAACTCTTAACCTTAACCGAGATCCACTAATTCGAAAAATTTTGGAAAACTCACATCTCTCCATGTTTAGTGTACTTCCCTAAAAGCGCTATGGATGTGTTGCTAAGTCTCTGAGACTCTGAACCTGTGTATTTGATAAATTATCAAATACACAGTTCGAGTTCGACATCAGAATAGCATAGTATTCAGTATCAAAGAAGAAATCGAGAAGCCTAAATATGTAAGGAAATCGCGAAGAGAAGGGCTCCGTTCTTAAAAAAAGAGAAGTGAGGTCTGTCGCCATCCAAAGCCCTACTCAAGCCACACTATCTGCTTTACCGCAAGCAAACCACTCAAAAGATCCATTATACCCACGTCTCGGGTACTCCAAGAAGACACTTTTGATGGAAACACAGAGGTAATCGTTTCATATTCATCGATGAATCTTGCGACATATTAAATCTTCTTTTTCTATCACGTATACTTTAACACTGATTTGACCAAGCAATCAACAGGAGTTGAAATACTTGAGAAGGCTGGCCATAGAAATCCTGAGGTATGAAGGTTTCACATGATGCTACATTTACAGCTGGTTTGCATTGTGATAAGCATTTTTTTTCTACAATTACAATATACATGTGTGTCATTCAAAATTCCATGTCAATACTGATATTTTTGTCCAATTTACTACGATCAGAAATATTCAACAGAGTTTAATTCATTCAAAATGAAAATATTTACCAATATATGGAGAGTTACATTTTGTTTATATGTAGTTCAAAGAACATGCAAATTCTGAAATAAGAAGTATATATACTATGGGTTGCATCGCAAACAAGCCTTTCGGCTGCAAAAGCAAAACTTATTATGTTGCTACCTACTTGTAGTGTCAAAGCATGTGCCAAAGCATGTGCCAAATATCAGTTTCTAGACGAGATTGATGAACAGTGCAGAAGTCTATGTGTGCAGAAACCTGGAACTGCTGACTTTTGTGTCTTACATGCAACTAGGAATAGTACCAAGTCGTCCCTTGAGGATTTCAGTCGGAGCAGTTTATTAAAGAAATGATAGGTTGAGCTCCTAACTTTCTTGATTTTAAGACCGCTGAGCTGAAAGTTGTAACAGTCTAAAAGAAATAATTTATTTTACCTTTCTTTTTATTGAAGCAATGATGTAATTTTAATCTTGAAACATTACAATTGCAAAATGTAAACCTTCCATAAGCTTGATTTATCAAACTGAATTATGCAAAAGAAAGAAGCTAGAGCGAAGTCAAAGTTTGTGATGTTTTTTCAAGGTTCAAACTATATCCTTACCTATCTTTTTCTCTTGATCTTTAAGAGGGATGTGAATATTTGATTCCTATGCATCTGTTTTCAGTAAACTCAAGGTCAAGTGAGAAAAAAAATTTGTAAAAATATAACACATCAAGTAACGACTTTCATTTTTGCTTCCTCAAGTTATTTTGGAACAAGTAACTGGTACAAAAGTAGTAAAATAATTTTATTCTCACTTTAAATAATAACAAAGTACATTGAAATGACAGGAAATATCAAAGCAGTGTCAAAAGAAACTTGTTTGGCATGTTTTCATTGTTAAGTAGGTCAAAGAAAGTTAGGAAAGTTGTCTAAGGTATGTGGTATATTAGGGCGAATAAAAGGGTGTTTTTATAAGAGTTTCAAAACATTGCTGTTTTTCTTTGTTTTGTATTCATCCCAGCTCAAGTGCAGTCACCTGTACAATCATCAGGATAGGATTCACGAAAAGCAAAAAATGTATTCTTTAAAGACTCAGCATACGAAAGACCTCAGCAGCTGCGATGATTCTTAGAATAACCTTTTTGTCATCTTTAAGGGTCAGTTACGAGTTCAGAAAAAGCTCTTCAGGGCTTTTAAGAAAAAAAAGATTAACAATGAAATAGAAGACATACCCAAAGATTCAAGACGTCGATACCTGATGTAATGTTTCAAGACATAAACTGCTTTTCGGTCGTTTCCATACACTAAAGATTCGCTGGTCTAGTTTACATAGACGGAAAACCCGTCTCAATAAACTTTACATACCCTACATCTAATTCATATTAGGGTCTCAAATTCAAATTTATTGGGAACGTGTACACCCCGGCATGTGACCAAGGACGTGCGTCGATTTCCTTTGAATTTGGTAATTGAAAAGTGTTAAATTGACCGACAGTAATTTTTCTCTCATGTAAAATTAATTTAATTCAAGAGAATTATGACCAATCAATAGGCAGTATTTGAGTGACATGTTTACCTCTGTAAACCCCAATATAAATCTACTGTATGAAAGCACGGGGAGGGTTTGAAAAGGTAGCGGGGAAAGGCTGGAGTTGATGATTATGAACTAATTAGTAGTATTAGCAATAGAATAACTTTCCCTAAAGATTACCAATTCCCCTACTTAGCGTGTTTAACTTTAATAAAGATGAGTCCTAAAAATTTGTACAAAGTTTATTAATCGATCACTAGTTATTCATAGAGCAGCCTTTACTGTGCTCTGTTCTGTTGTAAAGCACGCAGGAAGCGGCTAAAGCACGAAAGAAGTGTGGGGAGAAACACGCGACGTAGTCTATTGGCGCTTCCTACGTGCTTTAAAATGGAATAGAGCACAATCAAGGCCCATTTATTTGTTTTATAGTAAAGAATTCCCACGCAGTACTTTCAAATTTCAGAACAAACATTATTTCAAAGCGAACAACCGTGTCGTCAGCATGCTCTATACTCTCATAAAGCACGCTTCAATAGGTCAGTCAGAATCCTTGTTGGAATGGTTTAAATAATCTGATTGGTTGAACAAGACTTAAGCTGTCAAAAAATGTCAACCATCAAAAAGTCCACAAACTAAAATAGTTCGGCAGGTCGATTTTAACACTTGCCTGGAGGATTTGAGTCACTGGTACAAAATTTCAAAGAGAAATGTTCAGAGAAATCCGGCTGAATTGAAAATCATAAAAATACACACGATTTTTTAAATGACAAATGGTAAAAAAACTGCTCAAAGCGTGTGTTTCATGAATGAACGACAGCTGAATTCGCAGGAACATAAAGATTGCTCGAAATGACAGCGCAGTAAAACTCGGCTGCTGTGACTGATGTGGCCTTCTGGTCAACGCATCGGTAAGGATATCAGAGCAAACTCTTAGTTGTTCACTCGAAGTGCGACCGATTTAATTTCTGAGGCTTGCCTCAATGCGATGACGGGAGATCGCCCTGATGAGCGCAAGCAAGCCGCGATGGACTTCAGCACGACCGAAGTCGCTCAGACACCGTCATGATTAGTGTGAACTTTAATAGTTATGCCAGTTTGCCAATTTTTTTCATCATTCCTGTTTGTGAACACGAAACTATATATACTACATGAGTGTTAGCTGTGTTTGATTTTTATTACCATAGGTAAGCTTGCAATCAAACTGAGCGTGAAAAGCTTCAAAACTCGGATTTCACGTTATAATAACATCAATTACGGCGCTTGGCATGTTTATAAATCTTTGTTTGGTTCTTCTGTTGCTATTTCCGGCTCCCTTCTTCCGAAATGTCGCTTTCAATGAATGAAAAACAGGAAAAAAGAACAAAAATTGGGAAAAGTTCGGGAAACGGTCGGACATAGTACAATTTGGCAGATGGCGTGACAGCTTAAGCGCTCTTGCTTTAAATTCTATACTCTAATAGAGCACGCTGTTTCAACCAGTGCGCGTTATATCCGAACTTTATTATAATTTAACATATCAATCACTAGTTTGATATAACATAGAATACTAAACTGCAATTGGAATTTCATCTTCCTATTGTTTACATACAATCTAAACGTTTACATGCCCGTAAATATTACTTTTTCTCGCAGCAAAAGTTGATAGTGCAGTTGTTAAATACTGAATTGGCACAAAAGTTGTTGATATTACTTGTTAACGTATTCTCTGGCACTGGAATATTGGTCAAGTGTGGTATCAAACGCGAAAATATTTTCGGAAAGAACATTCATGCGTGTTCTGTAGGTTTTGGCAATTCATCCTTAACACTACTGCGCTCATTCTCCGTTTCTGTAGAAGCAATGACTGCCCCTAAAACATTGCTAACATCATCTAACTCCTTTTCGCTTGGTTTTTGATACGAAAACAGTGCGTTCGATCTATGCCCAGTTTGTTCTCTTGCTAACTTGTCTCCAAGTTTAGTTTTCTAAGGTCACAAAGGGAATATTCTAGCCGTTTTAAAAGAATTATTGGTAGAAAATCCTCTTTGCCGTGAGAGGTTATGGAGCAACTGCACGTGCAAGTGATTGACACGACAAACGCAATCTCTTGCCACGATCTCATTTCACAAGTAAGACAAAATATTCGCGAAAACCTAACACCTAACCGATACAGACTGAATACAATGGAACCAAACATCGCTCGTGTTGATGACCAACCCCATGGCACTTATACTTTATAAAACGACGCATCTTTTTCAAATCTTTCAGGTCAGGCCGCCATCAAACGTTTTAAACAACCTTTCATTGAGAGTAATGTAATTTTCTTTAATAAAAATATTGCAGAGCCTAAGTAACCTGTGGTCGCCAGCTCGAAGACCGAAAAGTTTTCCGTTATAAAATAAATTGTATACATCAATGACTCGACTAAGAAGGCCTTTTCCCCACAATACCTTTTATTTCTTTGCGGTTGTTCATTTTGCACTACACTTCGCTGAATCCCTCATCTCCGCGTCTAAAACTTTACGAAACATCGCGGACCTGTTATAATAAAATTATACAATCTGGAGGGCAATTTCATTTTTTGTACTGAGACGTCGTCCCCACTACACGTGATGGAAACTGGGTGTACGTAGTTATACTGCTAACTGGACGTTAACATTCAACGTGATTTAGCTCATGGCATCCGTCGAAGTATAGAGAACCTTTATAAACACGTGTTATTTGCCACGTGAATTTCTCAAAAAACGTGTTCACGTTAATTACTCGTTGGAACTCAAATTTTCCTCTCTTGTTCCACGCTCACAACAAGACCAGATAACATCTTCTTTATTGAATAAATAGTGAAGCCTCGACTGTGCTCTATTCTGTTTCAAAACACTCAGGAAGCGGTTAGAGCACGAGAGAAGTGTTAGAGAAACACGAGACGTAGTCAAGTCCTTCTTCCCTCTTCTTTAGTGCTCTAGCTAGTCGCTTCCTAAGCACTTAACAACAGAGTAGAGCACAGTCAAGGCTTCTGTATTTGTTAAATAAAGAAGATGTTATCTGGTCTTGTCGTGAGGTTGGAACAAGAGAGGAAAATTTGAGTTGGCAAATAGCACGTGTGTATAGGTGTACACGTGAGTACATAGGTGTACACGTTCCCGATAAACATGAATTTTAGAGGCCGTTATAAGATATAAATGTGCTTATTCTGAACTCGTAAGTGACCTTTAAAGATGACAGAAAGGTCATTCTAAAAATAATGGCAGCTGCTAAGGTCTTTTGTATGCTGAGTCTTAAAAGAATATATTTTTCGCTTTCCGTGAATCCTATCCAGAGTGAATGAGAATGTTACCAATGTTGTTTGGTAGTTGGACGTTTCCTGAAGCGATCAGCGAACCTATTCATTAGTGTGTATAGATGATCTGCTCGGAATGTCTCGCTTGGTGAGTGTTGTGAATCTGTGACAAGGTGGATCACGCTTTCCAACCAGTAATCTGTTCTTGAACTGTTAAAATTACTTTTGTTATTTATGATGTGTGTGATTGCTTATTTTCGTGTTTTGCCTATGCGGCCAGTTTTGGCAGAGTCTATTTGATAATCCAGAAGCCAAGTTGCTAGAAATGTCACTTGTTCAGTAATTTTGAAGTTAACGTTGAGATTCGAGAGTCATCAAATCACCGGCAAGGCTGACGATTAATTTACAGGAACTAAGCATTGCCGGTAAAGAGGTTTTCACATCTACAAACCTAATCCATTCTTCGAGCACCGGTGATTTTTTCATCTTTTTTATATCTGCCAAAAAATACCTCCGACGAAATGTTCTGAGTCAGTGTCAGAAAACTTGTGAGAAGTTCGTAATCTGTTTAGAGCTCAGAATTCTACAACCTTCGACGGCGTGAAAATGTTTCGGCTTTCAACTTTTTGCGAATTTTCCTCGATCCGTAGAATTGAGTTCGACTGATACCAAACTCTCGCAAATGAGTCGCCTCTAAAGAGGTCAATTGAAAATATCTGCAGGCGAATCAATTGCCTATACGTATCCTTTGTCTATGCGGTCATATTATGAAGTATCCATCTATCCAGTGAGGGGGAAAATCTATAAATATTCTCAACCTGTAGTATGTGAAGTAATGTTTTACACTTCTGGTGTTTAATCTTGAGGCAGCTGAAGTAAAAAATACCGAGGCGAATGTATGTGATATCTGAACTAATTCATTGTAGCACTGCATGGTAATTTATTGCGGAACTGAGTAATAATTTCGTTCCCAACACATAGACATGATCTTGACGATAATCACGACGGGCTTATAAGTTATTGTACCGTATTAGTTAATGTGCAGACTGCTGCGGATCTGCTTGATTCAGAAGATTTTCCCTTATTACTTCCAATAAGTCATGTTATTGTGCGGCTTGGCCTTTATGCAAGGGATTAAAGGACATTTTACCGAAGTGAAACCCCGTACAAACGAGAGAGTGAATCTAGTGATGCGTAAGATTTAATCAGAACGCATCTGAGAAAATAGTAAGTTTTCGAGTCTAATTTCTCTTGAAAAGACACGCATGAGAAACCTACGAGTGAGAATCAATCGCGGAAAAATATTATAAACTTGACCTCTAGCACAAGTAGAGCTAAAGAAGGTACCGCTAAAAGAAGCAAGTATTATGGTTCTACTACAGGGTTAGAATTTACCGCCTGGCTATTAAGACCTTTTCTCTTAAACTGGTCATCGGCTGCGTGCATTAAGTACTTGCAGCACACGAATGACACAGAATCATGCCTTCATCTTGATGTTAATAATTAATTAGTAGTCATTGCATCGGAGTTATATTTGGGCATATTTTCAGTTAAATTCATGGCACAATTTTCTCTTTATACACATGCAATGTTAGATCGATCTTACAGTATGCTGCTGCTGCGCAAGTGTGGCAAGATATTCCTGCATACCTTTCTGACGCTATTGAATCTATACAAAAAAGAGCTTTAAGAATAATTTTTTTCAAACTCTAGTTGTCAACAAGCCCTAGATCAAGCAAATTCAGTTGACATCGTTAGTAGATCGCAGGATATTTATATGTAAAAAGTTGATGGCGGATATGAGGAATGAGAGCCATCCTATATCCTTCTTAGCTCCGCAAGTTTTGACAAGATCTATCCCATAACAGTTAAGATCAGGACATACTAAAGCCACTACATCAACAAATAGGACAAAGAGAATAAATGAATTTTTCACTTTTAGGTTCTCGTGAGTCCAATTATTTTTATAATACTTCTTATTCTAAATAGATTTAATTATTAGTATCTGATTTTGTAAATTGCACTGTTTATTCAGTTTTTAACCGCCAGAAGTGTTACGTTAATACCGAACTTAACTGGTCAACATAGGAGCTCAGAAGGAAATACCTTTGTTCGGTGCAGCTTTACAAGATAATTTATGGCCATTTTGATGTGGACTTTACCAGATATGTGGATTTGAATGGTCGGGCAAGAACTAGAAGTAACCATGACTTTAAATTAAGGCCTAGAGCAGCTAGGACTGACTATTTTAAGTTTTCATTTTTAAACCGTTTCGTTAATGATTGGAACTCTTTGCCTAATTTTGCTATGTCAGCTTCCAGTTTGAATTCCTTCAGAGCTCGATTACTGAATTATCTTTGTACATAGTTTTATTTTGTTATCTCGAAAGGAGATTTCAGATTTTAATATTTGTTTATTGTTTAGTTATTTCTCCAGTTTCTTCTTTCTTATACAACGTATAGTTATTTATATTAGCCTTGGAGAGCAGTTTTTATATGGAAATTCAGTTTCCCCCTATTGCTTTCCTTTACCTACTGTACTTTTATATGGTAATTAAGATTTAATGAATATTATATGGTTACTATCAGTCATTAATTATTGTTGTGATTTTTATGAGTTGTTATTTTATAAGTAGGATTTTGTACAGTGGTAAAAAGCATTATTAAACATTAAACATTAAACAATAAACTATTATTTATTTATTTAACCCCTCAAGTGATTTGTATTGATCTATTTCAGGATTTGAGAGAAGAGAGGTGTTGTGAATCATTGCCTCCTGAGCCTCTTCAATGAGCTTGCTTTTAACAAGGGCTTATTTACGTTTGAAATAATCGTTACTTGTGGAAGTGCATGTATCTTTCTCAGTATCTGACTGCAAATAAGTTTGGGAGATGTTGCAATGTTAATTATGGCAAAGGCAAGCGTAATCCAGGATGCGTAAGCTTGCATCAGCACACATTTGTGTGCGTGTTCGGGCTTGTGGTATTTTTTGGAGTCTGTTTTGCCTTGTATAGTTTCAAAGTGCACGAGCAAATAACGAACAAAATTAGTCTCTGCTAGAAATTTAGGATTTCGTGCATGGGTAAATGAGAAATTAGAAGAAGCAAACGTTATTGTTCGATTTATTAAGGCTTAGCTTTCACCCAAAAATTAAAGACTCTTTGTATAATCTTACCTTGTCTCAGTCGAGTATTTGTCTTGCCTCTGGTGTTATTTTTAAGTTGATTCATAGCAATAAAGTTGGTTTTTAATCCCCTTGCTTTTTAGTATACAGTATAAATCTTTCCCCCTAAAAGTGGGGCTCTGTAAATCACAAGAGAGTAATAATATTAGCAGGCAAGTCAATACTTTAAAGAAAGCGACAAAACTTTTAAGTAAAACATGTTTCGACAGAAACTTCTGTCATCTTCAGTTAATTAATGTACAAAGCGTTGGAAGTTGAATTTAGGTAGTAAGTAGAACGATGCTAATTATGCATTTTTATTCACGTGTTATTTGCCACGTGAATTTCTCCAAAAAACGTGTTCACGTTAATTAATTGTGGGAACTCAAATTTTCCCTTCCTGTTCCAAGCTCTCTACCAGACCACATACCAGCTTCTTTATTTAACAAATAAAGAGAAGCCTAAACTGTGCTCTGTTCTGTTGTAAAGCACTTAGGAAGGGGCTAGAGCACGAAAGAAGTGTAAGGAGAAACAAGAGACGTAGTCAAGTCTTTCTCCTTACCTCTTTAGTGCTCTAACCGCTTCTTAAGAGCTTTACAACAGAATTCACGTGAAAAAAAAACACGTGTGTACATAGGTGTACACGTTCCCAATAAACATGAATTTGAGAGGCCCTTATATGAAATAATGTGGTGCTTATTCTGAACTCGCAAGTGACCCTTGAAGATGACAGAAAGGTTATTCAAAAAATCATGGCAGCTGCTAAGGTCTTTTGTATGCTGAGTCTTAAAAGAATATATTTTTCGCTTTCCGTGAATCCTATCCAGAGTGAATGAGAATGTTACCACTGTTGTTTGGTAGTTGGACGTTTCCTGAAGCGATCTGCGAACCTATTCATTAGTGTGTATAGATGATCTGCTCGGAATATCTCGCTTGGTGAGTGTTGTGAATCTGTGACAAGGTGGATCACGCTTTCCAACCAGTAATCTGTTCTTGAACTGTTAAAATTACTTTTGTTATTTATGATGTGTGTGATTGCTTATTTTCGTGTTTTGCCTATGCGGCCAGTTTTGGCAGAGTCTATTTGATAATCCAGCAGCTAAGTTGCTAGAAATGTCACTTGTTCAGTAATTTTGAAGTTAACGTTGAGATTCGAGAGTCCTCAAATCACCGGCAAGGCTGACAATCAATTTACAGGAACTAAGCATTGCCGGTAAAGAGGTTTTCACATCTACAAACCTAATCCATTCTTCGTGCACCGGTGATTTTTTTCATCTTTTTAACATCTGTCCAAAAATACCTCCGACGAAATGTTCTGAGTCAGTGTCAGAAAACTTGTGAGAAGTTCGTAATCTGTTTAGAGCTCAGAATTCTACAACCTTCGACGGCGTGAAAATGTTTCGGCTTTCAACTTTTTGCGAATTTTCCTCGATCCGTAGAATTGAGTTCGACTGATACCAAACTCTCGCAAATAATTCGCCGCTAAAAAGGTCAATTGAAAATATCTGCAGGCGAATCAATTGCCAATACGTATCCTTTGTCTATCGTCATGTTATGAAGTATCCATCTGTCCAGTGAGAGGGAAAATCTATAAATATTCTCAACCTGTGGTATGTGAAATAATGTTTTACGCTTCTGGTGTATAATCTTAAGGCAGCTGGAGTATAAAATATCGAGGCGAATGTATGTGATATCTGAACTAATTTATTGTAGCACTGCATGGTAATTTATCGCAGGACTGAGAAATACTTTCGTTCCCAACACATAGACATGATCTTGACGATAATCACGACGGGCGTGTAAGTTATTGTACCGTATTAGTTAATGTGCAGACTGCTGCGGAACTGCTTGATTCCGAAGATTTTCTCTTATTACTTCCAATAAGTCATGTTGTTGTGCGGCTTGGCCTTCATGTAAGGGATTGAAGGACATTTTAGCGAAGTGAAACCCCGTACAAACGAGAGAGTGAATGAAGCGGTGTCTGCAGGACAAATCAGTTTGGTACGAGAAACCTGATTGTAAATAAGTTTTGATAAAGAATTAAGGCCTCAGTCTCGTGCATGAATAAAGAGAGAGAAGGTAACGTGAGAAGAAGGAAATATTATGGTTCGATCTACTACAGGTGGCTTAGAGTTCACCACGAAGGTACAGACTTTCATCTTGAAATCGTTTCAATCGTGCGTTTCTTTGCCTGCGGTGTGGTTTTGAAGTCAGTTCATACAGATTTAGTTTGCTTCTAGTTCCTTCTCTTTTTCATGGATACATCTTTTCTCAATAAAGGGGACTACGTAATTAACTTGCTTTTAAAAGGATTTACTTACGTTTGAGATAATCGTCGCTTGTTGAAGTTCATGTATCTTCCTTAGTGTCTGACTGCAAAGAAGTTGGAGATGTTGCAATGTTAATCAGTTATGGCCAAGGAAAGCGTAACCCATGATGCGTAAGCTTGTAGCAGAGGGCATTTTTGGTCGTGTTCGGGCTTGTGGTATTTTTTCGAAATTGTTTTGCCTTGCATAGTTTCAAAGTGCGCGAGCAAATAGAGAATAGGATTAGTCTCTGTTAGAAAACTAGGATAGCATGGGTAGATGAGAAATTAGAAGAAGTAAACATTACTGTTCGATGGATTAAAGACTTAGCTTTCACCGAAAAATTACAGACTTTTTGTTTAATCTTACATCATTTCATTCGAGTATTTGTCTTGCCTCTGTTGTTGTTTTTAAGTTGATTTATAATAATTAAGCTTATTTTTAGTTCCCTTGCCTTTTCGTGTACAATATATATCTTTTCTCCTAAAAGGGGGGCTCTGTAAATCACACCACAGGCAACCTTCCATAGGAACCTCTTGCAGACAGCAAGAAAGGTGGGAACAAAAACGTGGCCTAAAATGGATCTAATGAATATAAACGTGATTGTATACGCCCGTTTTGACACTCTGCCCATCTCTCATTGACTCCTGAGCATCTTCAATGAGCTTACGTTCAGCAAGAGTTAGTTGTAACTAAAGGCTTAGCTTTCACCGAAAATTACAGACTCTTTGTCTAATCTTACCTCGTTTCAGTCGAGTATTCGTCTTGCTTCTGGTGTTGTTTTTAAGTTGATTCGTTGCAATTAAGTTGGTTTTTAGTTCCCTTGCTTTTTCGTATACAGTATATATCTTTCCCCTTAAAAGGGGGACTCTGAAAATCACAAGAGAATAAATCTTGACATCGTTATATTGGTACTGTTTCGCTGTAGCTGAGTTAGGACCAATAGCGCCTAAACAGCGGTATTAGAGCGTGATTCAGCTTGAGCTCGTTATAAGTGCATGAAAATCTCGGATAAACTGCTAAATTGAGTAAACTAAATTGAAAGTATACTAAATTGAGTAAATGGCCACCGAGATCCATTTTAACTTCACTCTTTGAGAACAAGGAATGACACAAGAGTCAGTGATGTGATTCACTTAAATGTAAATACATAAGCGGCCCTGCATTCGAAAGTTTTGTCACAGTCCTCTTTTTTTCCAATAAAAGAATACAATTGGTGGAGAAATAAGTGGTCTCCATTACCAAAGATGAAAACGCTCCTGATATTTATGGTAGGTCGATCTAAAGGTTACACCAAGTAGTTAATGCAAATAGTTGAATTAAGACATTCTTTCGTAAAGGGCAAATTTTAGGAACCTTACTACTAAATTGCAGCATCTCTTGTCATGTAACCCCCTTTAGATCGACCTGTCATGAATACACGGCGTTGCGAGGTTGACGAAATCTCTGTATTTTAAAAAGGTTCGCTTTACATAGTTAAGGAAACATGATGCATCGTCACAATGCGCCAGTTTGTTTTCAAAGTCTGTGTCATTAAGCATATTAAGACTTGCTTACAACGAGACGTTCCAAGCGCCATTCCGAGTGTCATTCTACGGTTTAATGTCTGTATCAGGCAGCATTATTAAAGATGTACTTAAAACAACACTTTCCAAATATTTTAAGTCGTGGTTTGGGCGTACTAGTGTGGCTGTATGACAAAGTATTTCTATTAAGCTACGTGGCCTTAGTGCATCAGGGGACAGCCAACAGAGCACCTTCATAAACTGGGACAGTAATGTGGATTATGCAAGTAGAAAAAATCTGCACAACATGACTCATTTCGAAAAAAGTTGTCTGATAGTGAGCCACATTTCTTTACAATTCCATTCAAGCGAGGAAATAATAGTTTTAAAGAGTCAAAGTCTAAGAAAATACTCATAACACTAATTCAACTTATCTTTTGAAATCCAACTTATATCGAATTGCATCAAAAGCAGACATGCTCGCAAAATACGAGGTAAAATAGCTCGTTCCAATTGCATTTTGATTATTTTGGTTCAGTTGAGAAGGTGGGAAACACATCGTCACCTCATATTGATAAATCGTGCGACAATGCCACAGGAAACTTTCGATAGGAACCTCTTGCAAACAGCAATAAAGGTGGGAACAAAGACGTGGCCTGAAATGGATCTAATGAATATAAACGTGGTTGTATACGCCCGTTTTGATACTCTGCCCATTTCTCAACCTTTCTATACAAAACAACAACGCGAAGCGCCACTTCTCAGCCTTCGCAAGATGAGCTGAGAAGTGGACCGATCGACGCTTTGAGACTCTGAAAACACAAAAAGCTCCTCGAGGAACTTCTAAAGACAAACGTAAGTTGTTTGGAAAAAGTCGTTTTTCTTCGCTTAGCCGTTGTGATTGCCAAAGCTCCTAGTTATCTCCCTCGACGTCAACTAATGATTACCTTACAAAGTAATTATAAAAAACTTTGCAGCCATTTTCTACGGCGCTCGTAGAAAAGCAAATATGAGGAACATCTCGTAAGTACAGAGGTGAATATCGTAAAAATAATTACGGTTTGCTACAACGCGAAGCGTCGTTTTTTATTATTTTTTTTTTTTGCTTGACATTCCCAGACAATTTCATGAAGGATTTTACTCTGCCTTCGCATGCTGAGCTAAGGGCTGGACTGATCGATGCCTTGAGACTCTAAAAACACTAAAGGCCCCCGGTGGAACTTCATTAAATGGCTTTGGTGTACATACCAAGATAGCCGCCACAAGTGGTCTCTGTTCCCTTTTAGTCTTTCTACACTGCTAGGCATCTTATGCGCCCCAGTGTTTCACACATCGTACTCTGGAAAACACACCAACCTTGTCGAGGAAATCTGTGAGATTACATCTTTTAAAAAGTCCAACGTGACGTCACAACATGACCATTTAGGAAATCGGAGATTTTCGTACCCAATTCGAAATGTTCGCTGTTTATTTGATATTACTCGCCGTGTCTACCAATAATTCTAAGGGAAATTAGTGAAGAGAGACTTATCTTCGCGTGTACTTAGAAACAGTGATGGTTCCTTTCATTGCGCTGTTAGTTCCCAAACTGATTTTTTTGTCAAACGAGAGCCCGCTGTCATCGAATGTTATCCTCCTCTTCTCAAATTAAATTCAATTTAGTTTATTTACATTTTATGGCTATAATAACCTATTAAAGTACTAGAATTGGTGACAAAAATTCTATTTTCCCTAACTTCTCTGAAAAACATAAATTTTCCTCGACTTTGAGTGAAATTCCCTGACTTTTCCCTGACTTTTTGCTGACCATTTCCTGATTTGTGGCAAGATAAGGGAAAAAAATGTGTACTTGGGCCAGGTAACCCATCCTGCCGGAGCTTATCCTTTGCATGAAGCGACTAGAAGCAAAACCAAGATCAATCCTGAAACGGACCATAACATTGGATGACAGACAGAGGCAGGCAAACAGGGCTTTGCGCTCTCTAAGAATGCAAATAAAACATTCTAACGGATTCCACAAAGTGTCATGATGTATCTGGCCACTCTATGGCATAAGCGATGTTTTCTACCATTTGCTGTATGTACGAGTGGCTTTTTATGAAATGAACTATCCTATATTGAAGGCAACATGTGTGTTCACCAGCAAGATTTATTAATTGTTGACTTCCGTGATTCAAAAATCTGTTTAGGCCCATTTCATTATTACACTACTTGTGTGCAAGTCGAATTGGATCATTAAATGTTTTGTTTGTTGAGTCTATTCATGTAACTAATCTCAAATCCCTTGAAATCTTTACCAAACAAAATCCAAACTGACCGAGTTAAGTGGCAAAACAACCACAAAAAAACCCATAATACTTCTTAATTGAATATGTAAAAAGAGCGAAGAAGATATGAGCGAAAGTTAAGTCGGAAAACCCTTTTTCTACCGACTGCTGCACATCTTTCATTTCATTCAGAGAAAAAATGGGAAACTCCTAACCTTAACTGAGATCCCCCAATTCGAAAAATTTTGGAAAACTCACATCTCTCCATTTTAGTGTACTTCCCTGAAAGCGCTATGGATGTGTTGCCAAGTCTCTGAGACTCTGAACCCGTGTATTTGATAAATTATCAAATACACTCTGCCAAAATTGGCCGAAAAAGCAAAACACGAAAATAGGCAATCACATACATCCTAAATTGAAAGTATTTTAACAGTTCAGTATCAAAGAAGAAATCGAGAAGCCTAAATACGTAAGGAAATCGCGAATAGAAGGGTTCCGTTCTAAAAATTACAGAAATGAGGTCTGTCGCCATCCAAAGCCCTTCTCCGGCCACAGTTTCACTATCTGCTTTACCGCAAGTAAACCACTCAAAAGATCCATCATACCCACGTCACGGGTACTCCAAGAAGACCGTTTCTGTAGAAGCAATGACTGCCCCTAAAACATTGCTGACATCATCTAACTCCTTTCCGTTTGGTTTTCGATACGAAAACAATGCGTTCGATTTATTCCCAGTTCGTTCTCTTGTTAACTAATTTTTGTAGGACTCTAAAGCTCCTGACACCTAACAACAGTAAATAGTTGCTTCCATCAAGTTATCTTTTCAAAATATTGAACATAAACACAGGTTTGATTTTGACTCTAGCAAGCATTTTCCCTCAAAAATTGGAGGTTCCATAACTAATTCAAAAACATTCATTATTATCTTGTAACAGTACCTTAACATGTGATGTCACCTGACAGGTGTCAATCAAGGCCTAATTGTTTTTTTCCCCAATCACTTCGTAATAAAGAATGGTTATTGGCATACTTGTGTGAGAAGTTCCGTTTTTCTATGTCACAAAGGGAATATTTTAGCCATTTTCAAAGAATTATTGGTAGAAAATCCTCTTTGCTGTGAAGATAAATTTTGGCCACAAAGGGTTATGGAGCAACTGGACGCGCACGTGATTGACATGACAAACGCAATCTCTTGTCACGGTCTCATTTCACAAGCGAGACAAAATATTCGCGTCCGACCTTTATGGGCTTTAAAACGGCTCGCCGTTTTTTTAAACTTAGCCCAGCGATGTGTGACGTAAACATTCAACGTGGTTTAGGTGTATGCGTCGAAGTACGTGTTATTTGCCACGTGAATTTCTTCAAAAAACGTGTTCACGTTAATTACTCGTGGGAACTCAAATTTTACTTTCTTATTTCATGCTCACGACTGGACCACCTAACAGCTTCTTTATTTAACAAATAGAGAAGTCTTGACTGTGCTTTTTTCTGTTCGAAAGCACCGAGGAAGCGGCTTGAGCACCAAAGAAATGTAAGAAAATACACGAGCTTCTTAAGAGCTTTAAAACAGAATTCACGTGGCAAATAACACGTGTGTATTTAGGTGTACACGTTCCCAATAAACATGAATTTGAGAGGCCCTTATATGAAATAAATGTGGTGCTCATTCTGAACTCGCAAGTGACCCTTGAAGATGACAGAAAGGTTATTCTAAAAATCATGGCAGCTGCTAAGGTCTTTTGTATGCTGAGTCTTACAAGAATATATTTTTTGCTTTCCGTGAATCCCATCTAGAGTATATAAAAGAATGTTATTATCGTTGTTGGGTAGTTTGACGTTTCCTGAAGCGATCGGCGAACCTATTCATCAGTGTGTATAGATGGTCTACGTGGAATGTCTCGCTTGGTGAGTGTTGTGAATCTGTGACAAGGTGGATCACGCTTTCCAACCAGTAATCTGTTCTTGAACTGTTAAAATTACTTTTGTTATTTAGGATGTATGTGATTGCCTATTTTCGTGGTTTGCTTTTGTGGCCAATTTTGGCAGAGTCTATTTGATAATCTTGTAGCCAAGTTGCTAGAAATGTCACTTGTTGAGTAATTTTGAAGTTAACGCTGGGATTCGAGAGTCCTAAAATCACCGACAAGACTGACGATCAATTCACAGGAACTAAGCATTGCCGGTAAAGAGGTTTTCACATCTACTAACCTAATCCATTCTTCGTGCAATGTCCGACAATATGTTCTGAATCAGTGTCAGAGAAGTTCGTTATCTGTTTAGAGCTCAGAATTCTCGTCTACAACCTTTGATGGCATGAAAATGTTTCGACTTTCAACTTTTGGCGAGTTTTTCTCGATCCGTGAGAAAATAAATAAGCAAATAAGTCGCTTGTAAAAAGTTAATCGAAAATATCTGCAGGCGAATCAATTGTCAATACGTATCCTTTGTCTATAGTCATATTATGAAGTATCCATCTATCCAGTGAGTGAGGGGGAAAATCTATAAATATTCTCAACCTGTGGTATGTGAAGTAATGTTCTACGCTTCTGGTGTTTAATCTTAAGGCAGCTGCAGAAAAAATATCGAGGCGAATGTATGTGATACCTGGACTAATTCATTATAGCACTGCATGGTAATTTATTGCGGGACTGCTCAACACTTTCGTTCGTAACACACAGACATGATCTTGACAATAATCACGACGGGCTTAAAAGTTATTGTACCGTATTAGTTAATGTGCAGAGGGCTGCGGATCTGCTTGATTCAGAAGATTTCCCTTATTACTTCCAATGAGTCATGTTGTTGTGCGGCTTGGCCTTCATGCAAGGGATTGAAGGACATTTTAGCGAAGTGAAACCCCGGACAAACCGGAGAGTGAATGTAGCGGTGTCTGAAGGACAAATCAGTTTGGTGCAAGAAGCCTGATTGGTTAATTAGTTTTGGTAAAGAATTAAGGCCTCAGTCTCGTGCATGGATAGAGAGAGAGAGAGAGAGAGAGAGAGAGAGAGAGAGAGAGAGGGCAACGTGAGAAGAAGGAAATATTATGGTTCGATCTACTACAGAAGGCTTAGCGTTCACCACCAAGGTACAGACTCTCATTTGAAATCGATTCAATCGTGCGTTTTTTTGCCTGCGGTGTGGTTTTGAAGTCAGTTCATACAGATTTAGTTTGTTTTTAGTTCCTTCTCTTTTTTTCATAGATACATCCTTTTCTCAATGAAGGGGACTCCGTAAATCACAAGAAGGCAAATTACGACATCGGTTAATCGGCGGGTACTGTTTCGTTGTGGTAAGATTCACTAGCACTTAAATTGAAAGCGATTCGCGAGAAGAAAAATCTCAAAATAAAATGAAATTACGCACCGTACCTCAAGACACATGCTGCTCACCAGAAAAACAAATGTTTCAAGCTGTTTTATCTTGATCTATTTCAGGATTTTGGAGAAGAAAGGTGATGTGAATCATTGACTCCTGAGCGTCTTTGATGAGCTTGCTTTTCAGGTCATATTAGTCCGGGTATAACACTTCTTGGCTGTAATGACTGATTCTCGTGAAGCGATCAGTAAGCTCAAAACCTTATATAAACAGTAGAGAGGTTTGCGCACAACACGTCACAAAACATTGCGCATTAGGTTAACTAAGAATTCGATTACCGCAATGCGACCTATAAGTGTTGGAAATTAAGAAGTAGATTTTTAAGAGTTATGATAAGGAATGACCTTAAATGGGACATTTTTCACTTTTAGGTTCTCGTGATTCCAATTATTTTTATAATACTTCTTATTCTAAATAGATTTAATTATTAGTATCTGATTTTGTAAATTGCACTGTTTATTCAGTTTTTAACCGCCAGAAGTGTTACGTTAATACCGAACTTAACTGGTGAACATAGGAGCTCAGAAGGAAATACCTTTGTTCGTTGCAGCTTTACAAGATAATTTATGGCTATTTTGATGTGGACTTTACCAGATATGTGGATTTGACTGGTCGGACAAGAACTAGAAGTAACCATGACTTTAAATTAAGGCCTAGAGCAGCTAGGACTGACTATTTTAAGTTTTCATTTTTTAACCGTTTCGTTAATGATTGGAACTCTTTGCCTAATTTTGCTATGGCAGCTTCCAGTTTGAATTCCTTCAGAGCTCGATTACTGAATTATCTTTGTACATAGTTTTATTTTGTTATCTCGAAACGAGATTTCAGATTTTATATTTGTTTATTGTTTAGTTATTTCTCCAGTTTCTTCTTTCTTATACAACGTATAGTTATTTATAATAGCCTTGGAGAGCAGTTTTTATATGGGAATTCAGTTTCCCCCTATTGCTTTCCTTTACCTACTGTACTTTTATATGGTAATTAAGATTTAATGAATATTATATAGTTATTATTAGTCATTAATTAGTTGTGATTTTTATGAGTTGTTATTTTATTAGTAGGATTTTGTACAGTGGTAAAAAGCATTATTAAACATGAAACTATTATTGCAAATAAGTTTGAGAGATGTTGCAATGTTAATTATGGCCAAGGCGAGCGTAACCGAGGATACGTAACCTTGCGTCAGCATGCATTTGTGTGCGTGTTCGGGCTTGAGGTATTTTTTGGAGTCTGTTTTGCCTCGCATAGTTTCAAAGTGCACGAGCAAATAGAGAATAAAATTAGTCTCTGCTAGAAAACTAGGATCGACCGTCGAAGTATAGAGGACCTTCACAAGCACGTGTTACTTGCCACGTGAATTTCTCCAAAAAACGTGTTCACGTTAATTAATTCTGGGAACTCAAATTTCCTTTCTTGTTCCAAGCTCACGACTAGACCAAATGACAGCTTCTTTATTTAACAAATAAAGAGAAGCCTTGACTGTGCTCTGATCTGTTGAAAGCGCTTAGGAAGCGGCTTGAGCACGAAAGAAGTGTAAGGAGAAACAAGAGACGTAGTCAAGTCTTTCTCCCCACCTCCTTAGGGCTCTAGCCGCTTCCTAAGAGCTTTACAAAAGAATTCACGTGTTAAAAAACACGTGTGTACATAGGTATACACGTTCCCAATAAACATGAATTTGAGAGGCCCTTATATGAAATAAATGCGGTGCTTATTCTGAACTCGCAAGTGACCCTTGAAGATGACAGAAAGGTTATTCTAAAAATCATGGCAGCTGCTAAGGTCTTTTGTATGTTGAGTCTTGAAAGAATATATTTTTCGCTTTCCGTGAATCCTATCCAGAGTGTATGAGAATGTGACCACTGTTGTCTGGTAGTTTGACGTTTCCTGAAGCGATCAGCGAACCTATTCATCAGTGTGCATAGATGGTCTGCTCGGAATGTCTCGCCTAGTGAGTGTTGTGAATCTGTGACGAGGCGGATCACGCTTTCCAACCAGTAATCTGTTCTTGAACTGTTAAAATTACTTTTGTTATTTAGGATGTGTGTGATTGCTTATTTTCGTGTTTTGTCTATGCGGCCAGTTTTGGCAGAGGGTATTTAATAATCCAGCAGCTAAGTTGCTAGAAATGTCACTTGTTCAGTAATTGTGAAGTAAACGCTGAGATTCGAGAGTCCTCAAATCACCGGCAAGGCTGACGATCAATTTACAGGAACTAAGCATTGCCGGTAAAGAGGTTTTCACATCTACAAACCTAATCCATTCTTCGTGCACCGGTGGTTTTTTTCACCTTTTTTATATATGCCAAAAAATACCTCCGATGAAATGTTCTGAGTCAGTGTCATAAAACTTGTGAGAAGTTCGTAATCTGTTTAGAGCTCAGAATTCTACAACCTTCGACGGCGTGAAAATGTTTCGGCTTTCAACTTTTTGCGAATTTTCCTCGATCCGTAGAATTGAGTTCGACTGATACAAAACTCTCGCAAATAAATCGCCGCTAAAAAGTCAATTGAAAATATCTACAGGCGATTCAATTGCCTATACGTATCCTTTGTCTATAGTCATATTATGAAGTATCCATCTATACAGTGAGGGAGAAAATCTATAAATATTCTCAACCTGTGGTATGTGAAGTAATGTTTTACTCTTGTGGTGTTTAATCTTAAGGCAGCTGGAGTAAAAGATATCGAGGCGAATGTATGTGATATCTGAACTAATTCATTGTAGCACTGCGTAGTAATTTGTTGCGGGACTGCTTAACACTTTCGTTCGTAACACACAGACATGATCTTGACGGTAATCCCGACGGGCTTATAAGTTATTGTGCCGTATTAGTTAATGTGCAGACTGCTGCGGATCTGCTTGATTCAGAAGATTTTTCCTTATAACATCCATTAAGTCATGTTGTTGTGCAGCTTGGCCTTCATGCAAGGGATTGAAGGACATTTTAGCGAAGTGAAACCCCGTACAAACGAGAGAGTGAATGTAACGGTGTCTGCAGGACAAATCAGTTTGGTACGAGAAACCTGATTGTAAATTAGTTTGGTAAAGAATTAAGGCCTCAGTCTCGTGCATGAATAGAGAGAGAGAAGGTAACGCGAGAAGAAGGAAATATCATGGTTTGATCTACTACAGGAGGCTTAGAGTTCACCACGAAGGTACAGACTCTCATCTTGAAATCGTTTCAATCGTGCGTTTCTTTGCCTGCGGTGTGGTTTTGAAGTCAGTTCATACAGATTTAGTTTGCTTCTAGTTCCTTCTCCTTTTCATGGATACATCTTTTCTCAATAAAGGGGGCTCCGTAAATTACAAGAAGGCAAATTATGACATCGGTTAATCGGCAGGTACTGTTTCGTTGTGGTAAGATTCACTAGCACTAAGATTGAAGTATTAGCGTGCAACTCAGCTCAAACTGGTTATAGGCGCTTGAAAATCTCGGAGCAAGTACAGAATACTGCACAGAGTCATTGAAAGTCTAAATAATCAGCCTCTGGAACAATTAATGACGCAGATGAAGGATGCTCCCAAAGCGATCCGCGAGAAGAAAAACCTCAAAATAAAAAGAAACTACGCACTGTACCTTATAACATATGCTGCTCACTAGAAAAACAAATGACTCCAACTGTTTTATCTTGATCTCTTTTAGGATTTTGGAGAAAAAAGGTGCTGTGAATCATTGACTCCTGAGCTTCTTCAATCAGCTTGCTTTTAAAAGGGTGTACTTACGTTAGAGATAATGGTCGCTTGTTGAAGTGCATGTATCTTCCTTAGTGTTCGACTGCGTATAAGTTTGGGAGATGTTGCAATGTTAATTATGGCCAAGGAAAGCATAACCTAGGATGCGTAAGCATGCACCAGAACGCATTTGTGTTTGGATATAACACTTCTTGGCCGTAATGACTGTTTTCCGTGAAGTGACCAGTAAGCTCAAAACGTTATATCAGCAGTAAAGAAGTTTGCGCACAACATGTCACAAAACATTGCGCATTAGGTTAACTAACCTCTCAAGTGATTTGTATTGATTTATTTCAGGATTTGGGAGAAGAGAGGTGTTGTGAATCATTGCCTCCTTAGCCTCTTCAGTGAGCTTGCTTTCAACAAGGGCTTATTTACGTTTAAAATAATCGCTACTTGTTGAAGTGCATGTATCTTACATGGTGTCTGGCTACAAATAAGTTTGAGAGATGTTGCAATGTTATTGTAATCCAGGATGCGTTTGTTTTTGTGTGCGTGTTCGGGCTTTTTTTGCATAGTTTTAAAGTGCACGAGCAAATAGAAAATAGAATTAGTCTCCGCTAGAAAAGCAAGGATTTCGTGCATGGGTAGATGAGTAATTAGAAGAAGTAAACGTTATTGTTCGGTCGACTAAAGGGTTAGCTTTCAACGAAAAATTACAGACTCTTTGTGTAATCTTACCTCGTTTCAGTCAACTATTCGTCTTGCCTCTAGTGTTGTTTTTAAGTTGATTCATAGCAATTAAGTTGGGTTTTAGTTCCCTTGCTGTTTCGTATACAGTATATATCTTTCCCCCCAAAAGGGGGGCTCTGAAAATCACACCACAGGCAACCTTTCATAGGAACCTCTTGCAAACTGCAGCAAAGGTGGGAACAAAAACGTGGCCTAAAATGGATCTAATGAATATAAACGTGATTGTAAACGCCCGTTTTGACACTCTGCCTATTTCTCATTGAATCCTGAGCATCATCAATGAGCTTGCGTTGAGATATTGTTCAAGTAAATGCATCGAGCAAACCTACGTTATCAATTTGTAACTGCTGTTGACTTAAATTCGATGAAAATTTGGGAATATGTACCAGCATTCATGATTCACCGTAATAAATGTAAAAGAATATTAAGTTAACTGCCCTCATATTTGATTAAATAAGTTCATCCATGATGAAGTCAGGACATTTTGTTTTAAACAAGTACTAACATGTGCGCAATAATACATGCTATTGAATTTACGCACCGTACCTCATAGTATGCTGCTCACCAGAAAAACAAATGACTCAAATTGTTTTATCTTGATTTTTTTTAGGATATTGGAGAAGAAAGGTGTTGTGCATCATTGACTCCCGAGCGTCTTTGATGAGCTTACTTTTAACAAGGGTTTATTTACGTTTGAGATAATGGTTGCTTGAGAAAGCGAATGCACCTTCCTTAGTGTCTGAAAGCAAATCTGTTTGGGTGATGTTGTAATCAATGTTAATTATGGCCAAGGAAAGCGTGATCCAGGATGCGCAAGATTTAATCAGAACGCATCTGTGCGCGTTAGAGAAAATAGTTAGTTTTCGAGTCTGTTTTCTCTTGAAAAGACATGCATCAGAAACCTATGAGTGAGGATCAATCGCGGAAAAGTGTTATAAACTTGACCTCTAGCATGAGTAGAGGTAGAGAAAGTACAGTTAAAAGAAGTAATTATTATGGTTCTACTACAGGGTTAGAATTTACCGCCTGGCTATAAAGACCTTTTCTCTTGAACCGGCCATCGACTGAGTGCATTAAGTACGTACAGCACACGAATAACACAGAATGATGCCCTCATCTTGATAGAAGTTTACAATCAGTGGTCATTGCATCGGAGTTACATTTGGGCGTATTTTTAATTAAATTTATCGCACAATTTCTGCGCTGTTCGATCTGAATGTTGTTAATCACTTTTATAAAACGGTAAAGATGCGAGAATTTGTATGAGGGTAAGGACTGTATTAAAAACGAGAAAATGTGCGGGATTCAACCACTCCTTATTTTAGAGAAGCTGATCACGATATATTCGTGTCCTGTT